TGGAGGGGGAGTGGCCACTCAGTGTGCAGTGTGAGAGGGGGAGTGGCCACTCAGTGTGCAGTGTGGAGGGGGAGTGGCCACTTAGTGTGCAGTGTGAGAGGGGGAGTGGCCACTCAGTGTGCTGTGTGGAGGGGGAGTGGCCACTCAGTGTGCAGTGTGGAGGGGGAGTGGCCACTCAGTGTGCAGTGTGAGAGGGGGAGTGGCCACTCAGTGTGCAGTGTGGAGGGGGAGTGGCCACTCAGTGTGCAGTGTGAGAGGGGGAGTGGCCACTCAGTGTGCTGTGTGGAGGGGGAGTGGCCACTCAGTGTGCAGTGTGGAGGGGGAGTGGCCACTCAGTGTGCAGTGTGGAGGGGGAGTGGCCACTCAGTGTGCAGTGTGAGAGGGGGAGTGGCCACTCAGTGTGCAGTGTGAGAGGGGGAGTGGCCACTCAGTGTGCAGTGTGAGAGGGGGAGTGGCCACTCAGTGTGCAGTGTGGAGGGGGAGTGGCCACTCAGTGTGCAGTGTGAGAGGGGGGGTGGCCACTCAGTGTGCAGTGTGGAGGGGGAGTGGCCACTCAGTGTGCAGTGTGAGAGAGGGAGTGGCCACTCAGTGTGCAGTGTGAGCCAGAGTGGCCACCGGCCAGAGCAGCAAAAGCCAATGTGTGCTTCTTTTACCGATATATTTAACGATATCAGTGTTGCCAGACGTACGATAATTATCGTATTTGTACGATAATTTTGACCTCTGTACGATGTACGATCAATAATGAAAAAAATCCCATAATGTACGATAATTAGTTGCTCTGATAGTGGCCTTCAGCTCTTCTGCATTGTTGGGTCTGGTGTAGCCTACAGAACTAGACTGAGAGACCATTTAAAGGCCCTTTCAGGTGTTTTGAGTTAATTAGCTGATTAGAGTGTGGCTCCAGGTGTCTTCAATATTGAACCTTTTCACAATATTCTAATTTTCTGAGATACAGATTTTGGGGTTTTCATTAGTTGTCAGTTATAATCATCAAAATGAAAAGGAATGTACACTTGAAATATATCAGTCTGTGTGTAATGAATGAATATAATATCCAAATTTCACTTTTTGAATGGAATTACTGAAATAAATCAACTTTTTGATGATATTCTAATTATATGACTAGCACCTGTATACTATACAAACTGTATTTGTTTTTGGTTTGGTTAAAAATGGGCAGAAATTCTTTTGAATGTTATTCTGCATCTGGTTTGAATTAAATGGTCAAGTTCTTTTTATATTTGTCACCTCATTCTTTGTAACTATAGCATCTGTGCCAACCAACCCCATTGCATGTGCCAACTAACCCCCATACTGGGGCTGGTTGGCACAAGTGCACAACATCACTTTAATGATGAATAATTTTTTTTTAGGAATAATTTGTGAACATTAAATGTACCTGTTGAGTAGCTGAGATCTTAACCTTTCAGTTGTTACTGGTTAGACTATTTTAACATATAGCATGACTGAGAAATATGACAGAGAGTGAAAAGTGTGTCAACCAACCTATTTCCCCTATTTGTTAACTAATCCCAATTTTTTCCCAGACATGAAAATATCCAAATGACGTGTCATTAGTAACCCCTTTGAAATATACAGTGTATATATATATATATATATATATATATTTTATGGAAAGATGTTTGAACAATTGTTTTATGGTCGGTCACGATTATAACTGGTGGGATAATTTGTCTTAAACAAAATTAACATATTTCTGCAGTCATCAAAATTATGATATATACATTTAGATATATATACTAGTGCAATGCCCGTGCAAAATCTGTTTTTGTGTGTTTTTAGTAATTGTTGGTTTGGTATGTTTGAGTTGCTGAATAGCCTAGGCTACTATTACACAGGAGCCTAAACTCTGCAAAAACGATAATGTTAAGCGCACCAGAATAAAATATAATATTCAGAATTAAACAGTGTAGTTGACTTTCAGATTCAGTTAACATCCACAAATGAATAAGGGTGACGATTCAGGGAGCACACAGTGAACACTCAGTGTGCAGTATGGAGGGGGAGTGGCCACTCAGTGTGCAGTGTGAGAGGGGGAGTGGCCACTCAGTGTGCAGTGTGGAGGGGGAGTGGCCACTCAGTGTGCAGTGTGAGAGGGGGAGTGGCCACTCAGTGTGCAGTGTGAGAGGGGGAGTGGCCACTCAGTGTGCAGTGTGAGAGGGGGGGTGGCCACTCAGTGTGCAGTGTGAGAGGGGGAGTGGCCACTCAGTGTGCTGTGTGGAGGGGGAGTGGCCACTCAGTGTGCAGTGTGGAGGGGGAGTGGCCACTCAGTGTGCAGTGTGGAGGGGGAGTGGCCACTCAGTGTGCAGTGTGAGAGGGGGAGTGGCCACTCAGTGTGCAGTGTGAGAGGGGGAGTGGCCACTCAGTGTGCAGTGTGAGAGGGGGAGTGGCCACTCAGTGTGCAGTGTGGAGGGGGAGTGGCCACTCAGTGTGCAGTGTGAGAGGGGGGGTGGCCACTCAGTGTGCAGTGTGGAGGGGGAGTGGCCACTCAGTGTGCAGTGTGAGAGAGGGAGTGGCCACTCAGTGTGCAGTGTGAGCCAGAGTGGCCACTGGCCAGAGCAGCAAAAGCCAATGTGTGCTTCTTTTACCGATATATTTAACGATATCAGTGTTGCCAGACGTACGATAATTATCGTATTTGTACGATAATTTTGACCTCTGTACGATGTACGATCAATAATGAAAAAAATCCCATAATGTACGATAATTTCTGAATTTTGTGACACTTCAATCGGAGGTCATTGTAACCATAGTGCTTCTATACTCATTGAACTAGCTGTGGATCTACGTCATGATTGTGAGGAGAAAGTGAAGGTGAAAGAGAACGGCAGAGAGGAAGAGAGCGAGAGACCTTGCGTGTGTGCCTCATGAAAGCTACATCCCCCGTCAACAGTCAACTCCCAAACTTGGCTCTGCATACTCGTGCCCGTTGCAAGACACCTGTCAAGTTTGAAATCCATCGGACTAACGGTTCGAGAGATATTCGATTAACAGACAGACAGACAGACAACATTCCTGCAATTTATAGATAGATAATAGGCCTATAATCCATATATATATATGTATAATTTTGATGACTGCAGAAATATGTTAATTCAGTACACATTATCCCACCGGTCAAAATAGTGACTGACCATAAAACACAATTTTTCATACACTTTTCCATACATTTAAAAAATATATATTATTTTAAAATTTATTTGAAATAATAATTATTAAAATTATTATATAAATATCTTAGCCTAGTTATTAACACATTTTAAACTGTTTCATCACATGCTAGGGTTACGATTATATAAAAACCTTTATACAACACTAATAAAAGAGAAAAAAATACAATCTTCAACGCATTTCAAAATTGTTACTTTATTGTAACATATTATCATAACATTGTTATATTAGTGCAACCAGTATTAAAATTTTGTAACTTATTTGTAACATTTTTATTTTTTTTATTTAGTGCATTATTCACTGTAAAATTGTCTTTGCAACAGTTTAGTTGAACCTTCTCTAACAACTGCAATTGGATAGTTCATTGTAAGTATAGGCCTATGTATACCGAAATTCACTGTATTATCCCACCGATCACAATTGTTGCCGTCAACATGTTTACTGATTCTATGACCACACTCAACAAAACTGAATAATTGTGAATTCATATGTTAATACTAGACCTTAAAGATAATAAAATCTTTGTCATATCTTTATGTTAACATATTTACTTACCGTTTGTTTAAGAGCTTTGATGCATGCAGCCATCATCTTTTTATGGTGCAGACAAGAAGTAAACTGCTCTGACCATGTGACACTGCACATATTCTTTATAAATGAAAACATTTTTGCTCTATCTATCTATCTATCTATCTATCTATCTATCTATCTATCTATCTATCTATCTATCTATCTATCTATCTATCTATCTATCTATCTATCTATCTATCTATCTATCTATCTATCTATCTATCTATCTATCTATCATCTATCTATCTATCTATCTATCATCTATCTATCTATCTATCTATCTATCTATCTATCTATCTATCTATCTATCTATCTATCTATCTATCTATCTATCTATCTATCTATCTATCTATCTATCTATCTATCGTGCTGGGTAGATTACTAACACTTACTAATTACTAATTGTTATCCACTGCTGAATACAAATTACATGATTAAAACTGTAGTAAGTAACATAATTAGGTAATGTAATCTGACTACTTTTTGACCTGATTACTTTTGACTTTTTTTAAGATTTCGCCTTTAGCCGTACAGTTACTTGTTTATCACAGATTTGAATAGGATAATCTATATTAATCTAATAATTCAAAAGAGAAAAGAATTTGTTGAAACATGTCATCCACAAAATTAAAAACATTAAATGTTAAATACATTAAATTACACCAGGGTTTCCCATACTGGAGTTTGTGAAGGAACTCCATTGGGGTTGTAAGTTTATGTAAAGGTAAAAACTAATTAAACCATAAAAATAAAATAAAATAAAATAAAAAATGAATATAAAGAATCAAAAGCACAAAATGAAACACAACACAACACAACACAACACACACACAGAAAAGATTAAATATTTTATTTGTTATGCTGTGTAGCCTCTGACTTGTGTAGGCTAATTATACAAACTGAAATACTTTAAACAGAGGCTGAAAGGACAATTTAAAAGATAAAAAATAACAATTAGTGAGAATCAATAGGAATTACATCAATAAAAATTAACTGTAGTCTGACGCTATATATATATATATATAATATTATTTTTATGAATCAATGATATAGAGATCGCGTACAGATAATGTACAAATTGTGATTTGAAGATCTAAAAAAAATTGACACGCTGAGTCGCTGACTTGAGCTCCACGAACTTTATTTTGTCTTTGTCGGTTATATGACAAACTGATCCTAGATCAACGCTGATGAAACCCAGGCGGCGCCTAACGCACCGCGCATGCGCGGACATTGTTTCGATTTTGACTGGAGTAGCAGCTGACTGGCGTGGTCGCCTTCAACAACAGTTTTCACACAAGTGCGCAAGTCAGCGCTACTGTACCCAATCATCCTTTTAGGACAGCAAGATTTAGTTGTTTTGATTTTCAGGTGCGGTCGGTTCCTCGTTTTATCGTGCCTGGTGTTATGGAAAGCTGACATTTGGGGGCGTGTAACTGCAGGCTAATTTTTCACATCGAGTTGTTTACGTGTAGCTAGTTAGCCAGTTAGCAAATCTAACATCCGACCTGATAGCTCGTGTAAGGATGAAATGGATAGCTTTGTTGTTTCCTGTGGATTAATACGTTCGTTTGACAGGTTCCACAATTCACCTCGTCAGATGTGGTCGGTTCAAGCAAGTTAGAAACACAAACAGACGCAAGGTAAGTCACTGCCGGCTGACACTTTGTATTAGCTTGCCTGCTAGCTGTATCCCTGTATCAAGGTACATATGCCATGAATAACAGTATCTCACTTATGAATCATCATCTATGCTATCTACATTAAAGAATATCATAAAAGCCTCTCAATAGGGCCCACATCCTGATCAAACACGAGTAGCCGTGACAGTGTTGAATGCCAGTGGTTGTGCATTATAAATGTCTGATGAGGTGTATTACTGGTGTGTACAGATGGAGAAACCCCCATTCAGACAGAATCAGGTCTGTGGGTCATGGCTTATGAAGGAGAGGCTGGGGACCGGAGGATTTGGCCATGTTTACCTGTATCAGAATCAGGTATTGCACTACTAACTACTGTATGTGTTGTGTTCGTTGCTCTTTCCTATTGTTGGCCAGTTATCTTGCCTTTAAAGATTCAGGAAATGTCAAAGTTTTACATTGTTCACTCTCAATACTATTATTGCTTGCAGGAATCTTCAGAAAAAATTGCCGTGAAGCTCTGTCGCCTTGAACTTAATGCAAAAAACAAAGACAGATGGAGTCGGGAGATCCAGATTATGAAAAAGTGTGTACATCTGTGGCAATCAAATGTTTATATACTATGAACAATTTTTAATAATGTATAATGTACTTGTGTAAAATGTGTTTGTATATATTATTGCCTTATTTAATTTGTCATCTTTTCATCCCACTTTTCAGGCTGAAGCACCTTAATGTGGTGACAGCAAAGGATGTGCCTGATGAGATGATGCACATTGCCTTGAATGATTTACCACTTTTAGCCATGGAATACTGTTCCAAGGGAGACCTTCGAAAGGTTCGTGTGTGTGTGTGTGTGTGTGTGTGTGTGTGTGTGTGTGTGTGTGTGTGTGTGTGTGTGTGTGTGTGTGTGTGTGTGTGTGTGTGTGTGAGTGTGTGTGTGTGACAATGGGACTTTTGCTTGCATCAGTCATGTCTCATGTGCCTTCTGTTGACATTTATACTAACTCATTACTGTTCTTTCTGTATTCCTTCTTGTAGTTACTGAGCAAACCAGAAAATTGCTGTGGATTAAAAGAGAGTGAAGTGTTAGCACTACTCAATGATGTTGGTAATGTGTCATTTTAAAACTGTTATTTATATTTTTTCTGGTTTTATCATAACTCATTAAGGGTGGTAAGTAAAACAGTATATTTTATTTTCAACAGGTTCTGGAATCCAGTACCTCCATGAAAATAAGATCATTCACAGAGATCTCAAGCCAGAGAATATTGTTCTACAAGATATCAATGGAAAGGTATTTGCTATTTAGTAGTAGTTTGATTCTTGTTATAAAGATACACCTTTTCCAACCAGAACTTTTATTTTGATGTCTCTGCAGCTCGTCCACAAGATAATCGACCTTGGCTACGCCAAAGACCTGGACCAGGGGAGCCTATGCACTTCATTTGTGGGGACTTTACAATATCTGGTACGTCTTTGCATTAATTAGTGATAAGAAAAGGCAATTATCACAATTCAACATACACTATCGTTCAGGATAGGGTCAGTACAAGTTTTATTTTTTTGAAAGTTAATATTTTGATTTAGGAAGGATGCATTAAATTGATAGTCTATTAAAAAATCTATTTCAAATAAATGCTGTTCTTTTGAAATTCCTGTTCATCATAGAATCTTGAAATATAGATAGTAGACACAGACAGTAAAGAGATTTATTATGTTTCTGAAAATTCTATTTTAAATAAACACTGTTCTTTTGAACTTTCTATCATAGTATCCAGAAAAAAAGTATCACAGTTTCCACAAAGATATTAAACAAACTGTTTTCAACATTGATAATAATAAGAAATGTTTCTTGAGCACATTTCTTATTATTATCAATGATTATTTGATCAAATAAATGCAGCCTTGGTGAACATAAGAGAATTCTTTCAAAAACAATAAAACAAATCTTACCAACCCCATACGGTAAACGGTAGTGTATCTCTACATATTTAATGACTATAACAGATGTATTCTTTTTAAAGACAACAGAAATGAACAAACAGACAACAGTGTTTTGTAATACAACCTCATTTCCAGAAAAGTTGGGACATTTTGTAAGATGCAATAAAATCAAGAATCTGTGATTTGTTAATTCTCCTGAACCTTTATTTAACTGACACTGACCAACGTAATTGTATTCTGTAAATATATATACATTTTGATTTTGATGGCTGCAACACACTCCAAAAAAGTTGGGACAAAGGCAAAAAATAAAAGTGAAAAGATTATATAATATCCTAGATAAATTGTTTTGAAACAGTCCACAATAAGCAGTTGAATTAGTAATAGGTGAGGATATTGTGATTGGGTATATCACCACTTTGTGCCAAAGAGAGTGAGAGAATTTTCAAACAATTAAAAAATTACATTTTTCAATGCAAGATTGCAAAGATTTTAGGCCTTTCGCCATCTACAATACATAATATTTTGAAAAGATTCAGGGCATCCAGAGAAATCTCAGTCTGTGTAGGGAAAGGCAGGAAACCTCTGTTGAATGTACATGACCTTTGAGCCCTAAGATGGCACTGCATGAGAAACCATCATGCCACGGTGTTAAATATAGCCTCATGGGCTCGGGAGTACTTTGGAAAACCGTTGTCACTTAACACAGTCTGCCGCTGCATCACTGCAAGTACAACTTGAATCTCTGTTACATAAAGAGAAAGCTATACATCAGTTATTTTATGCACTGCACTTTTATGCAGATGACACTGTCATGTATTGTGGTGCACCTTCTAAACAGCAAGCCTTGCTTAAGCTTCAATTGGCTTTTGATGTCATTCAGTCACGGCTTCATACACTAAAACTTGTTTTGAATGCTGATAAAACCAAACTTATGTTATTTTCAAGCTCGAAAAAGGTAGTAGACAATCTTATTCCTCTCCAGACTTAACGAGGTAATGTGATTGAGTTAGTAAAAGAGTATAAATATCTTGGCGTCATTATTGATACATTATCTTTTGGCTCTCACATAACTCAATTAAAGAAAAAATTTAAAATAAAGCTTGTTTTTTTATTTTAGAAACAAGTTTTGTTTTTCATTTAATGTAAGAAAGAGGTTAGTTTCTGCTACTTTTTTGCCTGTACTTGATTACGGTGATGTGGTGTATACATTTTTTGCTCATTTTCTCTCTTCTTTGGATGCCATTTATCAGAGCACTTTAAGATATATATCAGATTGTAAACCTTTAACTCATCATTGTACTTTGTATAACAGAGTAGCCTGGCCCTCTCTGTCCATTAGAAGGAAAATGCACTATTACATAATTATTTATAAAACTATTCTGGGGTTGTTGCCGTCGTATCTAGGTTGTCTTATTCAACAGAAAAGTGTTGGGAAATATTCCCTCTTGTCTCAAAATTGTTATACTCTTTCTGTTCCATTTGTAAAAACTGAACTGGAAAAAAAGGGCTTTTATGTATGCAGCTCCATTTTAATGGAATCTACTCCAAACGAAATTGAAATTACAAACTCTTGTGTCTATGGAACATGTTAAATCTATTATTCGGTCACTCGAAGAAGGCTCAATGATGTGCAATTGTTTTTAAGTGTTTTCATTTTTTACTTGTTGTTTTGATCTGTAAGTTTGTGATTGCAACTGCTGCCCATTCTTGGCCAGGACACTCCTGTGAAAGAGATTTTTAATCTCAAAGAGATTATCCTGGGTAAATTAAGGTCACAAAAAAAAAGGTTCTATGCAGAGATTCTGCCTAGTTCTCTGGGCCCGAGCTCATCTTAGATGGTCCAAAAGACAGTGGAAATGTGTGCTGTGGTCAGACGAGTCCAGCTTGTTTTGGGAAAAAATGGACATTGAGTTCTCAGTCCCAAAAGACGAAAGGGACCATCCAGACTTTCACAAGTGACAGGTGCAAAAGCAAACATCTGTCATGGTATGGAGGTGCATCAGTGCAAACATGACATGCAAATGTGTGAAGGTACCATTTACGTGGAGGCGTATATTGGGATTTTACAGAGACATATCCTGCCGTCAAGATGACATGTTTCCTGGGAAGCAAGACAATGCCCGTCCTTATTCTGCATGTGCTACAACAGAATGGTTTCGTAGACACTCCACACCATAGAGAGGATGTGCTTGACTGGCCTGCCTGTAGTCCAAATCTGTCTCTTATTGAAAATGTGTGGCCCAGCCCCATCATGAAAAGGAGAATCAGACAATGATGACCACTGACTGTCTTGTATCAGGCGAGATTGGGTAAAAATTCCACTTGCAAAACTGCAGCAATTAGTACCCTCAATTCCCAAATGATTAAAAAGTGTAATTAAAAGGAAAGGTGATGGTTACACCGTGGTAAACATGCCTCTGTCCCAACTTTTTGGTAGTGTGTTGCAGCCATCAAAATAAAAATGTGTTTATATTTACCAAATACAACAGGAAAATATTTTCTTTGTACTTTTCTGGAAATGGGGTTGTATATCTGTGTATATATTTTCCTAATACATTTATGTATCTTGATTAGATCATGTAATTTGTTTCAGGCTCCAGAGCTGTTTGAAGGCAAGTCATACACAGTCACTGTGGACTATTGGAGCTTTGGCACCATGATCTTTGAGTGTTGCTGTGGATTTCGTCCATTTCTTCACAATCTCCAGCCTGTGCAATGGTATATGTCCTGATAATCTGCATATAGATTATGTCACAATGCTTATATCTTACCTTCACATGGAATCCATTCATATAGCTAAAATAGAGCATATTTGCTTTTTCTAGGACAAGCAAAGTACGAAACAAAGGTCCTAAGGACATAATGGCTGTGGAAGATATGAATGGCGAGGTCCGCTTTTCCACCCACCTTCCGTACCCCAACAATCTGAGCAGGTAGCCTTTAAACAGACCAAAATACCTTGCTTTTGAATTGCTGTTACCCTTTTTTTCTGGGTCTCTGAGTTGACCAATTGTTTTTGGTACTGCAGGACACTACTGGATCCCTTGGAGGGGCTGCTACAGCTGATGCTTAAGTGGGACCCAGTACAGAGGGGAGGAGGATTGAATCCAGACACAAAACAGCCCCAGTGCTTTGCTATTCTAGAACAAATACTGAACATGAAGGTTTGAAATAGCCATTACTGCATTATTAAATTAAAATGTTATATCTTGTAGTACTATTGCAATATGCTGAGGAAAGTATATCTGCTTAGTTTGGATCAGTGGTGTCCTCCTGTTGTTTTGTCATGGATAGAAAATCAGTGGAGGTCTTAGACTAAGATAAGTAGCAAAAAGGTGTTGACACATGATTTGTTTTGTAGGTTGTGCATGTCTTAAACATGACTACGACCCAGGTTCACTCCTTTCTGCTTAGCCCGGATGAAGGGCTCCATCCTCTGCAACAGAGGATTGAAGCCGAGACCAAAATCGAACTTTTGAATCAAGAGCTTTTGCAGGAAACAGGAGTCACATTAGATCCCAGGAAACCTGCTGCACAGTGTGTGTTAGATGGAGTAGTAAGTATTTTATGGCCTCATGAATGTGTTCTCATTCTCCAAAAGAATGTTTTGGTAAATCAGCAACAATTTACTACTCTTTTCTTTTTTTCCTCTCAAATCATTAGAGAGGATGGGACAGCTACATTGTATATCTGTTTGACAAGAGCTTGACCAAGTACTCGGGACCTCTAACGGCTAGAACACTCCCTGAGAGTGTGAACTTTATCGGTAAGAATTTATTTATTTATTTGCCTCTTCTATGGATCATTTTGTTTATTTAGATGTGCTTGTGGGAGGTTATGTTTTTTTGTTGTTGTTTTTTTACTTTTTTTATTTGCACTTTGATAACTTTCAGTAGGACTTCAAAAAAAGTCTACGCCCATTTTTCTGTTTCAGTGCGAGAAACCAAAACTCAGCTCCCTCTGAGTACCCTTAAGAAGGTTTGGGGTGAGGCAGTTAGTTACATTTGTGGCCTCCGAGAGGACTACAGCCGCCTCTTCCAGGGCCAACGTGCAGCAATGTACGTGCATTACATTACCATGCTCATTAATGTGCTTGTGCTTTGGGACTTTATCTACTCATAATTCAATGTTATATTTGTGTTTTTGTGTTTGCAGGTTGAGCCTTCTTCGCTACAACACCAACCTTACAAAATTCAAAAACATGATGTTTTCATTTTCCCAGCAGCTGAAAGCAAAGCTTGACTTTTTTAAAAGCAGCATACAGTATGACTTGGAGAAATATAGTGACCAGATGCAGTACGGCATATGTATGTTTTTATGTGCTCAATGTTTTTGAATAGTCAAAAAAAAAAAAAAATCACTATCACAGTAGGGATAATAACCAAATCAACCTCTTTCTTTCTGAAGCTTCTGAAAAGATGCTGAAGGCTTGGCAAGAAAATGAAGAGAAGGCTGCTGCATATGTACAGGTGCTGTGCAAGGATTTTTTCAAATTTTTACTTGCTCATCCGAAATGTTCACGTACTTAAAATAGTAATTGTTTTCGTTGTTTTTGACCCATGCAATAAATAAGGTTATGACAGTAGATGTAGGCCTACTATGATTTTAGACTACACAGCCTATAATAAAAGATAATGAATTTCAAACATTTTTTTATTCAAAGATCATGTCATTAGTCTTTAGTCTGCCACAAAAAAACAACATTAAAATCATGAACTCAAATGTCATTGTAAGAAAAAAAAATACTGTTGTAACCGATCTCATGAAAGTGCGTTTCTATAGCACGAATTTAATTTCCTGTACCATTTATACGGCAAAAATAGTTTTTGCATGCATATGATACGCAGTTTACGCGTGCATATGATATGCATTTTATGGCGTGTGTAACGGGGTTCGTTGTTATGGGAAGGAGGAGGCGGAAACCGGCGAACATTCAAGAAGTTTAATAAATAAATAAACAAATACAAAAATGAAAGTAAAGCCAGCAGCCCCTCACGGACGACTGCTGGCCACAGAAACAAAACACAACATAAGTTCAGGCCTGTTCCTCTCTCAATCTTCACTGTCGTCGCTCCTCCTTTATGCTTCCGCTCCTCCGTGAGAGATGCGAGAACGGTGCAACTCACAGGTGTCGTTCATTATCACGCCACCGGCCTCGCGCCGCTCTCACGTCCGATCAGCCTCGTCCTGCTCGCCACAGCGTGTAATACGCACGCACTCCACACCCCTAATCCTACCCAAGAGGTTTACAGTGTGTATAATTTGCACGCAAAAACTATTTTTGGCGTATAAATGGCACGAGAAATCAAATTTGGCCTATAGATACGCACTTTCATGAGATCGTGTTGGTAAATCAGACCTTTCAGGCTATAGCCTAACGCTAATAAGCCTTATGCCAAAATTATTGTTACAACTAAATTGTCGGTCATTAAATAGAAAAACTAAATAATTGTGTAGATGATTTGCTTTGTGTACCCTGACATCAGACATTAGACCCGGCGGAAGTTTTTTTTGTGCACATAGTGCCACGACCAATCAATCACTTCTTTACGACTGGCTGCCTGCACATTCACTGTTATTTTGCGGGGGCTGGCTGCAGGACGACTCAACCTCCACAGACAGTTTAGAATGTTTTATAACTACTAAAGATTTTGCTTTTGTATAATTTTCGGGACAATTAGGGCCGGATTTGAGATTCGGGACAACAGCTTAGATTTCGGGACTGTCCCGAATTTTTCAGGACGTCTGGTCACCCTAGTCTAAGATTAGTTTTCACGTACAGAAATTGAATAAAGAAATCAAATACAAAATAACACTGCATAGTCTTCACTATAAATAAAATATAAGTAGTCAAGAGCAGTACGTGATTTTTTATGTCCTTGTTGTTTGATTAACATTAATGACACAAACAGCAGCAGGTTTATTATTAGGTTGCTGTCACTTTAAGACCGAATTCCCTAAGCGAATATAGTGTTGCACATGAGCTTTATTTTTCTCTACTGTTTACGTTCACTTAAGACATAACCGACTGTGTTTACGAAGATACTCTTAAAGTCGGGTATTTTGACAATTTTGTGTGAATTTGTCCCTTCAAGTGCAAGAAGGCCAGAAAAAGAACTCAATTTAGTATGGCTGCTTTTATTAGAAAGACACCTTTCAACAATTCTTAAAATATCGAAATTTGAACATTTATTGTACTTTTTGAACTATTAAAATAAATAATATAACAGATATTCAAATCAAAGTATAAAAGTATTCAAGTAAAAATTATAACCACAAATAAATAAGATCAACAATAAAGTGCACTTCCACAATCTCTTGAAAACAAGTTTCTTTATTAGATTGTCATAGGTCACTCTGTTTAATTTTCAAGTGGTTAAACAAATTCGTGGTGTTCCCTTGCTTTGCAGCCACTACCATGTAGCAAATCTTGCACGTAGCATGTTTCTGCTCGTCGTCGGATTCCTCAAAGCCAAACTGTTCCCAGACAAGTTGGTTTTGCCTTTTTTGCTCACTAAACGCTGCTGTGGCTGCCCTCCTTCTGCCATCTTTACTTGCGCTAAGGTTTTAAATTCCAGCGGATGATATGCACACGACTTGCCTCCCTGACTGTATAGGCTGAGAGAGTTTATGGCTTCGGGAGGGGCGGATGTTTTTCTCGATTGTACTATTTTGGTGATCGTTGAAAGCCGAAATCGAATTTCAATTAATTGCACAGCCCTACAATTTAGTATTCGCATGCTGTCAGATGTGGCTTTCTGGGCTCACACTTCTGATATGTGCACACACAAAACTTCACACAGCGAGTGACAATTTGAGTTTTCTTTTTGAGTTTGAGTTTTCTTCTTTCATTTGAAGCATATTGTATACACATAGAAAATTATGTATTTGACCGAAATTGCAGAATCAACAGCAAGCTAACTATCTAGATTGCGTGATGAATGTTTATATGGTTGTCAATTAATGGGACGCTACAATTTATTTAAAATGAAACATCTTCAATACATTTTGGCTTTTAAAAAGATTTCCCCAAGAATAGGCAAGAATAAACCTGGTATCCTCCATGATTCCGATTCTCGATTCTTACCGACAACAGAGCACTTGAACACGACAAGATCGAAATCACGATTTCAGAAGTGTGAAGTAGGAAATTTCTGATAGCACTTGAAGGCAGCAGTAGTACAGTACCAAAAGTTTGGTCAGTAAGACTTTTTAATGTTTTTGAAAGAAGTGTTTTATGCTCACCAAAGCTGCATTTATTTGATCATAAATATAGTAAAAACAGTCATGTGAAATAGTATTACAATTTAAAATAACCTTTCTATTTTAATATATAATTTTTATAAAGGTGGCAGAGATTGGACATCTAGATGAGGAAATAATGGCTCTGCACTCAGAAATTGTTGAGCTTCAGAGAAGTCCTTATGCTCGTCGTCAAGGAGATGTCATGGAGCAACTGTAAGCATATTCTTTCAGCTATGCATAATCATTCAGCACAAATGCTTAGATCTTAAACCTATTGAGATGAAATCTTGTCTCATCACAGGCAAGAGAGAGCAATTGAACTCTACAGACAATTGAAGGCAAAATGCAAAAGTAAGTACAATCCTGGCTTGCATGCTCATAAGGGCATGGAATTCACCACATGTCCAATTCCTTACTTGCTAATTGACACATCACTACTTACTGGGCCACTAAATAGTGTTCTTTATTTCTCCTAGTGCCAGACCCTCAGCATGGCTACAGTGACAGCTCTGAAATGGTGAAGGTCATTGTACAGACTGTCCAGAATCAGGACCGGGTACTAAGGGATCTATATGCACATCTCAGGTAAAAAGCATTTATCACCATCCAATTCACAATTAAACAAGATTGTGATCTTATGTTTACTGTTCAACCTGCGACTAGTTAGTAAACGAATGCAATTGATCTTTTTTTAAATGAAAAATACTGTTGTCCTTGTGTTTTTTACTATAGTAAAATCCTTCTGAGTAAGCAGAAGATCATCGACCTCTTCCCTAAAATTGAGAGGAAGCTGGATTGCATCAAGGAGGCAGACAGCACTGTCATGCAGATGCAGATCAAGAGACAGAGAGAGTTCTGGCACTTACTGAAGATTGCCTGTGTGAGTCACATGCTTCTAATATCTCAGGACCAGATATGTTTATAATATGCACATGATCATTCCATTTCCATTGTTATGGTTTAGTGTGTATTGGGGTAGACATTTTGACCACAATCTTATATAGCATTCTATAACAGAATGAGTACTGGCATATCAACAGTAGCAAAACAAAAATTTTGCTGGAAATAAAATGAACAATGGTACTCCATCTGATCATTCAGTCTTAATTGGAACTTGATAGACATAAACCAAAAGATATATTTTTTATATCAGTTTCCACAAAAATATTAAGCAGCACAACCACTTTCAACATTAAAAATAATAAGACATTATTATTGAGCTCCAAATCAGCTTATTAGAATGATTTCTAAAGGATCCTCTAGTGAAAAAACCTATACCAAAATGTATTTAAAGGGGTCATGAACTGGATTATTTCATTATTTTATAATGTTCCCTGGGCTGTCCTTATAATGTTAGTATGTTTTTTACATAAAAAATTGTCATAATTTAGAAATAAAAGGCATTTTTCCCAGCCTGATTTTAGCCTCTGATTTGAACGCTCTGTTTGAAGGGGCGTGTCTGCTGTGAGACTTTGGTGTAAACGCCCACTGCTGTGATTGGCTTACATGTTTGCATATGAAATAGCTAGCATTAAATGTGGAACTCTCTCTCTCAAAAACTTTTACTACGTTTTTACTATTACAGCTATCGAGATTAGTGATTTGTGAAAAGTATTGATCATATATTTAGATCTATTCCCATCACATAAAAGGTTGCAGTGATGAGCATTGAGCAGATGACATGACAGATCGCGTGAATGAAGAGATCTCATCATTAAAACGCAATTTCTGCACTCTCACGAATGCTTTCACGTTTCACCAAATAACAATGCCAACACGATGCAAATACAGTAAGAGCTTCGTTGTGCAGTGTAACAGCGTCATTGATTTCATCATTAGCAAGTGTCCAGATAAACTCACGCTGTGTGATTGACAGCTTGGGCGATTGGAAAGGAAGCGTTCTTTGATTGCTTTCTGTATATAATTTAATCACAGTTCAAATACGATTATTTTCATCCTACTAAGAGAAACGAAGTGAAGTTGATCGTTTAGTCACTGACTTGATTTACTAATGCATAAACAGTATTGCATTTTTAAACAGATTTTGAGAGATAATCATCTCATCTTTAATTCGGAGAGATCTGAATTTGAATACATCAGAAATCACTGTTCAAAGATCAGGCATTAGAATAAACATGGTTACTTACATGTTTGTGGCGCTGCTGGCAGATCCATATCATAAAATATCTGTTTGCAAAGCCTGCGCTGAAATTTACCAAAATTAAACTAATACACAGTGAAATGGACCGAATACAAACAAATAATTCACTACTGAGACATTCACATTGACGTAAAAAACATGTAGACTTAGGCGTTGATATTCTGCGGCAAAGGCGGTCTTTCGCTGCCCTGTAATGTCATAATAAGTCTCCACTTTTTAGATCCTGATGTTTTCTGGCCTTGGTTTCAATAAAAGCAGTTTTTGGAATAACAAGGAAGTTTTGAGTTTTGAAACTTACAGGGTATTTAGTATAATGAACTCTTTACTGTCAAAAGATCAAGGAAAATTTGAATTCTCAGTTCATGTCCCCTTTAAAATACATTTATTTCATACTAAGTATTCTACAAATCCATTAACAGATTTACTGACATATCGCTTGAGACTTACTGATATAAATATTATAATTAAACTTTATTTGGAGTACTTCTTTATTGCACATTTGACATTAAGCCTAAAATGTGTTTTAATATCACTATTAGTAAGGATAGTATGATCACTGGATAATATCAGTCTTTAAATGCAAGATATTTAAAGTGTACCTAAAGTATACTTGCAATAGTTCCACTTTAGCACAATCAAATATACTTAAGTATAGCTTTAGTTGGTCCTCAGCACTATTTCCAGATAACTAAAGTGCATTTAGTACAAAACTAGTTGCTCCAAATTAGCAGACTTTAAGTATATCAAAGTATATGTAAGATTATTCACAACAAATAAATGATACCGATGTCGTTTCATAATGGTTTCATTTTAAGTAGCACAAGTTAAAAACTTCTGAATAGATGAGCCATATTCAAAGCACTTGTAAACTAGTCACAATATTTTTCCACTTGATAAACAATTGTAGTTGCATGTGTTTGTGTTTAGGCACAAAACACCACACGAAGCTCTGTGAGTCAGAGTGTAGAGATGCCCTCCTCACTGTCGACATGGAACCAGACTCAAGCCCAGTGCTCCTCTCGCCTACCCATGTCCCTGCAAGTACCACACGAGGGGTAAATTTCTCTTCCAATCCTTAGTGAGCTACCTACTAGTAGCGATAGTAACATGACATCCTAGGTTTCAAGCCACTGTGGCTGAGTTGACCAGTGTATTTGATGGCGAGCACTTGTTTTACATGCTGCTGTTTGTCTTCAGTGATTCAGTCAATCATTTACTCGAGGAGAACCAGCGCTATTTGAGTCAGCTGACCAGTTTACTGCAAGAAACCACTGAGGAGAAATCAGAGAGCATAATGGTAAGTGCTTTTATGCAATTCTTGAAAGTTCATTATGAAATTCATAGAAATTCTGTATCGATCATGACACCACATATATGCTGCAGTAATAAACTCACTGCTTTGGGGTGAAACATTTTTCCCTCTCTTCCACACAGGCTCAAGACTGGAGCTGGACTAAATATGAATCCCTGGTTGCTAAATCGCAGCGGTTGTAGAGTCATGGTTTACGCTGTGACAGGAAGTAATTGTAACAGTCATTCTTTTAGAAAACATGTATTCATCATCACTGGATTGGGGTTGTGTTGACTTGTATTATTTGTTCAACATAAAATAACTTCTTTGTTCTTTGTCAGTATCTGCATTTAGTTAAAATCGCATTTTGCAGTCCTGTAGCAACTCTATATATTTTGAGGATGCATTTTTATTGACACTGAACCAACAACTTGCAAACAAAATTCAGGCAGTGTATCTCCAGAAATTAATTTATTTACATACTCTATAGTTCTCTAAATGGGCTGATTGTACTTTCATTTTAGGTGGTCGAGTTTTTTTTTTTTTTTTTTTTTTTTTTTTTTTAATATGGTAATTCAGCATCTGCACTTTAAAGGCTCACTGTGAATGTTTGGAAAGGTGTGATGTCCGACAGTGAAATTGGTCATGTTCAGCTATGTAACATTTTGAAATACTATGATGTGTGTGAAGCCCTAAGTAAAGGCAGAACAACAATGAGGATGGTAAAGGTGCAATTCTTTAGTCATGGAGCACAGGTAAACCCTCCTGTTTTTGAGTCAGAAAATAAGTGTGTGGTCAGACATATACCTTCCAGCATAGTCCTTTTATATTTTGGATTTAGCAGTGATGTCAACAGACATCTTCATAACAGGCATTGGTGGCTACGAATGAATATGATCATTCATCAGTGGCCGAAATATAATCAATGAGTTTCATCAATTCAGCCATGTTATTCCCTTTGTAAGTCACATTTTCAACCATGTTTTTATCCAAAGATGATCAGCGTCCCACAAGACGGTTCATCACAAACTATTGTATAATATTGTATTAAGTTTTGTTTTGTTGGATTATTAAATGAGGATATTTCAGATATGGGTTAACAGCATCTTATGAAAGAACACTTAGGTTTTAACATGTTTACTGTATACATGACAAAGTAAATAAAGTGATATCCATTATGTTATCTGTGTTTTGAAAGACTTTCTTCTAACCATAGTAATCGGATGGAGTGGTAAATCATTTGAATATGGGTAATTCATTTTAACTATAAATCAGACTTTTGAAAACAATGATATATAAAATGTTGCTATTTGTCTATCAAGATCCCCATCTTTCCTCAAGGCATTTAAAAAAAAAAGTGAATACTTTAGGTGTTAGGAGTCCCATCTCACACAATACAGAATATCTAACATAATTTTTCATGTTCTGGAGCGAATGTCAGTGTTGCATGGCTTGGCAGCAAGAGAGAAGTGTCAAAATGTTGACACAACAGTGTTATGATTAAACCACAAGTCAGTATGCAAATACATGTAAATATCGCAAATATGTGTTTAAAAGACAATTAATCAAATATATTACAAACGATTTTAAATGCTTTTTGTACCGCTATAAAGGCGAGATTCACACATTTAAATGTTAAATTTCAGGAAAAAAAGAAAAGAAAACCGTACATGCTTTGCATAAATGATCTTTAGTCGAAAGAAGAGATAAAGGGATTTCCTTACAGTGCTCGACATCTCAAATAAGTTGAGTGTGCTAGCTCTGTTTTATTGAGGACTTTTATTTTGAAACAAAGAGGCGTTTGCAGTTTAGTCATTTGATCTGTGAGACATGCCCTCTCCAATAAATCAACTTCCCATTTATCTCCGAAATTGTAACAAGTCATACAATTAGACAGGTAAGTATCACTGCTCCTTTCAGTAATTATGTTTCTCCGTCCTTTAGGTTCGTTGTAGTGAAAAATGAAATGATTTCATTATAAAATTAAGCAATGATCTTTCTGCAAGAAAGTGGGTTACCCAACATCCTACTAAAATAATTGCTGTGGCGTCTAGTTAATCAAATACACCTAAATTAAATTATTGTTCTCAGTTTATTTTAACCTTTGCAGGTCTGTTCTTCCCGGGTAACGCTGATTAATATAATGGCAGCATCTCAGAAATGTCTTGGAAAAGGTAAGACATAATAATCATGAGAGACTCAAATGCAATCTGGAGACTGAAGTTTTTATTGTTTTTTTTTTTTTTTTTTAATTTTCAAGTAGTAGACTCCGTGACTGAGCAGAATTGTGTTGTGATTACAATCCACCATTTATATAACATCTACATAACATGTCCAGATGTGTCTTTTGTTATGTTAGGAAACGGGGAGTTTGTCATTGTACACAAGAATTTGCTTGATATAACAGCTATGGCTTACGGACACGGTGCTTTAAATGCTGACGACAGCATGACATTGCACTTTCATGAAATCACCACTGCATATTGGCAATGATATTTATGACTGAGCGGATCCTTTACAAGTGCTACTTCATTCGCTCGAGGAATCAGCACTGTCACAGTTTGCTTTGCTGATTTCTTATCGTCCTGTTATGCTCAATCTTGTCGTTTCTGTCATGCTTTACCTTTTGACCTCTGTAACTTTTATAAATATGTTAGTGTTGTCATTTAAGTCGTGTGTCTATGAAAGGACTGTTACTTCAAGTTAATTTTCATGTTTTTAAATATTTGTGTGTGTGTGTGTGTGTGTGTGTGTGTGTGTGTTTCATCCAGTATAAAGTAAATAAAGTATATCCAGTAATATACGCTGGGGGCATGCAAATGTATGCATGATGACAACATTATTGAAAAGACATTTTGTATCATTAGAAACATGGAGGCCTACAAGTGACTCCTAATACTATACATCAATGTCATCGCAACAATAGGTAGATCACGTCTAACATGTTTTGCCACAGGAAGTGCTGCTCCTGGCCCTGTGCCAAAGGACCATATTCGGCTCTATAGCATGAGATTCTGTCCTTTTGCCCAACGGACAAGATTGGTGCTCAATGCCAAGGGAATTAAGTGAGTACAAACACAAACTTGCATTAGTGTTTACCTAATGTATAAACATTGTTTCTGCTTTGAGTGAAAAGAAAAGCCCCTTTGAAGAATTGAATCTGTATTTCACCGTAGACACGACATCATCAACATCAATTTGAAGGATAAGCCAGATTGGTTTCTGGAGAAGAATCCTCTTGGTTTAGTGCCAACGCTGGAGACCCAGAGTGGTCAGGTGTTATACGAGTCACCAATCACCTGTGAGTACCTGGATGAGGTCTACCCTGAGAATAAACTGTGTCCATCCGACCCGTTTGAGAGGGCGCAACAGAAAATGCTGCTGGAGCATTTCTCAAAGGTATTTACTAATGCACTTCCAGAGGGATATTATCTAGTCTTCGTTAGATTTAATTAATTACACGTTTTCATCAATATGAATGGATGGTCTTTTTAGGTGACTCCCTACTTCTATAAGATCCCTGTAAGCAGGGCAAAAGGAGAAGATGTGTCTGCACTTGAAGCAGAACTTAAGGAGAAACTCTCCCAATTAAATGAGGTTGGTTGGAATACCAGTAATATAATTGAGTGGGATAATGATTTTTGATGTTAAGCTGATGTCATGGGATACTTTTCAGTTGAGTTGTCACTTCCTGTATAAACGTGTGCTTTCTCTATGTATTTAATGGCTTTTGTCAGACCCTTGTCAACAAAAAGACCAAGTTTTTTGGAGGAAATTCAATAACAATGATTGACTACCTGATGTGGCCATGGTTTGAGAGGATGGAGATGATGGATCTGAAGCAGTATGTTTTTATCTTCTTACATTTATTAAGTGCAAAATCAATAGAGAAAGAGATCATATGTTATGGTATGACATAAATTCAGACATGTGACTATTTAGTTTAAAGACTATTTCCTCGATTAAAAAAAACAAACAATTTTATCACACAAAGAAATGAATATTGCAGTTTGTCAAGTTGACGATTATTTAAAGGGATAGTTCACCCAAAAATTAAAATTCTGTCATTAATTACTCGCCCTCATGTCGTTCCAAACCCGTAAGACCTTCGTTCATCTTCGGAACACAAACTAAGATATTTTTGATGAAATCCGATGACTCAGACGGGGCTCCATTGACCGCTATTTAATTAACACTTTGAAGGCCCAGAAAGGTAGGTAAGACATCATTAAAATAGTCCATGTGACTACAGTGGTTCAACCTTAATTTTATGAAGCGACGAGAATAATTTTTGTGCGCCAAAAAAACAAAATATCGACTTTATTCAGTCATTTCTTCCCTTCTGTATCTGTATCATGCGTGACCTCACCTGCGTTTTCCTCTGCTTGTAGTTAATATGTCAGAACGCCAGCTCCTGCATAATTTGTTTATGACGCACAAAAAGTATTCTCGCTTCATAAAATTATAGTCGCTTCATAAAATTAAGGTTGAACCACTAGTCACATGGACTGTTTTAACAATGTCTTTCCTACTTTTTGGTGATGTTTGGGTGCTCTAAACCTTTAAGATGAAGATTAGAAACTCAGTCATGTTAGTGGATTAGAAAAATCATTAAATGAGACCTATCTAAATGATTGCTTTGCACATTAACACCCTATTCTCATACTTTCCAGCTGTTTGGACAGCACTCCTCAGCTGAAGAAGTGGACTGAACATATGTTGGCGGATCCCACTGTAAAAGCCACAATGTTTAGCACAGAAACCTACAAGGTGTTCTACAAGTCCTACATGGAGGGAAACCCCAATTATGATTATGGTTTATAGAATAAATCATTGTTCTCTGGTAAAACCCACCTTGATTGCCTATTTGTTTTAACAGCTATTGGTTACAAAAGTCTGTTAATATCTGTCTATCATTTATACTGCGATCCCGATTACTCTGAAGATAATTTAATTCCTCGGATATCATTCTTTCCTTTTGATTTGTTGTGTTGATCCCAAAAAAGTAAATTTAAGACTTTGATGATCTTAAAATCAGATTTTTTAAATAACCTGCTGAATGAATTACATGCCTCAATATAAATTTGTTACCAGTGCAATGAAACAAAATAAATAATTATAAAAAAAATCATGTTTCTGGAGTTTATTCAATAGATGAAATATTCTCTACACTGTAAACATTATCTAATTTTTAACTAATCTGATTTGAGCTCATGTCCATTGTTTGATGGCCTATAATGAGATTTTCCAGTGTAATTACTGAGCATCATCATACACAAACAATGACTAACAGCATGTTAGCTGCAGTTACTGTCCCCCTGCTCAAGGGTTACAATGGTAACAGGGCTCTCAGTATTTCAGTAGTTCACAGGTCACCCCTTTCTCGAATTTAACCTGCAGTGTTTGCCTTAATACCCCTATTCATTAGGTGTCCACCACTGACTCCAATGAGTCATATCACACATCCATAATCTTACCAGAAGCAGGAAGAATGCCACTGAGGTTTAACAAACATGCAGGACAGATAAGCACCTAAATTAGTCTTCCTCAGCTGACCACACCAGAGCAAAAGCATTTAGTGATACTGCCATGGTACATGTACAACAAAGGTATATGCCATTATACTTTTAGTGCTCTCCTGTTAACATCCTAACACATTGGTTCCAATTGAATTGAATTGAATTTTTTTTAATTGAATATCTTTATTTCGAACTATCAAAAAGAAAGAAACACATAAATGAAATATACAAACGACTAAAAATAAACAAAACAATATTTCAACATAATACTCAACCCGTTCGAAAAGGGAATTAAATCATACCCCCAGTACTTACCAAAACCAAGTCACATTCAAAGAAAATTTGAAGAAAAAGCAGGCATACCATTTTAAATAATACAAAAATACTAAACCAATTTACATCCTACTCTATCTGGCTATTAAGATGAGAATAAAAAAAAAAAAAGAAAATCAAGCAGCATTTACAACAGTGTTGAATTTTAAATACAATACTTTTCCTAAATACATTTTTTGTACCTTTTTTTAAAATTGCAACACGTTTACACTTTGTTTAATCGATTTGTTTAGACCATTCCACAAACGCACCCCCGCAATTTGATAAATAAAAGTGTAAAGCTAATTGTTGGAGTTTCTTTCTGCAGTAGGCAATGTACTATAATAGGGATCAGGTCAGGTGAGCTGAATTAAGCATACTGTGCACAACAGAAGCTTTGAGATGTCAATGTCATAACCTATGACTAAGTGACCCACCCTGTTAGGGTACATTTACAAAAAAAAAAGGTTTTGTTTCAGAAAGCTATATCCTGACAAATGAATAAGGTGACTCATTCTGCAGCTAGTCCTGCAAAATAAATCTTTGCATGACTTTGCAAGACACCCACACTAACATAACAACATAAACTGTGAGCATTATGTGGCAACAAAAGATTGTGGCCTGACAGGAATATATTTACTTTCGATCACGACATACTACTTGACAGGCTGGAAAACTGGGTGGGGCTTTCTGGGATAGTCCTAAAATGGTTCAGGTCATACTTAGAAGGGAGAGGTTATTATGTGAGTATAGGAGACCATAAGTCTGAGTGGACGTCCATGCGGAGTCCCTCAAGGCTCAATTCTTGCACCACTCCTGTTCAACCTATATGCTCCCAATGAGCCAAATAATGAGAAAGAACCGAATCTCTTACCACAGCTATGCAGACGACACACAGCTCTACTTAGCCCTATCGCCTAACGATTACAGCCCCATTGACTCCCGCACAGGGACATCAATGCATTGATGAAGTAAACAGTTGGATGTGCCAAAACTTTCTTCAGTTAAACAAAGACAAAACTGAAGTCATTGCGTTTGGAAACAAAGATGAAGTTCTCAAGGTGAATGCATACCTTGACTCTAGGGGTCTAACAACTAAAAATCAAGTCAGGAATCTTGGTGTGTCTCTAGAGTCAGATCTTAGTTTCAGTAGTCATGTCAAAGCAATAACTAAATCAGCATACTATCATCTGAAAAATATTGCAAGAATTAGATGCTTTGTTTCCAATCAAGACTTAGAGAAACTTGTGCATGCTTTCATCACCAGCAGGGTGGATTATTGTAATGGACTCCTCACTGGCCTTCCTAAAAAGACCATAAGACAGTTGCAGCTTATACAGAACGCTGCTGCCAGGATCCTGAGCAGAACCAGAAAATATGAACACATCACACCAGTCCTCAGGTCTCTACACTGGCTCCCAGTTACATTTAGGATTGATTTTAAAGTATTATTACTGGTATATAAATCATTCAATGGCCTAGGACCTCAATATATTGCAGATAAGCTCACTGAATAAAAACCCAACAGATCACTCAGATCATTAGGATCACATCAGCTAGAAATACCAAGGGTTCACTCAAAGCAAGGAGAGTCTGCTTTTAGCTACTATGCCAGCCGCAGCTGGAACCAGCTTCCAGAGGAGATTAGATGTGCTCCTACAGTAGTCACATTCAAATCCAGACTCAAAACACATCTGTTTAGCTATGCATTTACTGAATGAGCACTGTGCCACTGTTCGTCCGACTGTTTTTACTGTACTTTATTTTTTATTCTAAACTGTTTTAATTATTCTTATTTGTTTTGATTATTTTAATTTCTTCTATGTAAAGCATTTTCAATTACCATTGTGTATGAAATGTGCTATATAAATAAACTTGCCTTGCCTTGCCTTAATAAGCTGTCGTACTTGAGTTGTGATATGGATAAGATAAAATAAAATAAAACATTACCACACCAGAAATCAGTTGTCATCTCACTTTTAAGTCAGCAATAAGGTTTGAAAAACTACGTTATGAATATGGCTATGGGCGTTGTTAGGCACGGTTTTAAAAAAAATAAAAAAATAAATGAAGGTGACCCAATTTCTGAAATGTAATTCAGGGACATTTCCTAGTTCAGTGGTCTAAATATTTAATTATTGCTTGTTATATGAATAATAATAAAAAAAACAGGGATAATTCATTTTTGAATGCAAAGGCATGGTCCCAAATCACCATTTTGGAATCTTTTTCATTTGGAATTGTTTTTTGTATTATTTATTATAAATCTATATATATACCCATGTTACTTTCGAAATAAAGCTTTTCTGCAAAACTCTTCACTAGGCTACGTTCGTTTAATAAAAGATTCTTAAAAGTATATTTTCACTGTACTTTTAAGAATCTTTTATTAAACGTACGTAGCCTAGTGAAAAGTTTTGCAGAAAAGCTTTATTTCGAAAGTAACATGGGTGTAGTAGGCTATGTAAGAGGAGGAGGAGTCATGGTCTTCAGCCACACCTATTCTTCCATATAAAATCAACTTTCAAGAAGACAGCTAACGCTTACTTCAGTTACTGACGACACGGATCGACAGGTAAACAAACCTTGATCATAATAATATTTGCTAGATTTTAGTAAAACATGTTAAGCATCTATGATAGCCTCGAAAGTATTTTCATTTTCTTCCCTCCAGCGCGTTATGTAACACATAGTAGCCTACAGATTTTTGATTCCTGCCTACAGATTTTTGATTCCTACCCACAAGAATCACGCTCGCAATCTACGCTAATGTTTTTTTCTTCTTTTTTTTTAGTCACCTCACCTTCGATTGTTTATTTCTACCTTTCTGATCACCATAATGGCTTCAACTCAAAAATGCCAAGGAAAAGGTAAGAGAAAGCAAAGAAATTAGACTTTTGCAGAAAACTCGCCATCAGACCATCCTGTTGCATAACCATTGTTAAGAATGTCTTTCAGATGAAAGTGATAAGCTATTAAAACATAATAATATATAATTATATAAAATATATTGTATAAATTAATACAATTTAGCCTAATTTTCCATTAAAAATAAGAACCTGGGCTCCACACTTGTGTTCCACATTATTTTACTGATGAAAATCCATGCTTATTATGTAAATATGTTCCATTGGTGTAACAGAAAGTCCTGCTCCTGGACCAGTGCCGAATGGTGTTATTCGGCTCTACAGCATGAGATTCTGCCCTTTTGCTCAGAGAACAAGACTGGTGCTCACTGCTAAGGGAGTTAAGTGAGTACTAATGTTGACCTACTGTGCAATATGGTTTAGATGGAGGGCTTAAAGGTGCAGTAAGCGATTTCTAAGAACCATTGTTGAACATTGTTGATATTTGAAATCAAGCCAATCACACCCCTCCCTTCATTGCTCTGCCCCCAAAACGCACTTACACACAATGCAAGAGTGGATGTCTCTTTATCATAGCAGAAGAGCGAAAAATAAAGCGAAGATGACAAACGAACGACAAGGAAGAACAAAAAATGAACATACCGTACACGAGTATATACAAGCAAGAGTTTGTTGTTTATCGCCAGCATGCACACAAAACCAATGTTACTCACATATAGAACAGAAACAATGTAGCCTCAACGTCCATTTTCAGGCCTTCCTGCTTAGGTCTCTCCAGAGCTGGAAAGCCTTTCTAATATTTACGTGGGTCCTATATCTCTTGCCTGATCGTAACCCTTCTTTTCCAGTGATATTCCTCAGACCTTTTCTATTTTGTAATATCTCTCAGCCATCTCTCTTTCAACAGTCATTCTTCAAATCTCCCTCTTGCTCACTCTCCTCCCCCATCATGAGTGTATACCCACAAATGTATCTACTGCTGATTGGCTACAGGTTTGTTGTGGTGCTCGGTCTGGTCCACTTTCAACAGCGTTTTTCACAAATCGCTTTCTGTTTAAGTGTTCTGGTGTGCCTAATGTGTACATATGATATTTTAAATAGAGCATAAATTAGTTTTTTTCTTTTTTCTTTATTAACTTTCTCTGTATTGGTTGGAAGGAAGATCACTCTCTTAAATATGTAGCCACTATCAAAAATGTATTTTATATTCCTTTTACATAGGCATGAGATTATCAACATCAATTTGAAGGATAAGCCAGATTGGTTTCTGGGGAAGAATCCTTCTGGGACAGTACCAGTATTGGAAACCTCAAGTGGTCAGGTGGTATACGAGTCACCAATCACCTGTGAGTACCTGGATGAGGTCTACCCTGAGAAGAAACTGTGTCCATGCGACCCGTTTGAGAGGGCCCAACAGAAAATGCTGCTGGATGTTTATTCAAAGGTTGGTCATATTGTCATTTGAAACATTTACTGTATAAAAAATCTACCTGTAGAAACTGTTGATTTAAATATGGTCCTCCATCAGAAATCTCATCATAATCAGGACATAAAATATAAAAATTTACTCAGAAAAATAAATATGAAAGTCTTGATATTACCTTAAATATTATCAGTTAAGGAAACCCAAAAACCAAGAAGGTAAAACCATAACCTGAGAAGCATTACTTGTGTATTACCATATACATTTTTCATTTCATTTCTACCGTATACAAGTACATTTCTGCAAACATGAATGGAAATTCATACTCATTTCAGGTGATTCCATACTTCTATAAGATCTCTATGGGCAAGAAAAGGGGAGAGGACGTCACAGCATCTGAAGTTGAATTTACAGAAAAACTCTCCCTATTAAATGGGGTGGGCTGAAATACCTACTTTCTTAAAATACAGTTTATCGTGATGATTTATTAATGTCTAACTGCTTTCTTTTTTCTATATCTTTTTATCAGACTCTGGTGAAAAAGAAGACCAAATATTTTGGGGGCGATTCAGTCACAATGATTGACTACTTGATCTGGCCATGGTTTGAGAGGGCGGAGATGATGAGCCTGAAACAGTAAGTTTTTGTTTTTTAATTGTGCATATATGAAATATATAATGAATGTGTAATAAAAATGCACACAAAAAATAAAGCCATTGTACCTGACAGCAGGAGGAATAATGTGCTGAGTCATGGAGGTTAAGTCAAACAGATACAAACAGTGATGAATGACACAGATTAGTAAAGGTAGGGCTTTGGGTCAAGGTTCCTACTGGATTGAAAAGCTCTTTGCATCAGTGAACTTTGTGCCACACACGATAAAACAACCCTTTTTTCACAAGTAAACTTCATGTGAATGTAACCTTGCCTATTGTATATTTCTCCAAAGAATAACTTGCTTGTGAAACTAATAGTTCTGCATATCTCTTTTCATGTTTCAGTTGTTTGGCCAACACTCCTGTGTTAAGTAAGTGGATTGAACGCATGTTTGAGGATCCAGTTGTGAAAGCCACCATGTTCAGCACAGAGGATCACAAGGTGTTCTTCGACAGCTACATGGATGGAAACCCTAATTATGATCATGGTTTATAGAGTAAAACGGGAAGATATTTGTCCATCTGTGTGTGGAATTTTTATCATTGCTCTATTTCTAGCAATTTAAAGCAAATTGTACTTTTTAAAATGGGTATATTAACAAGTTTGTCATTTATACATGAATATAAATAAACCAAATGTATGAAATGTATGTATTATGTTTTTACTTTTAATCTCTATATATTACCAGTTTTCTCTTTGGTAGAAAAAGTGAAATGCCACTGAGCCATAAAGTGCATGTTGTGAGGTAGCAAAACATTGCTTCCTGGAAGAGGAAACTGCCTAAAAGTTAGTTAAGAGCATTTAGTTTTTTTTTTTTAAACAAGATTTTAAAATGGTGACGGTGAAAAAACAAAATCCCCTCATAAAGAGTCTTAAGTCAAACTGGCACCCTGCTGCTGTACTGACTGATAAAAAGGAACAGATTTCTATCTTAAAATCTAAGCAGATCATTGTACAGGAAAACCTGTCAAACAGCTTCTGCTTGGGCATGTACATGTCTGTCACTTTTCTACCATAGTTGTTCAATAGAGGTGGTTGCTGCTCATACTTTGTTTAGGAATTTTAATCCCTTAAGTGTTGGCACATAAGATCAAAACTGATTATATGGCTAAGGCTATGTATTATGATCATGTTACAGAATTAACATGCTCAACATGATAGGTCATCATTTGTAATAACTCATGGTTCAAAGATCCTGAATCAGCTGCCAGATCGATGATGAATAATAAGAGGGTGTTTCTTCAACTATGTGCACTTTTGGCCCTGTGTGCCTTAGAAAAACTCCTTTAAGATCCTATTATTTATATACCAGAACTGTGTTTGCATTATTTTAGATGTGACAGAAATGACATTTGCTGGTTTATAAAAAAAAAAGGATGTAAAGGGAAAATTGAAAACTGTGGTGAAAATGGAATTTTGTCAATTTATTGCAAGCATTTTTTATGGAAGCTTGTTTATGCACTGAATAAAAAAAATACAAAAGGTAATTGCGAGTTGATTTCCTGCAATTCTGACTTTTTTTCTCAGAATTGCAAGATATAAACTCACAGTTGCAAGTTATAAAGTCAGAATGGCAAGATACAAACTCGTAATTGTGAGTTATAAAGTCAGAATTGCGCAATAGAAACTCGTAATTGCGAGTTACAAAGTCATAATTGTGAGCTGACTTTTTTCTCAGAATTGGACTTTATAACACGCAATTATCTCAAAATTCTGATAAAAAAGGGTCAGAATTGCGGGATATAAATGCGGCATTGCGAGAGAAAAAGTCAGAATTGTGAGATATAAACTCGCAATTGTGACTATTTCTCAGAATTGCGAGAGTATATCTCAAAATTTTGACTTTATAACTCGAGTTTATATCTTGCAATTCTGAGGGGAAAAAAGTCGCAATATACTTTACCTTATACATTTTTTTATTCCTTGGTGGAAACAAGCTTCCTTACATTAGGTATCCTAAATACCCACTTGTTTTCATAATTAAATAAAATTACAGCTAGATTGGAAACAATGCATGAAAAAAAAAAAACTGTTCACAGAGTTAACATTAATTTTACTTGAGTTTTCTTCACATACAACATCTTATTTCATCTAAAGCATTCTCTTCACTGACACTGTTTTCCCCTTGGTAATAAAAAGGTACAGTAACTTTTGAAATAAACGTTATTTTATTTTATTACTATTATTATTATTATAACACCATTTTGTTGTTGTTGAAAATGATAAATTTTAAGATTTAAAGTCTTGGTTTGGGCTAGGAGTGAAATAATAAAAGCTAAAGGCATTTGAAAAGTAGCAAAAATAAATGCTAAAACAATGTGACCTTCATATAACATATATAATGAAATTTGGTCCTCTGGGACATAAAAAGTGCCCATAGTTGAAGAAACACCTAAATCTCATAAGAGCATCAGTAACAGTCAGTGCAGTCAGATACTCCACTTTTTTTTGGAAATAGGCTCATTTTACAACTCCCCCAGAGTTAAACTGTTGAGTTTTACCGTTTTTGAATCCATTCAGCCGATCTCCGGTTCTGGCGGTACCACTTTTAGCATAGCTTAGCATACATCATTGAAGTGGACAAGACCATTAGCATTTCTAAAAGAAAAATGACCAAAGAGTTTCGATATTTTTCCTATTTAAAACTTGACTCTTCTGTAGTTACATCGTGCACTAAGACCGACGGAAAATGTAAAGTTGCGATTTTCTAGGCTGATATGGCTAGGAACTATACTCTCATTCCTGCGTAATAATCAAAAAACTTCACTGCCGTACCATGAGTGCAGCAGGCGTAATGATATGACGCAGCGCCTGAAAATAGGCCACCTTCCGTCAACACAACGGAACTATTTTCAGGCGCTGCGTCATATCATTACGCCTGCTGCACTCATGGTACGTACGGCAGTGAAGTTTTTTGATTATTACGCAGGAATGAGAGTATAGTTCCTAGCCATATCAGCCTAGAAAATCGCAACTTCACATTTTCCGTCGGTCTTAGTGCACGATGTAACTACAGAAGAGTCAAGTTTTAAATAGGAAAAATATCGAAACTCTTTGGTCATTTTTTTTTTAGAAATGCTAATGGTCTTGTCCACTCCAATGATGTATGCTAAGCTATGCTAAAAGTGGTACCGCCAGAACCGGAGATCGGCTGAATGGATTCAAAAACGGTAAAACTCAACAGTTTAACTCTGGGGGAGTTGTAAAATGAGCCTATTTCCAAAAAAAGTGGAGTATCCCTTTAACATATTGTTTACATTCGAAGTGCATAACATCATGTAATTAGGCTGTAGAAATCCCCTGCACTCAAAGCCAGAGCAGCGGGTAAGTCTACACATGGTCTTCTGAGCTGAATTCATGTCTCACGTGACCGTTAGAAAAGTGAGGGGTATATTCCTGAACAAGCACAGATGTATTTCTGACCATCTCCTGAAAATGATCCTCCATTTTGGCATATACGTGCCTCTGCAACACAAGAGGCCTAAACAGGTTTATCGGCTCTCCAGAACAGATTATTTTGGGAACCAGAATTTCTATTGGTATCCGAGGGTTCCCAACAACGACGTGATAGAGTCTCTTTTCCTCCAAGCTTTGCTGAAGGAAGCTGAGCAGATCTCGTAATCTGTGATCAAGATTCTGCGGCTGCCACATCGCAAGACGTTTACTCAACAGCAGATGCAAGAGCGCCGTCTTTATATGGTAATTTGAAAAGGCGCTTCTCCCAGTCAAAGCCGTCTGCTTTTTGTGCAAGAAAGAAACTATCTGAAGACAATGAATGTGACACGAGTTGGTAGGAAGTCTTTTCGCTAGGTATTTAAGCAGATTTCTTTCATAGACGGATAGTGAGAGTTGCCAGTGAATGTCTGAGGAGTTGCTAGTGTCAGATGGGAAATGAGAGATAAGGTAAGCGTCTGTTTCCTCAAACTGAACAGCAGGGGTAACATTGAGAACGACAGTCTTTCCAGACCTAAACTTGATTTTAAGAGCTCCGGGGAAGTCCAGGTTCTGAAATGCCAGCTCAAAATCATACTTATGAGAGATCTGGCCCCATGCTTTGGTCACTGAGATCTGAAACCATCTCATGATCTGATCTTTCGACAAATACGTGGTGTTCCTTGCACAGAGGAGTTCCACCAAAGTGTGTTCCTTAAGCTTTTCACACTCATTTCTATTGTGAAGCAGACATAGCATATCATCACCAAGATTGATTGAGCCACAGAGACAACCTGGTTTTATGAGTTGAATCCTTCCACATCCTTGCAGGTCAAGTGGGATTTCAGTGGCAGGGTCGCACCAGAGCTGAAACTGGAACCTGAATGGCTGGGGTGGAGAAAAAGGCACAATAAGGTCACACATAGGAGGTTTAGACACCCTCCAGGACTCAAACATACTTCCTATGCCAACAAAGTCCTCGACTTCCAGGTCAGCTTCTCGATCGCAAACACTTCTCAAGGCCTCAAGCAAATCATCTGCAAAGCCTTCGATAAACTCCCGCACTCTCCCGGTCTCGTGGATAAAAGGGTGGAAGCGGGTCTTGCAGAAGTTATTTAGGACGTCTTTATCTAAGGCTACTGACTTAGCGCTGAGATATCCGGCACTGGAATCTCCGTCTTCGTCTTCCACTGGGTCTGGAATTTCAGCAGGGATCATATCCTGCCTGCAAACCTCAATTGTGAAGAAAATGACAAGGCAGAGGGCGCTCCAAAAGTACCAGCCGTAACTGTCCTGATCACCAATCAGAGCTGTTTCTGTTTGTGAGATCTCCTGCTCCAGGAGCTCCTGTTCGGCCTCCAGCTTCTCCTGGTGCTCTTTCATCCGGGCCAGAATATCCTCATCTTGCTCATGGAGGGTGGTGTTCTCATTAGGGAAGAGCAGAGGATGGTTGAGGATAGCGGCTACTACCACCACGCAAACCCGTGTAATAGCACCTTGCATCCTTTACTGTGCGTCTGGGAAAAAATATTTTTGGATTATTGTCAGCTTCTTGAAAGGAAACACTATCTTCTAACTTTTGCAAAAACATGTCATCATCAGAGTGCTAATTGTGAACTGTAATAGAAAAGACTGTCCTGCACTGGGGAAGGAAGTCAGATAACCCTTGTCAAACAACATAAATTAAACCAGCCAGATAACTGTATCCAGATAGAAGTATCCACTGGAAACAACTGATTTATGATTTATTTATTTTTCTTAATACAAATATTGATATCAGGGGTGAGAATCTGCTTAACTTGATGATTGGGTAAAAAGAACTGTTCTCATCTATGCAAAGAACTTTGAAATTTTGCCTTGACTAAAGCTTAGGAAGCAACCTAATATATACTGAGGAGGATGTTATGCAATTGGTTTATTTATGGTGTGGCACTTGGAGTCTGAGTGATTCTTGGAATGAGGCAGATTAAATTCCATATTTATACAAACTGCGAGCTACTGGCACATTCAATGGTTCCACTTAAACGCATTAGAGATACAGGTTAGGACAAAATAGATTTAGTCAATCTATTGAACTGATATTCAATTTATAGAAGTAAATGCTACTTTTACTACACTCATTTTATTGATCAATTGTGGCATTTTTTCATATTTAGACCCTTTCCACAGAAAGGTGAGAAGGCAAACAAATACTCTCATTCAATTTCATTTTCTGAAATTGTACAAAAAAAATACTGTTTACAGCATTCATCAAGCTTACTTACTGATATTTTTAAGTGTTTATTAAAAACACAAAATTGCAAACTCACAAATTTCAGTCTTTTAAACAGTATTTCCGCATTTTTTGATAAAAGGTCACAAAGAGTATAGAAGAAAGAATATTATATAGGAGATGAATCAACTAATACAAAATTCACTCACAACCTCACAAGGTAGCCTATTTGGAAGGTTAAGCACCAAGGAGGTTTATTTATTTATTTATTTTTACTTTTCTTTTTACTATTTTTTTCTTTCGGTTTAGGCTCATTTTCATTTTATTTTGATTTTATTAGTGCGTTCAACTTGGTGGAACCAATGTGGAACAGCATCATATCTCATGTTGAACAGCAGCACAAAATAACAAAAAAGTTTCTGAATAGTTTACATGACAACGTAGTTGACTCGTAGAGCAGAGCACCATGAAAGACGTTAATTGGGGAATTGGTGTGGCGCTGCAAATATTCCCACAATCACTAAAAGGACCGAGTCTAGACAACAACTAAATTTGTGATCACAGATATAGCTATGGAATAATTAGACTAGACAACGGAAGGAAGACTTGTTAACACATGACTGGAATGAATGATTAAAGTCGGTGTGGTAAGTTTGTCAGTGAGAAGACGACTGAGACTTGTAGAGGGCGGTGACTATGCTAAATGCAGAAGTCTCTTTTTAATCGCCAAATTCGACACAATTGCGTATTCTTATTTTGACATATTAAGATGTTTTATAAGACCGTTGTGGTCTTTTTTACTCATTTGTATCACAGTTGTTACAGTGTCTTAATCATCTATAAAACAGCAGACGGAAACCACGCTGAGTCTTTGTTTTAAACCAAGAACAGAAAAATAACTTACATCCTCCTAATCCAAAAGTTAACGTCCAGCGTTGTCCATTGCCTCAGAATAATACTGAACCGACACAAGAGAAAGCGCTGCTGTAGTACCGTTATTCTGCAGTTTCCTCATCTGCTCGATTCTCACGAAGCTGCTCTCACATCCAGGAAGTGACCAAAGTGGCCGTTTTCGCTCCTCTATAAAAAGCACGTGGGTCAGCCCTGTTCTTGGGTCAACATCACATGTAACCATAGCTTGTAGTAGACGCACGCAAGCACACACGCCATTCTTCGGGATGGTGAAAACATTTAAGCTTTTTTTCTAGACGCGAGTTTATACTTACTTAGTAGGCCTACTTAAATACTATTATACGTGCCTGTATTCATTGAGGATGTATATATGCAATTACAAAAATAAATTGCATTTCAAATTTAGTTTTTCGACAAAGCATTTACGAAAAAAATTCAGCTCTTTTGAAAGATGTGCGGCTGCGCAGACTAGACTAGTCTAAAGACGGAGGACAAATATGCCCACACGAGGTCGCTGCCTCACCAAAGTTCAGTTCAAAGTTCTACCTACCATAGACTGTAAAAAAAGCTACCTACAATAATGTTTAGATATGAGAGTTTCTGTCAAATAACCACCATTGCAATTGCAATCAACCGTTGGTATTGATTTTGAATTTTATATTCGATGTTATTTTCCTAAGGGTGATGCATGCTATGACAAAAGTATCCATCCATCCATTCTCCGAACCGCTCATATCATCTGTAGGGTAGGGGGAGGGCTGCAGCCTCTTTCTCACTTTTTAATAAATAAATAAAAATACTAAATATAAACATGACCATAAATATGAAATATTTCCTCACACGACGCTTGAAATAGCATTCAATTAAACAACAAAGAAAATCAACCCCGTTTAAATCAGTTTTAAAGGCAGGTATTTCTGGCATGCGCACATTTGGGTGTGACCAAAGGGAGCTTACAGGTGCGCGCGCTTTACTTGTGAACTCATCGCACTTCAGCACGCAGAGATCGCGAGATGCGTTAATAATTGTGAATCATTCATTTTTCACGTGATCCAGATAATTATATATAATTTTCGTTGGTCTTTTTTGCGTTTTTGTGACTTAAACAGCGCACATTGCAGAACAGCGTATTTGGCGGTCATTGTCAGATAAGTAGCCTACCTACCTTTGACAGCCTCTAATATAACGTAAACTGTAATTAATGGATCGTTTAAAGTTGGTTTTACAATATTTCCAGTCAAATTCGGAGTCCATCTCCAATGGTATCTGTATAATATTGTCACTGATCAGCGTCAAATTGTATACAAGTTTTGATTTCAACTGCCCCTGTTTACCGCAATACAATAAGATGTACGCAATGGGGGTCATGTTCGTCCCCCCAATTATACTGTTCCTTTTGGGAGTGCTAGTGAATCGCCATACAGGGGTGCTGATGGAAGAGTGGGTCAGACCCTTGGGCAAGAGGTCAAAAAATCCGGCAGTGGTAAAGTGAGTTTGATATATATTGATATAACAATATTATTTGACTAAATAATATTAATATTGATAATACAAAAATATTAATTATATCCTCCTCCCAGATTTCTGCTGTCATCAATGATGCAACGGGCCCTTCTGGCCCCCATGGTCTGGATTTTGATGACACTCTTGGATGGAAAATGTTTCATCTGTGCATTTAGTATGAACGTAGACCCTAAATATTTTACAGGAATACCTAACAGCACCGGCCTAGAACTAATCAAGATCATGGCTAAGGTGCCTTGCAAAGAAGATATCATCTTCAAAAACAGCAGTTTTCGGAAAGCTATATCACGCTATGTGCGTTGTTACTCTCAAGTAAGTGTGTTTTTCTCACTTTTTTCTCACTTTTTTTACATGCTTACATACCTAGTCTTAAGTCAATGAACTGTGATGTCAATGTCATTTTTTACTTGAAACCTGCTAAGTAAGATTGAGCTGTTCAAGTTGACTTGAACAGACATTTTTCAAATCTGTAGGTGGTTAAAACCCTTTTATACCTTGCATTCGGAAAGCTGTGTCATGCTATGTTACTGTCCATTAAGTGTTTTCTCACATTTTTGTGTATTTTCTTTCTGTTTACATACATAGTCTTTAGTCAATGAACTGTGATGTCAATGTCATTTTTGACTTGATAGCTGATAAGATTGAGCTGTACAAAGTTGACAGGAACAGACCTTTAGCAAATCTGTAGGTGGTTAAAGTCTTTTCATACTTTTGCATAACCACATGATTCATCTATTCTTCTTGACAATTTATCTTCTTTTCTAAGGCAATAGGCTGGTCAATACTCCTCATCTTCATTTTTTTGGGTGCTGTGGGTCGCGTCATCAAGCCTTGCTTCAATCACGCCACTTTTCTACAGACTCGTTACTGGAGCAATTACCTGGACATTGAACAGAAGCTCTTCGATGAGACCTGTGTCCTTCATGCCAGAGATTTTGCCAGAAAATGCGTGGTTCAGTTCTTTGAGAGCATGCGAGAAGATGTGACCGTGAGAATGCCCCTCTCAAGTGCACTCAGAGCCAGGACAATCCGTAATGAATATGAAGAGGAAGAAGAAGAGCGTCTGCATGGTATTACCAGGCAAGATCAGGTGGATCATTTGCTGCAAACCTGGTACGAGTGCAAACCAGAACTGGATGTGACCAAGATGGCCTATAAGCCCAAAGTATGTATCACTTGGGAAGATTACAATGGAAAGGCGTTATTCTCTGATGTGTGAAATTGTGAAAAACAGAAGTAAGGATTCATGCAAATAAGTGACGTTAATAAAGGTAATGAAAAATGTTGATGAATCCCAAAATTGTACTAAATTGAGGTCTAAATAACTGATTATTGTTAATTCAGAGGCAAAAGCTTGCATGCTGATGCATATGTAATGTACTGTATTCATCAATGAATGTTTCATCATATGAATTTAGAAAACAAACATTTTTTAATTGTAATGCTACTGTCAGATTATTGTCAATTCAGAAAGCCTTTTAACCCTCTTCAAGAGCTTGCATGCTGGAGCATTTGAATATGCTGGGATTTAGTTTGTGTAATTTTGCATTTCTCTTTCCACACACATTACACAACAACCTCATGGATATGGCTTGGATGCAAATGCCTGCGGAACCTTGGCAACACCTGAAAAAATATGTGTAATGATTATGTATATGTCTGTATGTATTGTATATGTGTATCTATTAATAAAATTAACATATATTAATACAATTATGTTTATCATCTTAGCTGTGTGACAGACCACTGTCACCAAATTTTGTATTTGTATATTGTATAGTACATGTCTTGAAATGTACTTTTGCCTCCAGTAAACATTTTCAGTGAGATCTATTTTGTCCTTTAGTTATGTGGTTGACATGCAGGAAACAATATAAGCACTGACTTGACAATGTGAGAATGAAAATCACACCCATCTATAGAACTTCTAAAGGAGTGGCCTGTCACACATGAGTATCAATGCTTTAAGTTCACCAGGTGAATGTTTCATCACATAGGACTCATCTCTGCTCCAGCATTCTTGCTTTCTTTTCTCTCTGACAGGATAGAGTAAGTGTTTGATTATTTTAATAAATTTTATTATTTATTATTTAGCTGTGTAAACTTTTGCTCTAAAATTTTGCTCTAAAAGGTGAACTCCCTTTCTGAAAATGGATAAGTTTCGGATTATGGTCCAGTTTTTGCAAGCCAACCAAGAGTCCTTTATGAATGGCATCTGTGGGATCATGGCTCTGGCAAGTGCTCAAATGTATTCCTCTTTTGAGTTTACATGCCCTTGCCTTCCAGCCTACAATTATGCGTATGCAATCGGAATTCTAGTCGTGCCACCAATATGGTTCTTTTTACTTGGATATGTACTTAACAACAACATATCAGTGTTAACTGAAGAATGGAAGAGACCGATGGGCAAGCGCAGAAAAGATCCAGCGGTTTTGCGCTACATGTTCAGCTCCATGACGCAGCGCGCTCTCATCGCTCCAGTTGTATGGGTAGCCGTAACTTTAATGGATGGCAAGAGCTTTTTGTGCGCTTTCAGTGCCACAGCGGATTTATCCGAGTTCCTCAACGACACCTATAAAAGCTTATCAAAATATGAGCTTCAGAAATTACAAGCAAGGATTCCATGTGAAGACGTATTTGATGGGCATGATATTATCTCCAGAGATGCGGCCACTAGGTATATTCGCTGTTTTTCACAGGTAATGCTCAACTTGATGTCTAAATGGGGTTTTCAAAATAGGCTCACTTTTACCTATTACAATTAACGCTGGGTAAAGCAATGTTTCACATTTATAATTTTTAAAGAATAGCAGCTGGGTAGTGAATTGATATAATGATAATTATGCAGCGCGAGAGTGCATATAGTGCCCGCCCATCCATATAGACCCCCCCCCCCCCCCCCCCCCTCTCTCTCTCTCTCTCTCTCTCTATATATATATATATATGCAATATGGCTTTTGAAAATCCGACAAAAAGACAAGTTGCAAGACTGTTATGTGTTTTTGTTAAGGGAAAGAACATCAATCGTATTAAGCATTGCGAATGACAAAATAGAATTAAAATTGACGGTGAAATAAAAAATATATATACCTAGGGCTATTTATCTGTAAACTTATATATCAGTATATTGTGCGTGTATATATATATATATATATATATATATATATATATATATATATATATATATATATATATAATATATATATATATATATATATATATATTATTGCTGTCAAATCGATTAATCGCATCTAACATAAACGTTTGTTTACAATATATGTGTGTGTATATATATATTATTAAATTTATATATTATATAAATGTCTGTGTGTCTGTCTGTGTGTGTTTACTGTGTACTTATAGACATAGATGTGTGTATGTGCATTGTGTACATAGACACACACACACTCAGCGACATATATCGGTAGGCCTATATGGTATATCTAAATTTGATTACACACACACACACACACACACACACACACACACACACACACACACACACACACACACACACACACACACATTATGTAGACACAAACTTTTATGTTAGATGCGATTAATCACGAATCGATTGGACAGCACGAATATAGGCCTATATGTATTTATATAGGCCTAGAAATATATGTGTGTGTGTGTGTGTGTGTGTGTGTGTGTGCACTCACCGGCCACTTTATTAGGTACACCTTGCTAGTAGCATACTGGATTTTGCCTTCAGAACTGCCTTAAATGTGCAGTAAGCGATTCCTGAGAATCATTGTTGAACACTGCGAAATTTGAAATCAAGCCAAGAGTGAATGTCTCTTCATCATAGCAGAAGTGAAGCAAAATAAAGCTTTGAGACAAATAAAGCGAAGATGATGAATGACAAGAAAGAACAAAACAAAAAAAGAACATACAGTACACAAGTACAAGCAAGAGTTCGTTGTTAATCGGCAGCAGAACGCACTCAAAACACAATTTACTCACACATAGCAGAAACAATCCAACATAGGCATTCGTTTTCAGGCCTTCCCGCTTAGGTCTCTCCAGAGCTGGAAAACTTTTCTAATATTAACACGGGTCCTAAAGCTCTTGCCCGATCATAACCCTTCTTTTCCAGTGATATTCCTCGGACCTTTTCTCTTTTGTAATGTATCTCAGCCATCTCTCTTTCAACAGTCATACCATGCTGATACCAAGGGGCTCAAAGTGTGCCAAGAAAATATCCCCCACATCCTTACACCATCACCAGCAGCCTAAACCGTTCATACGAGGCAGGATAGATCCATGCTTTTATGTTGTTTAAGCCAAATTCTGACCATACCACCTGAATGTAGCAGCAGAAATCGAGAGACTTCAGACAGGCATTTTTTCAATCTTCTATTGTCCAATTTTGGTGAGCCCGTGTGAATTGTATCCTCAGTTTCCTGTTTTTAGCTGTTTTAGCGGAGAGGCACCCGGTGTGGTCTTCTGCATGCTGTAGCCCATCTGCTTTAAGGTTCGAGGTGTTCGCGTTCAGAGATGTTCTTCTGCAGACCTCAGTTAAAACGATATTTGAGTTACTGTTACTTTTCTATCAGTTCGAACCAGTCTGACCATTCTCCTCTGGCTTCTTGCATCAACAAGGCATTTGTGCCCACAGAATTGCCACTGCCTGGATATTTTCTCTTTTCTGACCATTCTCTGTAAACCTTGTGCATGAAAATCCCAGTAGGCTAGATCAGCACTCTCTGAAAGTTTGTACTTCAGAAGATTGTCTTGATCATGTCTACATGCCTAAATGCATTGAGTTACTTCCAGTGATCGGCTGATTAGATATTTGTGTAGTATTACAGTATTGAGCAGGTGTACCTAATAAAGTGGTCGGTGAGTGAATATATAAACAAACAAACAAACACACACACACATAAGCAAGCTATTTATTGGACAATAAAGCTTTTTACAATTAATTAAAATCCATCTAATCACTCTGCACAATAATCCAGGAACAATGTGAATCAAAACCACAACAACTGAAGCAGCTAACTTTGCAAAACACAAAATTTATGTTACTGCTAATACCTCTGACCACAGCTGTATAGAGTAGCTTAGCAGCAGACAACCAATCATAAACTGCCTCACCTCTTACCTCTTTGCAATTTCACAGGCTTGTAGAAACTTTTATGCACTAAGCCAACTGAGGTTGAAACAGAATTTCATGCCATTCGTAAATATTTTACATTTTGGTGAATTGGTGGCAAATCTTCGTACAATCTGCTTACCTCCACTGATGGTTACGTTTATGGGTGGGGTTAGGGGTGGAGCTTCATGCTTCTTTTAAAAAAAAAATCATATGATATCGCCATCTCGTAAAAAAGGTAATTTTTAATGTCAAACTTGCACCTAGAGAAAAGAAGAAACTATTTGAGTAGAGATTATTACTAGAATTTATGGTAACACTTTACAATAAAGTTCATTAGTTAACATTAGTTAATGTATTAACTAACATGAACTGATTCGTTACAGTATTTATTAATCTTTGTTAATGTTAGTTAATAAAAATCCAGCTGCTCATCGTTTGTTCATGTTAGTTCACAGTGCATTTACTAATGTTAACAAATACAACCTTTAATTTGAATAATGTAGCTATAGTAAATGTTGAAATTAATATTAACTCAGATTAATAAATGCTGTAGAAGTATTGTTCATTCTTAGTTCATGTTAACTAAGGTAGTTAACTAATGTTAACTAATGAACCTTATTGTAAAGTGTTACTGAATTTATTTTCATGATTTAAATCAGACATTTTCACAGTTACACAAGAGGTTATTAAAACAGGTCCAAGAATAATTAGGACCTCATGGTAGAAATGATCTATGAAATACAATTTGTTTCAATTGGGACTATATAATGCATTAATCTGCTGTAATGTTTTTTTGTTGTTGTTGTTTTTAGGCCTGTGGATGGACCTTTTTAATGATAATAACTATAGTAGCCTTCTTGGTAAGAGCAATAAGACCTTGTTTTAGTCAAGCCGCTTTTCTTAAAACCAAATATTGGTCACACTACATTGATACAGAGCGCAAACTATTTGATGAAATGTGCAAAGAGCACGCCAAGAGCTTCGCTAAGGTCTGCATACAGCAATACTTCGAGAGCATCAGTGGTGAAATTGTTCCGCAACTTTCCCAACCCATAAAGAAAGGGAAAGGTAATAAAGATGATGATGGGGAAAAACAGAAGAGTGACGAGGAGAAGCTTCTTGGGATCCGTAAAGAAGACGACATGAATAAAGTCCTGTGGAACTGGCATACATGTAAACCCCCACTACTGGTAAATAAACGTGCTGAAGATATGAATGGACATGCACGCTTGGATACTCACAGCTTTTCTGATGAGCGCCACACTCAGAAACCTATGAAGAAAACAGCTGTGGCATACTACTCCAAAGTCTGACTTAATGTTTTAATCTTACTAATGAAGAATTGAATGAAGTGCTTTAGCAGTATCACTGTCAAGAGAGTCCTGTTTTCATATCTCTGAGTCCTATCTCATTTATATTTATTGCATGTAACTTCCTGTTTTATATCCTCCAGAGACTTCAGTCGATCTACTATATGTTGTTTGTTACCATAAATAAATGAGAACATAAATAATAGGATATCATGGGCTTTTCTGTGATACCGTAAAGTAACGTGTTAAAGGTGTGACCGTGGATAATAATAGAGTGATGATGACGATGTTAATGATGAATATGACACCTTTTTATCTCCGTTTAAGTTTCTTATGCATGCAACAAATTAAGTCTTACTAAATTTAAGTTATATTAAATACATTTAAATTCGGGAGGAGTTTGTCTATCTAATCCGTCAGTTACCTCATGGACTTATCAGCAGCTGGTTATTTTTTCTGGTATTTAGCTTCGCCCACTAATGGCAAGTTTCGATGGTTACTAAGTGATCAAAGTACCACGTCCTAAATGATGTTCCTCACAAAACCAACAGATATCGCACCCTAAACATTAAATCCTATCAGAGATTGCATCTTTGGAGGCTTCACTATAGAAAATCATTGCTATTTGGTTGCAATTGTCTAACTGGCTTCGTAACTCTTCAGTTTACACCACTTGGTACCATGATGGCAGTTGAACAAACTCAGGGTTACAGGATTAGTTTAGAGTTGACAAAACCAAACCAATTCAAACAGTCCTTGTTGGTACCATGACGCTGTTCATCAACTTTCTCTGTCAACTCAAACTGTGGATAAGTTACTTAATTGCATCAGACATGTGTCACTTTGCTCACAGCTGATTGGTCCAGTTTTGGTTTGAGATCTCTTACCCAGAACATAACCTGCCCCAGAGAAGGTTAGCTGTGGAGCGTACATTTCTATGGCGATGAACATCGCTAAAAGCCAAGCCACTTTTGGCACAAAATAAACTGAAACATAACTGGCTATAGCCACCTAAACCGGCTTCATGGTATAAGCGATGGTCTTGAGCTCACATTTCTCTCTCAAAAATAATTATTTAGTTATGTTCTTCAGTTTAAAGAAGCAGTATTTATTACTAACCAAAATTACTCACCAATGAGGGTATCTTAAAGCTGAGATTCTCAGCCAGAGGTCACAAAAACCTACAAAACGTACACTCTAGATTAATTAAAATTATTTAAAATAAGACAAAATTAGCTTTAGAATAAGGTAAAACAAGTAAAAATGAAGGTAGTTTTTATTTAATTCACCCCTAAAATTCTGGAATTGTAAAATGTAATAATTTTTTTCATTTATAATTAGTGGGTCATTACTAATTTCTGTTCATTAAAAAAGGGGAGGGGTGGGCTTCAATGTTGTTGTGGATAATGTGGGGCCTTAGGGTCAAAACCATTGTCTTTAAAGGAACAATGGCCTGACCTCAGAACTTACTTGCTGTGAAATAAGTTTAATTATTCTGAGAGTTTCTGTGCACTTTGATGCTCCCATTTTGTATGTCTCCTTGATTAAACACACCTAGTTTAACTGCAAGACCTGCAAAAGGAGTGTCAAATGAATTCTGGAACTTGGGAACCACTGACATTTCTACTGGGTCTCAGGAGTAATTTTGAACAATACATTGGATGGCAGTTAAAGAGAAATGAATTTTGTTGTTGTTGTTGTTGTTTGTGCATGTGTCTAATCTTTCTCAATTACTTTAGTCCATCCTATTTTAGTTCCATTAATGCTGAAACCAGATTGTAATTGCTCTTGGTGATTCACTGCTATATATACACAACAGACGGAGCGGGGAAGGATCTCACTTCTTTACCACAACAAATGGAGCTACGCATAGAGATTTTTTTGTTGTTGTTGTTGGTTTAAAAGCATCTTTTTCAATCTGCTTCTGGTTGTACATGATTTTAAAACTGTGTGGATGTTCAGCAAGGCCATTTGTACCTCCTGGCTCTGGAATGTAAGTCTTCATTTCATAAATAATTAGATTTTTCAGTTGATTTTTGGCTTTCAATAACTTATTTAAGTGGCACATATTAAGGCTTGGGGAAACGTTTCCAAATTAATTGCTTTTATATGAATTAAATGCATATTGTTACTCTATGACTAAATTTCTCTTGGAAGAATTTGTATAATAAAGCTGTTTCTGTTTGCCTTCTTCATCTGTCTTTGTCAGGGTTTTAGGTTTTAGTTGCAGACACAACAATCATCATCAGCGGAAAGAAACTGAAAAAGAAAAGCAAGGTCATATCAAGAGAAGATGTCTGTGCTTATCTCAGAATACATCAAATTTATTGCACTGTACATCAAGAGTAAGGATGCTATGGTCTTCAATGGTCTCATAGGTTTAGGAACAGTGGTCGGTCAGACAGCATACAACATCTTAGCTTTTGACTGTCCATGTTCACCAAAGAAGAATTACCTGTACGGTCTGGCTGCCATTGGTGTACCAGCCCTGGCTTTCTTTGTCATTGGGGTAATGCTGAATCGAAATACCTGGGACGTTGTGTCAGAGTGTCGCACCAGAAAATGCCGGAAACTATCGGTGACTGCTGCTTTTGCTCTTTTGGGCTCCACTGTGGGCAGAGCAGTCGTTGCCCCCATCACTTGGTCTGTTATTTCCCTCCTGAGAGGGGTGGCGTATGTCTGTGCTTTCAGTGAGTTTGTAGACCCCTTATCTTTGAATAATTTCTCTTCATATACACCTGGTCCAGAAATCATGGCCCGGTTTCCATGTAAGGATGTACCTGCTCCATTTATGAACTACTCAGGAGAAGTTGAACGCCAGTTAAAGTATGAATCCCAGGTACTTATCACTTTTTATAGTGTTGTTATTGTCCTTAATTGCATGAACACTTCTTGTATGTTCAACCAAATTTTTTTTTCTCTTCTTCATTTAGCTGTTGGGCTGGTTGCTAGTAGGAATCATCTCGCTCTCCGTCTTTCTCCTTCTCTGTCTGAAAAATTGCTTCTCTACTCTTGGCTATCATCAGGAGGCGTACTGGTCCCAGTATCGTTCCAGCGAACAAGCTCTTTTCCAGCGTACAGCTGAAGTGCATGCTAAATACAATGCGGCTGAAAATGTCAAGAATTTTTTTGGCTTTGTGGCCTTGGAAAATCAGGAGAAGGAGCTTCTTGCAAACTGCAAGGGAATCAAAAGTGTCATTCCCAGACTGGAGTGGAACCGCGTCACTGGAGTTTACATGTACAGAGAGATCGATAACACTCCCCTGTACAGCCGCTTGAACAAATGGGCCATGTATACAAATGAGAATGACTGTTAAGTACTTGACAAATAAATGGACATTTTATCCTTTCTTTGACAAATTAGTGTCTGATGAATAATACTACACACCTAAAAAGTAATACCTTCGGTATTAAGAAACACCCAAGAATTATGTGTGCCATGTAGGAAATTTTAAAAATGCAAGGAATTGTTCACTTAACAGAATTCAAAAGTTTAAAAAAAGAATCATTATTTTTTATTTCTAGTGCAAATTTGTTATTTTTTTATATCAAGTAATTTTCTGATAATTTTTTTTTTAATTTGTAAAAAAAAAAAAAAAAAATTTTTTATTTAGTTTGATTGTTGGAAGCAGAACCTAAATGATTATAATTATAAAGAAAAAAATAGTATACATTGATGGACAATGCTCTAGGGACTGGGTCCCTTGTTTAAAACTGCAATGATGATGGCTGTTGGATCACAATTTACAACCTTTCAGTAATCAGCTTAGGCTTTTTACTAATGTGAAACAACCCATAACTATTCCCTAAAAGAGACACCAAGTTGAATGTCAAAACATAGCCTATCGCTGAGATGACCAACTGCCATTGCTGTTTTAAATTGTCAAATTGATATTTTGTCAGGCATAATCTCAGTGAAGATTTGCAGGAGGATAATTACTGTAATCCAATTTTACAGTAGTGTACAATATATCTGCTTTGCTTACATTGAGACCCACTGTCCATTATAATGCACATTTAATTTAAAAAAATATATATATATATTATTTATGTAGTTTTAGATATAAAATATATTATGTTTTAATTAGTATTCATTTGTTTATATTTATACTATATTTAGATAAAAAATGTATTCAAAATTAAATAAAAAAAACCCCATTGTTTTTCTGCCTTTTTCTGTCGCAGCCTGCCACGGTTAATTTCAAATCTAAAAATATAATAATTTGGGTGGCACCAAATAATTAACTTAGTTATTACTAAAGCTCACCTAGATGAACTTTAGATGTGACGTTGGTGCCTTGGAGGCCTGTCTGAAACCAGTATTATTAGAAGGTAGGCTACCGTCATGCTGATGCTGAAACATCTTGTGAAGTGACTGGCTGGGTACACCGGGCAGCTCAGGTGCGTCCATCAACACAATAAGAACTTTTCACTTTTTGTGTCACTCCACTTGCCTGTGTTTGTGACGTTCCAGAGAAGAGAACGTTAATTGTGCAGAAGACAGGACAGGACAGGAGCGAGGAGCGAGGAGCGGAATCTTTGAAAGTCAGACCATCGGCATCTGTCTTTCTCTTTAATTGGAACTATTTTGTTTGGCGAAAGAAAACAACTTGCCAATTTTTGCCTAAAATGAAAGGTAAGCTTCTCAATGTTAACAATAGTTTTTAACTGTATATATCAACTATATTGTTTATTGAACTATATTAAAACAGTAGCATATATGCCTACTTGCAATTGTGCTGTTCTAAATCAGCTTGGATTACCTGTGGTTGCTCACTGACAGCTGCTCTGATAAGCGCCAGAGGTGGGTAGTAACGAAGTACATTTAGGCCTTGTCCACAGGAACAGGGGTATTTTTATAACCGTGACTTTTTTTACGCGGTTCGGCCATTCGTCCACACGGAGACGCAGTATCAGAACACTGAAACCGAACATTTTTGAAAACCCCTGCCAGGGTGAGGATTTTCAGAAACGCAGTTAACAGTGTTGTCGTGTAGACAGTAAAACCGGGGTTTTTGCCTTGCGACGTCAGAGTGTGCTGTGCACCCGCGCTGCGCCGTTATCATAGACAGTAAAAGGCATAGACAGAAAAAGAAATGGACACAGCGACCCCATTGATTTCAACAGAGAAAATTGAAGCCCGTTAAAAGCTGATCGCCAGGCGTACTGCGCAGGCTCAAACTGAGCCTGTCACGTGAGCAACCTGTATGTCTTCTAATAGCTATGCCGAGTGAAATCTGAATAATTTCCTTCCGAATCTCACAGAGACAGAGAGAGTGAGTATTAGCGGTCCTTGATCTAGCAGCAGGATCAACTTTATGACTCTCTATGGGCTTCTCCCTTGACTTTAATCGGACTTTATTCCTCCACGTCCCCCCGATTGCCTGCGAGCTTCTCCTCCTGTCTATACGGTAATTTCTCTACTGTGCGACGGAGAGTTGATTCGTAATGACGCAATCGTTAGCCTATTTTTACAAAAACTGCTTCTACGGGGCCATAACGTAAGATACAAGGTAATGGAGCCTCTTATACATTGTCGTGATTTTTTAGAAATAAATAATGGACAAATGGAGTCTTTGGACGCCTCAGATGTAAAGTTATTTGCTGTCAAAGTGACGCCAAAATGAATGGGAGTCAATGGAATGCTAACAGGAGGTGAAGTTCTCCCGCGAGGCTTCAACTTCCGGCTGATGGATTACCCCCTTGGTAAAAGGCTGTTATCTGGCTACCGGAACCTGTAATAACTTTTTGTTAGGCTTCTGATTGGCCAACGTAGCTTTACGGTTAGGGTTATATCGCCACCTGCTGGTGTGGCATGCGCTTGATAGCGTGTTTTTGCGTTTTCATATGGACGGGATTTTTTTTAAACGCAGGAGGAAAAACTCCGGTTATAAAAATACTTGTCCGTGTGGACAAGGCCTTACTTCGTTACATTCACTTGAGTATTTTTTATGGAAAATTTTTACTTTTAAGAGTAGATTTAAATGTGGGTAGGCCTACTTTTACTTTAACTCGAGTACATTTCTAATGAAAGAACTGCGACGTTCCTCTCGTTACTTTATTTGAATGCAAATGTTGTTAATTGCGTAGTTTATTCCAAGCGCGCTGTATCTTTTTTATGAGCATGAGCGATGCTCAATTTACAAATGAATCACTCTTTTGAGTCGATTCTGTTCAAAGACTTCATCAAACAAGTAGGCAGATCTGTCTAAATCGGTTCGCGAATCAGTTTGAATGATCTCAGTTTCCTGCACGCACTGAATTGTCTGAATCGCTTTCAATTCACACTCGACTCGGAGTCGTAAGTTCGTAACAGGAAGAACATTCGATTTCATTTCATTCAGGAAATACATTTTACAACCGAACAGATTATTACGCCACGATAGCACTTCTACAAAGTATGACATTATCCATTTTTTGGACATTTATAGGTTTACATTAAATAAGCTTGTCCACAGTTTATGAAATGAACACCCGCCATCCCGCGGTAATGTGTGTGTATTGCGCAGTGGCGTGCGAACTCGACTTGAAAAATACCTTTGCCTGCCTTAGACACAGTTAAGTTTAAACATGCAGAAATATACATATGATTACATTTTGGAGAACAGACAGAAGAAGATCCGTCGATGTGCATTTTGATCGTTGTTTGTGTTCAGATCTTCACTAGCGGTCATGAGCGCGAGCACATGTGAAGAGTTTTAACTCTTTCTTCTCTGTCAATGGTTCCCTGTCTTTGAATGCAAAACTCTGCAGAGTAACTTTATTTCGACATTGTCTAATAATCCAAATGTAGTTGTATAAGTTACTATTATACAAACCAAAGGACTGGCAATGTTTTTTTCGGGCTACAGATGGCAGACATAATGATTGTCTCTTCTGTTTTTGTTGCAAAGATAGCCTATCTAATTATGATAATAATAGTCATTTAAATTAAAAATATCTTAATAATAATAATAATATCATGTTATATACATATATATATATATATATATATATATATATATATATATATATATATATATATATATATATTAGGGCCGGGACTTTAACGCGTTAATTAAGATTAATTAATTACACACTTTAACGCGTTAATTAATTACACAAGTTATTTTAATCGCACTTATTTTTGCACCCCGGAACGTTTCTCACTGGATGAGTTTCGGCGGACCGATTATACTGGCGGACCAACTAGCGTTCATGACGAAGAAGCTGACGAGATCGCTTTGGTTGGCCGGTGGCTGGGAAATTTTGTTACAAAAAACGAACGGATGGAAGCGTCGATAAGAGCATGGTTGTGTGCAAGGAGGGTAATCCATTAGCCGGAAGTTGAAGCCTCGCGGGAGCCGCCATTGTAGCAGACCATCACCTGCTGTTAGCATCCCATTGACTCCCATTCATTTTGGCGTCACTTTGACAGCGAATAACTTTACATCTGAGGCGTCCAAAGACTTCATTTGTCCATTATTTATTTCTAAAGAAATACGACAATGTATAAAATGTTCCATTACTTTGTATCTTACGTTACGGCCCCGTAGAAGCCGTTTTTTTAAAAATAGGCTAAAGATTGCGTCATAACCACGGGACTTTCTGTCGCACAATAGAGACATTACCGTATAGACAGGAGGAGAAGCTCGCTAGCAATCTTTAACTGTCTATGAGGCAATCGGGGGGACATGCAGGCACAAAGTCAAGGTAGAAGCCCATAAATAGAGAGTCTATAAAAGCAATGGGACAAAATATTTCAACAACGTTTTTGAGGAATTAGGTGATTCAGATTTGGCTTGGCACAGCTACTAGAAGATTTTCAACTGCCAGACTGTCGTCACGCTCAGTTTGAGCCTGCGCAGTCGCTCAGACATCAGACAGGAAGTGCAATAATCGGGCTTCAGTCTTCTCCGTTGAAATCAATGGGGTCGCTCTGTCCATTTCTTTTACTGTCTATGGTTGTGTGCAAGCTATGCAACAAGGAATTCGCTATTGCTATTAGTGTAGTGTAGCAATATGCTATTGCTACACTTAATGGCAAAAATTGCACTGGTCTGCTGGACTTGGTTGAACAAAAATGAACAATATGGTGTTGCTTAAGCTTATGTATTCAGTCATTATTCAATGGTATACTAAAAATCCATGTGAAAAAAATTACTTCTTACTGTTCTCAGGTCAAATATTTATGCGATTAAAATGCGATTAATTTCGATTAATTAATTACAAAGCCTCTAATTAATTAATTAATTTTTTTAATCGAGTCCCGGCCCTAATATATATATATATATATATATATATATAAACTACCCTAGCAAATTTCACATCATATTTTCCACCAAGATGGCCAGTCAATTTGAATGATGTCATTGCATATTGATGCAGTTGCAATGACATCACAACATAATTTTGCAACTTTTAACTACAAATCGACCTGTTTGTAGCAACTTCGCCTGAAAATTAGTTGACAACAGGGAATCTGTTTGTGTGTTCACAGTCCATGGGAATCAGTCGTTAAAGTGTTAGTTCACCCAAAAAATTTCCCAACCCATAAGACTTTTGTTCATCTTCAGATTGCAAATGAAGATCTTTTTGATGAAATCTGAAAGAATTCTGTCCCTCAATTGGGAACTACGCAACTACCATTTTTCGCTTCAAAAAGTTCATAAAGAGATTGTAAAACCGATCCATATGAATTGAGCTGTTTAGTCCAAAAAATTCTGAAGAGACACGATCACTTTATATGATAAACAGATTGAATTTAGGCTTTTATAACAAACTATTATAAATAGTTATATAAATAGTCTCGCTAGTTGACTTAATGACTTGTTTTGCTGGATGTGAGGAGGTTTTTTTGATTCATGTTGCCCAGCCTGTTTTAGTTAAATGCTCATACTTTCCACTGGGGCTGGAACCAGATGTAGTTCCTGCTGATGATTCACTGCTGCACACAACAGACAAAGCGAAGAAGGGATTTCACTACTTCCAAACAACATGAGCTACCTACAGAAATCTAATTTGTTTTAAAGACTTCTTTTGCTGTCTGCATTTGGTTGTCCATACTTGTAAAACTTTATGGATGTTCAGCAAGACCATTTGTACCTCGTTGCAATGGAATGTAAGTCTTTCTGTTTCTGGATGGTTTTCAGTTACTAATTTTGGCTCAAAGTGTCACGCTGAGACTTGCCCAAAGAGAATTTATTCGAAGAGCTTTTCTCCATGAAATCTCCATGAGTCTTTGAATTTAATGTGTATCTCATAATAACCTGAATTGTACACATGCATATTTCTTTGGGTCTATATTTTTCTGTTTTTTTTAAAGAGTTTTTTTAATACTGGTTCTGCTTTCTTGTATGATGGTGTCAGATAACAAAAAATAGGCTAACTCATTTACTCATCTGTCAGTGTTTCAGGTTTCATTTACAAAGACTCTCTGAAAGACTGTTTAATCGCCATTAAATTCACATTGAGAAAATCAGGAGAAGATGGCTTCTCTCATCTCAGAAAACTTCAAATTTATTGCACTCTTCTTCAGGAGTAAGGATGTCATGATCTTCAATGGTCTGATAGGTTTAGGAACAGTGGCCAGTCAGACAGCATACAATATTTTTGCATTTAATTGTCCATGTTCACCAAAGAAAAATTACCGGTACGGTCTGGCTGCCATTGGTGTACCAGCTCTGGCTTTTTTTGTGATTGGCTTGACACTCAATCGAAATACCTGGGACGTTGTGTCAGAGTGTCGGACCAGAAAATGCCGGAAACTATCGGTGACTGCTGCTTTTGCTCTTTTGGGCTCCATTGTGGGCAGAGCAGTCGTTGCCCCCATCACTTGGTCTGTTATTTCCCTCCTGAGAGGGGAGGCGTATGTCTGTGCTTTAAGTGAGTTTGTAGACCCCTCTTCTTTGGATAATTTCCCTCCTACTACAAAGATTCCAGAAATCATGGCCCGGTTTCCATGTAAGGATGTACCTGCTCCATTTATGAACTACTCAAGAGTGATTGAACGCCAGTTAAAGTATGAGTCCCAGGTACTTACCAATTTAACATAGTCTTTTTATCGTCCTTAATTGAATTAATACTTCTGATTTCATGAAAAATGTCTTCTGTATGATATATATAACCTCTTTTTTTTCTTGTTTATAGCTGTTGGGCTGGTTGCTGGTGGGAATCATCTCCCTTACTGTCTTTCTGCTTCTCTGTCTAAAACACTGCTGCTCTACCCTTGGCTACCAGCAGGAGGCGTACTGGTCCCAGTATCGTTCCAGCGAAGAAGCTCTTTTCCAGCGTACAGCTGAAGTGCATGCTAAATACAATGCAGTTGAATGTGTCAAGAGCTTCTTTGGCTTTGCAGCCTTAGAAGATCAGGAGAAGGAGCTTCTTGCAAACTGTCAGGGAATCAAGAATGTCATACCCAGAATGGAGTGGAACCGCGTCACTGGAGTTTACATGTACAGAGAGACTGGTGACACTCCCCTGTACAGCCGCTTGAACAAATGGGACATGTATACAAAGGAGCTCAGCGATTGAAAAAGATTTTGGGGGTAATAAGTTGGGTGTTTTATTCTGTCTTCAGTGGCCATTTTATACATTCTGAATTATTTTTTTTGCATGGTAAACATTATTTTAATGTCATTTTTGTTTTTCAATACACATTATGATATGTTTTAGCTTTGTAGATAGGCAATTGACACGTCAAAAGGTTATATTTTCATACTGCACAACAGACTATTTAGTGTCTGTTTTATGATACATGATGTACTCTCAGGTTGAGATGACCTCTTGTTATCCTTTGCTAAGCAATAAAGTGCATCTGAAAAATTTGTCTAATGAATGAATAATATAACATCTTTCGTAGTACAGCGGAATACCTTATCATTTTAACTAACACTGACATAATGAAATGTAATTTATGTACATTTAAGACTTTTAGCAGATGCTTTTATGCAGAATGACCTGCAAAAGTGGTTAGCATATGAGACCACTGCGATCAACAGATGGCAAGCGTGCAATCTGTAATGCTAATGAAGTGCTTCCTGTACAAATAAACAAGTGCTACACATAAATCTACTAAATTTAATGGAGATACTATACTGCCTACACTCTTTAAAATTGTTTCTTTATTGGCATCTGTGGTTCTGTTCTATGGAGTAACTTTAACATAGAACCATTGCACAAAAGGTTCTTTGTAGTGGAAAAACGAACTGCCTTGAATACTATCACAGTACTTTAAACTTGATTAGGATAGGGCGTGTAGCAGAGATGTGACACGGGAGTACTTGGGAAGGTTGAATATCATTTGGGCTGCAGCATTCTGCATGAGCTACAGAGGTTTGATTGCACACACGTTGCTGACCAGGAGTTACATTAGTTGAGACAAGAGCAGTCTAGTGCTTACTACAGTCTGAAAAATGTTCTGCAGAGGAAATCTGCATGGTATAACTGTGGTTAGTAAGTGGGTTGCAAATGACAAGTCATTGTCCGGTGTGAGGCAAAGATTTTTTTTTGCTTTCTGTGTGGGTGAGATGGTTGAGTTGTCTATTGAAATGATAAGGTCTTCTTGGCAAGGATGCTTCTTGGCTTAAAGGAGCAACAGCTTGGTTTTTGATCATTCAGCTTCAGGTGATGGGTGTTCATCCAGGCAGAGATGATTGCCAAGCATCCAGTGATTTGTGAGGGTTGTCAAAGGGTGGAAAAAGAGAGAATTCATTGAGTATCATTTGAATAAAATTGATAATAGAAGTCATTAGAGGCGATGCATGGTGTACAGAGAGAATAAAAGTGGTCAGAGTACAGATCCCTGTAGAATTCCATGGGGTTGTTGATTAGATGAAGTGGATATTTTCATGATATCACATATCTGATCATATGCCCAGTTAACTGAGGGCTAACTGGCTAAGAGAAAGATTTGGTGGCTCACATTCATCAGGGTTTACATCCACTGGAAGCAATACCAATTAAATTCTCAAATGCGCTTCAAAAAGGTCATGTGACTGCATCATTTGCTCAGAGAAGACAATGGAAGTGAATGGATCCCATTTGTAAACACTGAAAATGCTCACTGTTTCAATAGTATAGCCAGAAGATGTAAACAATGGTAACACAGTTATTGTGTAAAAAGGACTTATTGCTTTTCGGTGTAATGTTATATCCTATTTTTCCATGGTAACGCAGTGCCATAAACACTAACGCCCTGGACCAAAACGAACTGGAACACAAATAATTTAAATAATCCTTAAAGCACAAATAATATTCTTAAAATAATATTTTAAGAATAAGTAAGAATGAATTATTTAAATTAAGAATTATTGATAAGAATGGTAAGAATGTATTTAATTTAATTTCAACATTATGTCACAAATGTTATCAATTGCTTACCTTGAAATCTTTCTGCAGGAAGATTTAGCAAAAAGGGAAATGTAACATTGTATCAATTCACACTGATATTGCGCAACAGGAATCACTAGTTGCTTATTTCCTTTTACTACATGAACAAAACTGAGAAATTAGCTGTATTTTTGTTTGTTTATTTTTTGCTGTGACAAAATCACTGGCGTCACTGCTTCTGTCACATGCTCATTTTTTTCTTTATGGTAGGGTTGCTCCGAAATCCCCAGATTCTATTCTATTCTATTCACCCTTTTGCGTCACTCTCTCACTGTTTTTACTGTGTTGTCTCTTGCTGTTTTTGTGCCTGCCAGTCAAGCAAAGTGAATTAACCCTCATTCTCCTCCCAGCCCTGTCTTACACAGACTCATCAGAGAAAATCTGACTCGGCCTGCCTGCCTCCTCGCCTGGCCACTGTCACCTCCTAATAGCCTTCAGCTGGAGAGAAGTAGGAGGAAGAGAGAGAGCAAAGGATAGAAAAGGAGAAGGGGAGAGCGAGGAGGGGGCGGGTGAAAGGAGAGCTGTGATCCAGACAACGAATCACATGAGCAGAGATCTGTTTACAAACTGAGCAGGAGAGAAGTCATCGGCACCATTACGTGGAGGCAGGGCTGCTGGAAAAGGCGACAGGAAACACACAGGAATCTCATCACTTTGTCTGGAAAATGCATTATATCCTTTGTGTATTTGCAGCGGAGAACCCAGACCAGATGGTGTGAGGAAGACAGCATTGAATGGGCTGCACACACAAGCTCTGGCTCTGAGGGCTGTATGCCACTGCTCTTCCTCTTTCTTTGTTACGGGGAAAACCGTTGATTGTAACGTGAGGGCGACAATCTAGAGCGAGAAGACTAAAGGAGAGTGGCTGACGGCAACAGAGGAAGGGGTGAGCTTTGTGACAATGTTTTGAAGATAAACAAAGAAATCTGTGACTGTGTAATGTACATTTTCTCTCTCACTGCTTTGTTATCGTGACTCTACAGAGGTAAAAAAAAAACAGTGACAACAACTTCATGTCAAGCGGACGTAGATGGTGATCCATTGTTGATGTGAAAAACACATTGCAGATTTGACATATCTGTGCTTCTGCTTGATTTTGGATCATGTTGCTGGAAAAAAGAGCTGTTGGTTTTCTTTTAACTTGCCTGTGGTTGCACAAAACATTGTAGATACCGAGAAGTAGGTGTTGATATCTGTGCCCGTGTTGACACAGGTCTCAACAATGACTGACTTGTCTTTGTAAATGTTTCAACACAAAGAAAACAGAGTTGCCCTGCCTCCCTCCATATGTCAGTGAAGAGCTGCTGTGATCATAATGTGTTAACCAGATGCGCTGAAGCTTCAAAGCTGTGTTTTTGTGGTAAGAGTTTTGTAAGTGTAAAACTTGTATTATTCATCTGGTTTTGAGTGAGGGGATCGGCCCACACCTTTGGGCCGATTTCAGCGCTGTCTCCTTGGACACAAGTTGCTGGATCTTTTGGTATTGTGGAGCAATCTAGCACCTATCCAGTGGTGTAACGGTGAGTATGAATCATAACCCCCTCCTCCTTCTCTTCCCTTCATTTCTAGTGGCTACATAATCTGGACAGCTCCCTAACCATGTGTTGTGCACAGAGCCACCGACCCTCTCACTGGCTTTCTATCAATGTTTAACTAAAATGCTGCTTAAATTACTACCACCCCCTCCTTCACCTGAAAACCCAAGCCTTTTTACCTTTCTCCTGTTTGGCACACTCTTTTCCATGACCTGAACTTGAGCGCAGCCTAGAGAGACACTTTTTGTCTGTCTGTTGTGAGAGACACAACATTGTGTGGTTGTTTGGCAGCATTCAACCCGAGGTCAGTTATTTTAGTTTTCCCACAAATGGTGCTTCCTGCCTGGGTTGGTGAGGCCTTCACATCTCTTGCCTCCCCCTCAACCCCTCATAGATAGGCCAGATGGTGGCTCTATGGCAGAAAGGGTGCACCACTAGTGTTTGTCTTCATGAACAGACAATTGGCCAGGCTTCACTCTCGTTGCCAAATGTTCTCTCGCTCTCTCCTTTGAAAATGCAAATCTGTATACAATAAGAAAAATAATAGTTTAATGTTTTAATAAAGGGAAATAAAATTCATTACTTGCATTTAAAGGGCTTGAAATTCTTAAAAACAGTCAACCTGTTTGTTAACATGTTTATATTACATTGTCTCCCCCATTAGGAAGTACTGTTCCTCGAGCAGCATTTATTTCTTTTTCTTCTTTTTTTCTGAAGCATTTGAAAGTTGTAGTCAGCTCATAAAATTAAATTTGAGTGTTTTTAACCCCTTTTTACAAAAAGGAACGCTGACATCTTCTTTATGAAAAGTGCATTATATAAAAACCAATTTAATTAAATCATAAAAAGCATATACAGTATAATATTTGTAGCCAAGCACAACTACAGCATTTTCATTTACTGTCTCGCCGCTTCAGCACAATGGAGCGTTTCTTGTCTGCTTTTGTTTCATCCACAAGCACAGCACAATGAAGTGTGCATGTTTATTCTTTATGTTAACGGTGTTTTGGTCCATGGCAGTTGGAAAATATTAACCATCATGCTACAGAAAACACTACTTTGTCAGAAAGCCCAGGGCAATATTAAATCTATCAAATTATATACAACTGTAGCGTTTTGGATTAAGAGATAACCATTTTGCTCCCAAATACAACTAAAAGCCTTGTAACATCAGCTGAATGTGTTTGTGTTGCTATTTACATGTGTTGCCTCAGGATATAGGTTAAACCATTGTTGTCTGAACAATGGAAATTCTCCAGTGTGTGATGAAATGGCTTGAACCCTGAAAGTCAACATGGTGCAACAAGGACTTTTGGATGACTTCTACCAGACTTAAGTAAATAAATGGCTCACTTTTCATTTTGAGAAGTGTTTTCTATCACAACAAAGACAAAGATTCATGGTGTAAAGGCTGCATTACACTCCATGAAAGTTCTGTAAAAGTTTGAATGTGCACATTAATCTGTAGCATTAATAATATTTTGTTGTATTAAATGAACAGTAGTATTTTGCTGTGATTTGAAAAAACAAGTTGGATTTTACCCTGATACGTTTTGAGGGACAGAGCCCAGGTACGATCTATAAAAAACTATACAGTAGCCTAAATAAAGAACTTTAAAACAAAAATGATTGCGCTTGGCTGTTGAACACATCATTCGGCACCACTGTGACATCTCTTTTTTTTTTTTTTAAAGATGTATTACAGTGAAAAGTTCATGCTGCTCAGCAAGGTCCAACAATGAGAGCAGTGTTACATGGAGTTGAGAAACACGAGGACAGTCCGCAGGCTCACAGTATGCAATATGCATGCAGGGGCCACTGAGAAGAGTACACATGAGAATCACAGTGATGGTGTGTTGCCTTTCAAGGGTCTGACAGAAAGAAATATGCGACCCACTCACATAACAGATTCATGAAAGATGGGTGATCAAATCAATGTCTATGCTTTTATCACATTTGAATTTTGTATTCATTGTAATGATAAAAAAAAAAAGATGAGCAAAAATGAATGCTATAAGCAGTCCTGAGCTGTGAGCTCCCATGACTCTCACCATAAACTCTAACAAATATTTTTAACCAAAACATGGTTTTGTTTTGTCTCTTGCAGCATGCATATGTGACACAGACTAACAGATTACAGACAAGTTCTGCAAAATGACCACAGACATTACCGGTCGTCTCCCACTCAACGTCTATGTCATCATTCTTGGGATAGGCCTCTTCGTCTTCATGTTGAGCATGATCTTCTGTTGCTACCTGTTCAGGTATACCTAATAAGGTTACACTTTATTTCGATAGTCACTTTAGACATTCTACTAACTATAAGTAACTTTTCAACTACATGTCAACTAACTCTCATTAGAGTATTAGTAGGCTGTAGTAGACTGTCAGCAGACTGTTAGGTTATAGTTAGGTGTTAGGGTTCGGGTTAGGAGAACAAGTTGACTTGTAGTTGCTAAGTTACTTATAGTCAGTAGAATATCTGTTGGGGGATCAACAAAATAAAGTGTTAGCAGATATTAAGCAGACAGTCTATTAATACTCGAATGACAGTTAGTTGACATGTAGCTGCAAAGTTACTTATAGTTAGTAAAATGTCTAAAGTGGACTATCGAAATAAAGTGTTACCTGGAATGGCTATAAAATGACATAAAATTCTAAAAGAATTGGGCCATAGCTGTATTAAGCATCATAAGGCAAGTGTAGCACATTTTATTTCGTTCAGAATGGTAACTCATAGTCCTTTCCGTAGGCATAATAAGAAAGAAAAAATGTAATACAAGTCAATGATACAATAATAATGCAATAATACAGTGCAATCAGTAAGGAAAAGTACAGTGCAGAAACCGCAGTAGTGAACGATTGCAGATACAGGTAAAAACATACTTTTTAATGTATATTTCACAGACTGAGACGACAGGGCGCACAAGAACAATATGGATATAATGAGGTAATTTCTTTCCTTTATGAGGTAGTATGCAGTGAGTTTTGTCTGTTATGTAATATACAATATATGTGTACGATAGACATTATATTATTTACATTATTTATTTTTTACAGGTCGTTCTAAAGGGTCCAGGGAAAAAATTGAGTCTTCTTGGAGTAAGTACCTGTCAAAGAAATACCTTAAGTTCACTTAAACATAAAACATCTCTAATTTCTATCATTTTATCACCCTCATGTCATTCCAAACCTGTATGTTTTATTATTTTTTCTTCAGTGGAACACTAAAGGAGATTTTAGGCAAAATGTCCAAGCTGATTCTTGCTCCCCGCACCCCCCTCCCCTTGCTTCTATACATCTACATATCTTTCTTCTTTTTTTTTTGTTTTGTTCCAACAAGGTTTGAAATGACAGTGAGAGGAATGATTAAAATTTTGAACTATCCCTGTAACTCTATTAACAATGCCTTGAACCATTACAATTGTTTAGAAATCGCAATATAAATATAAAGCCTCTGGCTGTTTCTGTTTTTTTTTTTTTTCATTCATCATCTTTCATTTTGCAGCAGACCTGTGCGGTTTGCCTGGAAGAGTTTCGGAGCCGGGATGAACTAGGGGTTTGCCCTTGTGCTCATGCCTTTCACAAGAAGTAAGATCTCTTTCTCAACCTCACAACCTTTCTCATTATGTTTCCATATTCAGTAAATAGTGCATTAGGAGGATGCCATATTTTAAAACACTGATTGATGCATTACAATGTGAACATTTAAAACGACACATTCCTTCAAAAACTTTAAAGCATGCCATAGATTCATGACACACAGAATACTGGCTAATACAAGAATGTAAATATGTAGGAACCTCAAATTAAGCTGTCAAGGCATTGCCTCAAAGAACACCTGTCAGACTGTTGTTTCTCAAAGACATTCTGCAGTTTCAGCCTGTCATCTTGTGACGTGGCTATAATGCATAACAGCGCTTGAGTCTATATATAGCTGATGCATTACAGACCCGTCTCTCCTCTTTTCACCTTGTCTCCTGCTCAGGTGTCTGGTGAAGTGGCTGGAAATTCGCAGCGTCTGCCCCATGTGCAACAAGCCCATCTGCAGGCTCCAGCCAGACCCTCTGCAGGGGGCCGAGGGGCCCCAGAACCCCCTGGAGGTGTGACCGAAGAGGGACATCACTGCTCAGAGATAGGCAGGCTCTCACACACACCTAAGAACAGCATTAAAAATCACCACACCACTGGAGCGGGTGGACTAGTCCCAAATACACATCCACCGTCCCTGTCCACCAATCACCATTTCCCAGTGGAACTGAACTGATGTGCCGTGTTCTTGGTCATAATGTACTGTAGCATGCAGCAAGAAAAATCGATGCCTTGTGGACTCCAAACAGACAAAGAAGAATATTCAAACCAGGGGAGAATGTACAAAACATGAGGTCTGAGTTGACACTGTGCAATATGTGCAGTCATACAGTATTCCCCGTCTAAGAGAGACTCACTATTACTACCATAAAGAGTCAAGTTTAGGAATGCCCAGTTACAGAATCCAAAGTTAGGAGCTGCTCAGTGGCCCGAGTCCTGACCTCAAGGATCTGTGAGCTCATTGGTTTTTACTCTTGCCAATATTTTAACATTTGACACTCATAAATGTGTTTCTGAGTGTTCTGAGTGCTAAAGGGAGCTCTTGGTCTTGGTGAGAACCCATGCTGTAATCTGGAACCCTCAGATTTGGATGGAATTTGGCCTAATTTAAGTTATTTAAGGTGGATGTTTTGTATATGGCTCTCAATAAAATGTAAAGTTTTTGTGATGGAACCCATTTTTGTGTTTATTCATTTCTATGAAAAATCATGTAAAGTTTTCATAAATAGAAACCTGTTTTATTTTGGAACACCAAGGATTAATCCCATTGTTACAAAAAATCTCCAAATGAGTTGTGTATATAGCTGTCCGATTTTTATACTTTAATTCAGCAAGGATGCATAAAAATGCTGTTTGCACAAAAATATTCTGCACAACTGTTTTCAACATAGATAATAATAAAAAATATATTTTGTGGGCAGCAAATCCGAATATTAGAATGATTTCTAAAGGATGTGACACTGAAGACTGGAGTAACGAATACTGAAAATTCAGCTTTGCCATCACAGAAATAAATTACATTTTTCAATATATTAAAATAGAAAACAGTTATTTTAAATTTTAATAATATTTCACAATATTCCTGTTTTTACTGTATTTTGATCAAATAAATGCAGCCTTAGTGAGCATAAGAGACTCCTTTTACAAAAATCTTTCGCAAACTTTTAAACATTAGTGCTTAAATACAACAATCGATCCTACAGTATCCAGAAGAAAACAGGCTAGACTGAAGATGCCTCCATAACCCCTTTGAAATGACCTGTGTTGTTGTAACCTACTGTAGTCATAATATTAAATAATCAAAACATTTTAGTGTACATTTCCCTTTAAATCACATCTATCTATTTACTAGAACATTCTCCATGACTCAATACAAGTGACAAATGAACTCATGACTTGTGTGATAACTGAATTATCTTGTTTGAATTGCTCAGCATCTCCTATTTGTTGTGCTTAAACATGATCGTTTCCAGTGCAAGAGTCAACAAAACACATTAATGAAAGGCTTGTAATTTTAAAAAGCTAGGCTGGTCAGCTCATAATCTTTGTGGCCAAGTGTGAACTTGCTAGAAGCAGCTGAGGAACACAGGGACATGTTCTCTGAGTGTTGGACAAACATGTAATTCTTCTTATTAAAAGAGGTAAATAATATTTCTGAGCTGTAGGCCTACAGATTTGCTGACATGTTGTGATCTGCTGCAATGTGTTACTTGAGGATGTCTGACACTTTGAGGCCAATAAAGTGATAATATACACAGGGGCATATGTCAATATATTAGCATTTATATGCATAATCACTGGCTTTAACGTCATTAACTGTCACCACAAATTAGCATACTTACAATGCCATATTTAGGCTGCATAGCTGACTCACACAGAGGCTTCACTTCATAGTCCTCAAACGGAACACTTTTTGAGTCACTCTGATGGCTCGTGTATACTACATAGAAACTTCTCATCCTTAAAAGCATAAATACTTGTGAGGGAAGTTTTATCTCATCAAGGAGGAAATGAAGAAATGCGCGTGCTTACTAAATTATTAAATTAGGCCTTGTTTGAATAGCAAAGTGAATGACCTCAAATCAAATAACAAAAAATGACCTTAAGGAACAGCTTCGTCTTGGTTGTGCATCGCTTTGTTGTTTTCATTTTTTGCTTATGGTCTTTTTACAAGTAAAAGCAGTGAAAATGCATTGATAACTGCTAAAAAGAGTAAACTGAGCGCCCCCTGGAGGTCAGAATCACGTATGACTAGATTCAGTCAAGCTTCATTAAGTTCCTAAAGCATTTAATATCTACTAAAAAAGTAAATAAATAATTAACAAGAAACCTGTAGAAATGCATGAAAACAACAAAAAGCAGACATAAAATATTGTAGGCCTATTTGTATGTGTTTATTTTTTTAGAAGAGACCCATCTTTCTTAAAAAAAACAACCTGAAAATATATATATTTTTAAGAAGTGTTCTCGAAAAACATATAGGCCTACCCCAAAACATGTTGTTGTGTTTTTTATAGCAAGAGTAAGTGTGGTTATCTTGGCAGTTTGCGGTGATTTTATTGGACGGTGCATGGCGACATTTATCAAAAGGAAGTTAAAACGATTGGAGCTATACTGAATATGTTGTTAGTCTTCATAAAGTGTATTTTCAGATGTGCCTTAACATGTGACGCAACTGCATGGGTTGAATTAAGAATCAGATGACTGTCAATTCCCCTTGAGCCATTTGAGACAGTAATTGCAAACCTCTCTCAGCTAGACTGTTGCACGCATGTTTTTAAATTGGGATGTATTCAATAGTGGGAAGTATTAAAGCAAGTTCATTCACCAAAAGAAGATATTTTGAAGAAGGTTGGTAAATTGATGGCAGCCATTGCTTTCCATAGTATTTTTCCATTACTAGCCAACTAACTGTTACCAACATTCTTCAAAATATCTTCTTTTGTGTTCAACAGAACAAAGACATCCATGGAACAACTTGGAACAACTTGAGGGTGAGAAATTGATAAAAAAAAAAATATATGTTTCTGGGTGAACTATCCCCTTAATGAACACTTGACTGCAGCATCCCTGGATCAAAAAAAAAAAAAAGTGTGTCTATATGTGATTATTCTTAATCAGAGTAACAATGGTGAAAATTCAGTGTTAACCCTGGAGTGCAGACTTGGTGCGCCCAGAGACGGCAGGGCACAATTTACCCACACTTCCTTTGGCTTTGAGTTGCCAAATGGCTCAATGCAGATGACATAAACGTTTTCATTGTCTGAATTCTCGGAATCCTCACCACAGGCTTTTTCACAACTTATCTGTCTGCCCTGCCCTTCTTTTGAAACCTCATCAGCTCCTTTTTTAACACTGGTTGGCACACATCTATCTGTCATTCTTATCCACTATCTAAGCAATCTGTTAATTTTATTTTAAATAGTTGTATGACTTATTTGTATGTAAGGGGATTGTTGTAACAACCATGTAAAGATGTTACAATTTACCCCACCCCTGTCAGCCAGTGTTTAGCTAGCTGTATTAGCATAATGCTTTGAAATTAGCAGGTTAAAATGGTATCACATTTTGCCTGAGAAACTACAATTTAATCTAATATAAATTTTGTGATTTTATCTGCAAAAGATAAACAAAATTTAGGATTAGAAAAAATACATTCTTACCTAAAAATCTATTTTTTCTTTATGAAATCTGCATTTACCGCCTTGACAATGGGATCTGGGAGGAAGTGGGTACATAATGAAATGATCTCCTAGCTTATCCCTGATTAGTGGAATTCTCCCCATTTTACAACCATACCCGGTCTCCCCCACATATACTTAAATATTTTGGTTCCATAGATAAGATAGATTGATAGATAGATAGATAGATAGATAGATAGATAGATAGATAGATAGATAGATAGATAGATAGATAGTAATAATAATAAAACAATGTGATATCTAATTATTATACAAAACAAAAGCAACAACTGTTTCACAGTTTCACATATCGAGCTCTGATAGCATATAGGTTTGCCAAGCATTTTTGTAATTTGTATGTAAAGCTGATTTAAAAATGTGCTAATATGCATGTTTTGCTGCATCAAATGCAATTCCTGGAGATTTCTAAATAAATATACAACTAATCGAGAAAAACAGGAAACAACATGCGTTTCCATAAATAATAATAATTTAATATAAGTGGATTCTTTTGTCTGATTGATTTTCTACAATAAGACTCCATTGACCAGTTAAGATTAAACATAACAACCAGAAGGGAAAAAAGGGTTCAAATAGGCATGAAATTACAAGCACCTTCCTTGACCTAATTACAGTGACTAGCCTCATCTCACCAGATGCCCTATTTTGATGGTGGTGTTGGTGGGGTGGGATGGGGTGGTGGGGGTTCAATTCTCGTCATCTATGGAGGTCAATGTTTAAACAATATGCCTCACTTTTCTGAATGACCTCATTGGTCAATATGCCTTTTCTACAAAAATATCTTTAAATATTTGCATTTGAAGTCAGCGAACATAAAAATGCTCTCCAAATAAACATCAGCCATTGTCTTCTTCTTGGTGGTCATTTGTTTAATAGGTTACGTATTTAAATGACAGCAGCAGTTTCTAGCTCAGAGATTATATTGTCATATAGATGAACTTTGAAAGAATTCAAATTATTAATATTGGTCAGCAGTACTTATGCATACTCATTTAGGCCTATGGTTTGGCTGTCAGGGAGTTTAATCATATCAATAGATTTCACTTTTCCTTGTGTTTGGAGGATTACACATTCGCTTTTTAAGAACATTTTCTCCTTTGGAATCAATGGTAATTGCTTCAAGCTTTAAATGAAAATCAGATTTACTAAATCCTGGATTAAGCTGTTAAACTGATAGACCTTCTCACTTTCCCCTCTTCAAGACGGAGTAAATCTTTAATCTGCTCAACACTGTCTCAAAGTTACAGGACTAGCTTGTAACATATGGCCTTTTTGCATAGGACAGCCTCGGACTCCAGACAAGCCGATCATGTGAATGAGTGAAAAACAAGGCTGTTCTAGATGTCTGGACCAAGCCCTTTAAACAAGACAAGCAGCAGCTGGCCAGCCATGCCAATCTGCAATCAATGAAATCAAACCAGTGGATTGGGCTTATATGCCCAATTGAACAGCAAAATTACTTATCCAATGCAAAATGACCTGACAGCATGAGTTTATAAGGCTTGAATCGTGTTCAGCTGGGACATCAATTATGTACAAGATCCAGAGATTTATTATTTGTGCAAAACTTACTGATGGATGATTGCGTGTACCTGCAAGAAAATATGTAAAAGAGAAATAATTACATTAATATACTTCATATTAATGTTGTTATAATTAATATCATATTGTGCATTTTATATACTTATTATATTCTTAATTAAACTGGTTAAAGCAGCTTTTTTGATACATTAATATGGAAACTTAAAAATATTTAAAAATATTTTAAAATATCGGTACAAAAAATATAAGAAGTAAATATTAATACTAAACCATAAAAGGTAGAAATGATGATTTGTGATTCATGTTTATTCTTCAACAGGCTTTTGGGGCAAAACTGTGACTGTCTATGACCATCTGAATCTATCCCTGCTTTATTTGATTCACATTGAACAGATTGAGAAAGACAGCTTGTCGAAGTCTTCTGTCTGTCTCAGTTCCTCTGAGACACTCAAATCAATTATTTATCGTCCCAGAAATATTTTTCATGGTGTTGTCATCAATTTACTTATGTAGTTTAAAAACCTTTCTACTAAACATAGAAACTTAATTTAAGCTAAATGTAATTTCATTAAAGTATGAATTGATACTAATATATAATATAAATTACGTTAATTTTTAATATATATATATATATTGTTTATAAAATATACTAATATATCAGTGTAGTAATTTAACAATATAATGATCAATATATATATATATAATATTTAAATATTCATATTTAACACAATTAAAACAGTATATTAAACATTTATAGCATATGTTAAATATTATATTTTATATATTATATTAAAATAAATATTAAATGAACTACCTTAAATATGAATATTTAATACATCTAACATACATTATAAATGTATAGTAGAAACATATACTAATATAGCAGTATAGTAATTTAATAATAATAATATAATTATATATATGCAATTAACATACAGTACATTATATATTTATAGCAAAAAACTATTACTTTATTCATTCATATTGAAGATTATATTACAAGGTTAATGTCTTCATATCATATAATACATTTAGATTTTAAATCCTATAACACTGTAAAATAAATTGGCAAAATTGATTCCATGCAATGACTTGTAAACAATGTTCATGGCTAAGATGCATGCACTTTTAATTAGGTAATCCTTGTCATTCACCCCTGGTCGTTGCAGTGGCCCAGGACAGATGGTAAGTTATCTATGTTTTTAACGCATAGACCAGCCAAAGTTAATTGGAATGTCATTAAAGTTTGAGTTAATGGGGGTTGGGGTGGGGAGCTAGTTCGAGTGCACTACTCCTGCTGTTGGATATGTGTGTTTCATTAATAATAATGGATGTTTGGATGGAGCAATAAGGGTGGGGCTCCACCTGCTGCCACCTGTTAATACCAGAGCTCTATATAAGCATCAGTCATCCTTATGGCAGACCACAACCACTATCCTCAAGGACTGCACCACTATCTGGATTTTGTTCACTACAGGGACAAGAAGAAGACATTGTGTCTGAGGAAATTTTACACCTCAAAGGATCCGTTTTCAAGACCAACGTTGGCCTATGAGGACCTTTGGCCCAGAAGTCATGAAGTCCCGCAGACCGAGCTGTGCAGATTCAGGGTCGGAGTCTGACTCCAGAGACCCAGAGAAGTTTGAGAGTGCCATTCGGCGAAGGATGGCAGCCAACGCTCGAGAGAGAAAGAGGATGGAGGGCCTGAACACCGCATTCGACCGCCTCCGCAAAGTGGTTCCTCAGTGGGGTCAGGACAAGAAACTCTCTAAATATGAAACACTGCAGATGGCCCTGAGCTACATTATGGCCCTCAATCGAATCCTGACTGACGCCAGCAGACACACAGCTCCAGAGAAAGACTGGCTGAATCTACAGTTTGACGGCCTACAGCCAGAGACCTATTCTTGCTTTATGAGCTATAACTCCCCTGTGGAAAATAACTGTATGCATCCCTCCTTCTCCTACCACTACGAAAGCCTCTAAGCTCTCAGGGACTGATAAGCAATGGTGCATTCACTTGTATCTTTCTTTGCATAGATACAGGAGTCAGTAAATATGTATGTATTACTATGTAATATTTTATGTTTATGGTTCTGGAAATCAAGTGTTTGATTAGCTTTAATAGAGTCTAAAGCATTCTAGGGGTAGAGTTGCTTAAATTGTTGCAAAAAAAGGTATGTTTTTCTGTACAATTTTAGAAAATCTTCCATCATGCATGTTGTAAATGACTCGATAAAAACACAGATCACAGTTCATATTTTTTCATTGCTTTGTATCAAATCTTTGTGTTTAGTGTGTGCTCAGCTAAGTCAAAGCTGAAAAACATTCAAAAAATACACTGTGATCTTATTTTGCCAAAATGGCATCCTAAATTGCTGTTCCAATTTCTTATTGATTTTTTAGTACTAAACTCAATAAGGGAAAAATGAATTTGGACAAATAATAATAATAATGGATTTAAAATTGTATCTTGTAACAGTGTTCTATGTGATAGGTGATGTATTTTGAGCTGTAGTTTAAACAGGATTTAAAATGTTTTGTTTATAGTGCAGTTACAAATAAACTCTATCAAAGACTTTGTGTACAGTACATTAATGTAAGAATAACATTTTATCCACTATATATACTATAGCCTACCCTAATCTGTTTAAAAACTCATCTTATATCTGTAGACAAGACGAGAATTTTAATGTTAAATTTTGTATACTTTTAATGACATGCACACATTTTCCTCCATTTTGAAAGAGATTTGCTATAAAATAAAATTTTACTACAGCATTTTTTTTTTCTGTATAAAGGGCTAAATACAAATACCAGTTCTCATGGTGTGCACACTGGACAGATAAACACATTTCGGTGAAGCCCTCTGTGTCCCAAGATAAGCAGCACCAAACAAAAGTCTCTGCTGTCAGTTCAGTGAAGGAATAAATAATGTTTAAAGGACTGAATGACGTCACGGTTGAACTATGTGTCCCATCATGTGCTGTGTACAGACACTTTTAAAGATGAACGAAAATATCCAAATAATAGTAAAATATTGTTGATTTTTATTTTTTATTTCGATAATCATTTTTTCTTTTGGCTTGGCTAATATCACAAACCAATAGAATGTCCTTCAGAGTTTAAAGATTACTAGGAGAGTTTAATTTAGAGAGGAGATTAATCTCTTTGCTGTCCGATGACTGTGTATAACGTGTCTTTTCAGTGCTAATGAGGCGTGAACGGCCAGAGCTCGGCCGAAAGCGTGTACATAAAGCGAGATACACCCATCTTAATCCGTTTAGCTTCAGCTGTCATTATGACCATCATATCAGTATGTAGCTCCTAAACTCAAAGACACCCTACAATGATTTAAAAATTATTAGCCTACTAAATTAGGCAGATTAAGGTCAAGACATTGTTCATTTTATTTTATACTAAAGTCCATATTTCGTGCAATCATATTAAATCTTGCAAATGTTAGTTTACAAATGTTTGAATGAGAAACAAATCGCTGGTATGCCTACTTGAATACGAGTAAATGGTTGCTTATTATGTATCACAGAGGTTTTTAAACCTCCAGGGGGCCACAAGGAGGTGCTATGATATCTGGAAAAAAGGCAAGGAAAATTTGAAGGGGAAAAGTATCAAAAAAAAAAAAAAAAAAAAAAAAAAGTAAAGTAAATATAGCTTCACCTACAGAATATACTCTGTTATCTATTAACTCTCTCCCCGCCAACGGTTTAATTTTTATTATTATTATTATTTTTTTTTTTATGTTGACAGCCACAGCAGCATTTTTGGACATTTTCACAAAAATGTCATGCCCCCCAGAATATTTTGTTGTATGAATATCTGGACATGCAATATAGGCCTATATCAAAAGAAAGAACAGATCTGCTTTTTTTTTTTTTTTTTTTTAAATCAACACGTATGTGGTTAAGTTCAATAAAAAAGCAAAATTTTTAGCAAAAAGCTGAGAAAATCGCGTTTTTTGTCAAAAACTACATCAAGATCGGATTCAGAACGATGATCAAATCTAGATCGAGTCCATCAACACCTAGCCCACAAAGCAGTCCCAATCACTTCCTGTGTCGATATTTCAATGGAGTAGGCCTAACATTAGTCTGTTTTGATTTATATGCTGTTTATTGTTGTTTTGATTTATATGCTGTTTATTGTTGATGATGGCATTATTTTCATATGCATCTGCTTACATATGAGATTGTCGTTTCTGCTTCTTCTTTGCCTGTGTTTTGATATGGAGATACATACTTGTCCGGTCCAGGAGATAAAAACACGTGAAGCCGAAAAAGTAGGCTAAACATTTTCAGATATTATTTCAGTCATTTGTTTTAGATGTCTGCTGACAGCTAATAGTTTAATTCTCGGAATAATTGAATTACTATTTCTGTGCATCTTTACAATTAAAGTTTGATCTTTGTTTCAGCATGTCTAAAACAATGTGACGCAAATTCACATTAGCTGTGCATTGTCAATGATGCTGTTATAGAATCTTTAGCTGATGTTTCAGTTTCCCTAATGACATGGATTGTGTTTTTAATGGATGTGTAAACAAAAGACCAGCCCCTCCTTCCACAGAATCAGAGGATTCAAAGAGAAAGGTATAAATACAAGTTGAACCTATCCTCAGGCAAAAGCTTCACTTGAGCATTTCATGATACATCCATCTACCTAACCTCTCCATTTACCACAATGCAACACTTCAATAACCAGGCGGAAAATCAGCTGGGCAACACAGTATCGTGCGAGCTGGATGACTTTGAGAAAGGAGCCTGGGTGAATCAGGCCTACAGTGGCTCTCCTGCACCCATCAGACGCCCCATCAGCACCATCTACAACCCTCAGCCCATGTTTCACAGTTCTTTGGAGAACATGAACCAACTGAATCTGCCTAACCCCTATTTAGCCGAGGATAAGGTGCGAACCCACCCCACTGAGGAGAAGAAGTCTGGATGCTGCTCCTTTTTCTTAAAAGCCATCAAAGGTAAGGGAGGATCCATGCATCTTCCTATTTTCCATAATATGATTATTCTAGATTTACTTTAGCACTGTTAGCTTTTATTTATGTATTATTATTATTCCATGTTTACTATTCTATTATTATTATTCCATTTTGTTTGAGTGTTGCTAATATTGTTTTTTATAATTTATTATTAATGCAATAAAATACATATTTGTATTATTTAATAATAAATTAATCATTTATAATACTTTAAAAATACGTAATAATACATTACTTAATATTATTGTAAGTTAATAAAAAAAAATACAAGCATATATATATATATATATATATATAAGTGATTGTTTCGGTTTGGTAGGACTGTGGGGAACAGCTCTAAGAAAAGACACAAAGGAGAATCCTGAGCTCAATGTCAAAGCAAATCTCAAAGAACTGGTCATCTACATTGTTTTCCTAGTGGATTTGTGTCTGTGTAAGTATTAGGTCGATTGTTTGCTATATTTATCCCTGTCTGAATGCACTGTTTTTACCTGTTAGGACCACCTGTTGGAGTTGAAACCACTTAATGGATTTATTGATAACGGATCAATATGTAAAAAGTTCTTTTCACGATTTGTTATCACAACTTCTTTTCTTGTTAATGTGGTTCAGAAAACATATTTTGAGTGTCTGTTGATTAAACCAATCTCCTTCCTTCTATTAACTCATATTTTGAATGTCAATGTCAACTCAAAATTCTAAGGTAACCATGTTACTTACTAATGTTAAACCAACAATTTTTTTTAAAAAGTTTGTAGCTGTGGATATTAAGGTCATAGGTATATCCATTAAAACATTCGCATGTATAAATGTAAAACTGTTCAAATGTCATTAGCTTGCTCTTTTGTCTTTTTGATCATACTGGCTGTAATCTGAACTAATCCCATGGTTTCCCATTATCTAGTGCTCTATTATGATCAGAGATGTGTATCAGACTAAGTGCTTGTTATAAAATGTCCACTGCTCCCCTGTGTTACAACGCAGCATTGTCCAGGGGAAAATAAGGCTTTAAAGGAACACAAGCGGGACCCTGCTGTCTTTTACTGATAAGAGCTCAGGTCAGGCAATCGAGGCTTTGTTTGTGCTGGTCACATTGTTCAAGAGAGCTATATTTGTGTGTTCAAACAAATAACCCTCCCCTCATCCCTGGCCGCAGCATTCGTGACGTGAGCACTGCTAATGGATGAAACTTCAATGAATTGATATCCTTTATCTGTGTGAATGGTGAATGGTGTAGCACGTCTGTGCAAAGTTCAATAAGTGATGTGATTGTTGTTGACTGATTGCAATCATGTTCTCATGCAGTGACCTATGGCATGACCAGCAGCGCCACCTACTACTATACAAAAGCTATGACTGATCTATTTGTGAATATACCGAGTGGCAATGGATTCAGCTTTTACTACATCAGCAACGTGAATGATGTCTGGACAGTGAGTTTTAGCAGATTCTATTATTCTGATGTGAATAAAAATCAGCGTTAAGGTGTATTTATCTATTTATAATATTAAATTATTTTAATTATAAATATTGGTCTTGCCCTGGTATTTTTAAAGTACAATAAATAAAGTAGGCCTACAATTTATTCCAACACAAATTCCAATTTTTGGATGTTTGGATATATTTACTTAAGACTATATATATATATATATATATATAATGTGTACATTTAATAATAAATGTTATATATATATATATATATATATATATATATATATATAGATAGATAGATAGATAGATAGATAGATAGATAGATAGATAGATATATAGATAGATAGATAGATAGATAGATAGATAGATAGATAGATAGATAGATAGATAGATAGATAGATAGATAGATAGATAGATAGATAGATAGATAAATAGATAGATAGATAGATATATTTATAAACATTTAGTAATAAATGTATATAATAATTTATAATAAATGTTTGTTTTTGCCTGGCTGAATTATTTTATATAGTTAAGTAATGTATGTTAAGTATGTTTATTTTAATAATATTAATATTATTCAGTAATTATTTAAGAAAATAATTTCAAGTTTTTGCTAATATGATTTATTTGATTTTAATATTTTTTTGTAATATATTTTAATGTTTTAAAATAATATTATTGTTTGTATAATAGAATTTTTTTATGTAGTTTTAAGTATGTTTATGTAGTATTAACATCATAATAAATGTTTGTCTATTCGTGGGACAGATCCAGTACAGCATCAAAGTCCCTCTTGCTATGATTTGTTCTTTAATCTTTGCAGTACATGGAGGGCCCATTACTTGACAGCCTGTACTGGACTAAGTGGTATAATGATGAGCCTCTTCAGAATGAAAATCAATCCTTCATTTACTACGAGAACTTGTTGTTAGGAGTCCCCCGCATTCGACAGCTCAAAGTGAAGAGCAACTCCTGCAAGGTGCACAAAGACTTCCAGCAGGAGATCTCCGAGTGTTTTGATGTGTACAGCGACAAGAAGGAGGATGACAGCAGGTTTGGAATGATCAACGGAACAGCGTGAGTGACATTTATGATTAGCAGCAGTCGTATTTCTCTCTTTGGGTGTTGAAATGTGTTTATTTATGAAATATAATCCTATTGTTCTTCAGCTGGCAGTACCACTCAGAAACGGAGATGAAAGGGTCAAATCACTGGGGGATACTGACCACATACAGCGGAGCGGGATATTACCAAGACCTGGCAAAGACCAAAGAAGAGAGTGCAGCTATCCTGAATGACCTCAAAGACAACCTGTGGCTTGATCGTGGAACTCGAGTTCTTTTCATTGACTTCTCCGCATACAATGCCAACATCAATCTCTTCTGTGTTATAAGGTACTTGACCTAAATCAAGATCATATATAATGCATTTTTTTGCATTTGCATGTCCAAAATTACACATTTGGTTTACTAGGTTAGTGAATAAAATAAAATTTCTTCATCTGTTCTTTAACATAAGCTATCCCTTTCAATGTACAAGGCAGACAAAAAAAGAAAACACCAATAAATGTTTGTGTTTATATAATATGTGTGTGTGTGTGTGTGTGTGTGTGTGTGTGTGTGCACGTACAAATATATATATGCATATTATATATATATAGGCTACATACTGTATATATATGCACACATATACATACACAAATAGATATAGGTGTATGTGTGTGTGTATATATATATATAAAAATAAATATAATAATATATATACACACATATTATTTAAACAAACTTTTATGTTCGAATCGATTAATCACGATGACAGCACTAATTACATTTAAATATTTATTATATTTATATATTTATTACAAATTATTTATACAAACAATAAATATGAAACATATAAAAAAGTTCAATCTATAGAATTTTGTTATTGCATTATATTATTTATAAAACAATAAATAATAGTTTTCTTCTTTCTTCAGATTGGTGGTTGAATTTCCAGCTACCGGTGGAGCAATTCCATCCTACCAGATCCGTACTGTAAAGCTGATTCGTTACGTCACCACCTGGGATTACTTCATCATCGGCTGCGAGATAGTGTTCTGTGTCTTCATACTCTATTACATTGTGGAGGAGATTCTGGAATTCCGAATCCACAAACTGTCCCATTTCAACAGCATCTGGAACATTCTTGATTTAGTGGTGATACTGGTAGGAGGAAAGCAAATCATATCAGATATCAAAACATCCGATATCAAACATATTTGAAAGACTTTTTTTTCTAGCTATAATAATTAAAAATCATCATATAATTGGTAAACATTACTTGACAAGAGCAGACTCTAATAGTAAATGTGCTCTTTTTAACAGCTTGCTGTTGTGGCAATAGTCTTCAGTGCATTTCGGACCATCAAAGTGGACAAACTACTTGGAAACCTTCTAGAACAACCTGGCATCTACGCTGATTTTGAATTTCTTGCATTTTGGCAAACCCAGTACAACAATATGAATGCAGTAAATTTGTTTTTTGCTTGGATTAAGGTAATTTTTTATTAAGTTTTTAAAATGACATACTGTGAAGGGTAGAGTTTCAAATGGTCATACTTTGGGCCGGTTGCATAAACTGTCTAATTTCTTACAGAATAGTAAGATTGATTACTCCTAACTAACTGCTAGTTGGTCATATTAGTTCTTAAGACAGTGTTAATATCCCCCATAGCCAACTCATCTTTGATCACCAAAATGACATATTTTAACGTTTTTTCTTTGAAATGTTTATCAACTACACCCTTGCCTCATTTAGTATACGTTGTTCTATGAATATGCAAATTAGCCCCGCCTCCACTCACACCAGCTCAGAGATCCACTTGTTGACGATCACACATTGTTGTGATTGGTTACAAGGTAGTTTTTGACCAGCGATTTCAAACTGTGTTTTTCGAGACTGTTTTGGTTCACTGTAGTTTTAAGGAGAAAATACTCAGCAATGGTGTTGACTTAAAGCATGTTAAAAACACCACATAAACATACAAACAACATATAAAGCTTGATTTTCACCACAGGGGGACTTTAACATAATGACTATGTTTATGCAACTGGATTTTTATATATTATATATATTATATTTTATATTATACTTACATAAATTATTCATTTAAATGTTAGTTCATTCTCAGAAAAAAAAGGTACAATAAGCGGTTACTGGGGCGGTACCCTTTCAAAAGGTATACCGTTGTACCTAAAAAAGTGCATATTAGTACCTTGAAGGTACATATTGCTACCAAAAGTGTACATATTAGTACTTAAATTGTAAATATTAGAACCCTTTTAAAGGGTACAGTCCCAGTGACAGCTTTTGTATAATTATTTTTATAAGAGTGTACATAGCAGTTAAAGACACATAAAATAGGACCTCAAATTTTTTGTCTAGTAACCTGTTTTGATATTACGATGGCTTCTATCTCTGCAGATCTTCAAGTACATCAGTTTCAATAAGACGATGACCCAGCTTACGTCCACTTTGGCTCGATGTGCATTAGACATCTTTGGATTCGCCATTATGTTCTTCATTGTGTTCTTTGCATATGCTCAGCTGGGTTACCTGCTCTTTGGAATGGAAGTAGAAACATTCAGCACATTTAACAAGTGCATGTAAGGATGTTTTTTCTCTCCGTTAAAACATATTTATATATTTTTTTATGCTGTCAAAAATATTAATTTCTGTGTAAAAAAAAAACGGTTTAATTTCAATTAAAAAAAAAACTTTATTGAAAATAATGTCAGTTCTTTGCCTTGTTTCTCCACTCTGCAGTTTCACACAGTTTCGAATCATCCTTGGAGATTTCGATTATGATGCCATTGACAGGGCAAACAGAGTACTTGGACCAATATACTTCTTCTCCTATGTGTTCTTTGTCTTCTTTGTGTTACTGGTAAGTTCTTCAGACGTATATAATTTGCTTACAATTGTTTGTTCTAAATCATAAGTGCATCTTTATCAATTAACATGATGAATTGGCATTAACAGAACATGTTTCTGGCCATCATCAATGACACATACTCTGAGGTGAAGTCAGAACTGGCTTCTCAGAAAGACGAGTTCCAGATTTCAGATCTCATCAAACAGGTAAGTCATCCTAGACTGGAGCATACAGTGGATACGTCTGCAAATCTATTACATTTATGTGTGGAAAACCGTGTAAACTCCACGAAAACCAACACTGTTGTGTTTGCATTGTTTAAATGCATGTGGGAAAACTATACTTTAATTACAGAGTTATGCAAAGACCTTTATGAAACTGAAACTTAAAAAGGAAAAGATCTCTGATGTTCAGAAAACCCTGGATTCAGGCTCAAGTGATCTGGAGTTTAAAGATTTCAGGGATGCTTTGAAAGAGTAAGTTTCAGGTGGAACACTAACACATTTATGTATAGTAGCAGCGCTGATGCAGAAGAACTCATGTATTCTGGTAATGTGTCCCACATGTCAGAATGGGTCACGCTGACCATGAGATCTCAGCCGCTTTCTCCAAATTTGACCAAGATGGGAACCAGACTTTGGACAAGCAGGAGCAGGAGATAATGAAACAAGAGTTGGAGGAAAAAAGGGTGTGTTTGAGTTTTTTGGGGTTTTTTTTGTAAGTTAATGTTTCTAAGATGGATCTCCATGTTGACATTATTCTGATATGGATATCTATATTCTTTTTGTATTTTCAATTAGGAAGCACTCAATGAAGAGCTTCGTAATCTTGAAAACAATGTTGAACCTGCAGAGGACCACAGAAAGAAGACAGTTCCTCTAGAGGACTTTCAGAGGTTTGTGTACAGAAACATTGTGTCGCAAACTCTTAGTGTCAGTAGTAAAACCTGATGTTCAGTGTTATTTTAGTATTAATTATATGCTGTATTGTATTCATATTTTAGTAACTTTTATTAACCTTTTTAATGTTAGTCAATAGAATTATTCATGTTCATGTTATATTAATGCTAACAGATACAACTTTTGATCTTAAAAATGTTATTAATAAATGCTGAGATAAAAGTAATTTAGTTAACTAATGTTAAATAAAACATTTATTTTCAGTTCAATTTTTTTGTTTTGTTAATTTTGTGCTTTTGTCATTTTTTTATTGTATTGTTTTTTTTATTATATATATTTATTCTTTTTTATTATATATTATACTATTTTTTGTTATATTTATCTTAAATTGTATTTTTATTTCAGTCATTTAATTCTTTCTCAATATATTTTAGTTAGTTGCCAAGGCAACATGTCTCATTTTTAAGTTATTGTTCTATTCCAGGCTTATTCACAAAGTTGCTCAGCTTGAAAAATCTGTGACCACTATAATGTCCAAACTGGATGTTGTTATGGAGAAAATTAGACTTCAGACATTCAACACAGAAAACAGAGACATGGATAAGCAGACGACCAGAGAAGATGTGAGTTTTTAGTTCTATAGAACTTATGACATTGTACTTAAAATGATTTAAAATAATATATTTAATAAAATACAAATAAACAAATTGTTTTTAGATTATATATTACATAGAGGAATCATGGATATACTGTATTATAGCAGATATGTAAGCCATGCTGCTGTATTGTGACAGGAATCAAGACCGGGTTCAGGAGGGAATATTCAGGTAAACCTGGAAAGAGTCTTGGCTCAGGGAGCACCATCCTGGTCATTAGCTGGTCCCATGGGGAATATGAGGAATCGTTTGCACCCAGATGTAGGATGGCCAGTCGTCACCGAGAACAGTAGTTCTGCACGCCACTGATTCATCAAAACCTGACTTTAAAACTGACTAACAAATAGGCTTAATCTAAGCCTGATCTGTGGATATAGACTCAGATATGACAGTAAAGAGGAAGGTATTACTGTAGAATAGATGTAGTACTCTGTTACCAGCGGCACATGAATCTGCTTGTCTCTTCTCCATACTGACTGTTTAACATGCAGTCACTGTGGCTCTTATAAGAGGGAATAAATAGCAATATGATTGATGGTCTTATTATATTTCACTTTAAGGCTTGATTAATGTTTCAGCACAGTGTAATTAATATATTGTGGTGTTAAATACATTCCCTATAGTTTCTGGGAATTTTTCCAACTATATTAGGCCACAAACTATTCTTCTGACCTTCCTCCCTGTTTATGACTATTTTCATGATTACTATTGGTTCTTGTGAAACAACTTCTGTACAATTAAGATACAAGCAGAAATTAATATTTCTAATGACTATGAAATGTCATTAGACTTTCCAATTATATATGGAAACTGTATTTAGCTAAATTTAATGAGAATAGTCAGTTACATTTGACATGAAAATGGTCATCAAAGTGCAATGTGTATTATTAGTCTATGGAATCTTATTATATACTTTAAGACATTTTCCTTAATCTCTTTCTTTACTTTGATATGAACTACTTGTAAATGCTGTATTTTATAGTGAGAAGCATATCAGTGTATACTCGACCTACTATAGTTTATACACTAATCTTGGAACAATATTGCTAGTATATTTAAAAAGATATATAATATTTATCTTTTCTGATTAAAATTAATTATAGGCAAATAAATAATTGAAATTGCAAAACAAATGGTTTTATCATTTACTATGTTGAAACCAGACCTTTTTTTTTTTTTGAAAAAACAAAAGTGAGAAAACATTTCTTGTCCAATGGTTCATTTATTGAAACTCATTTAGACTAAAAAGAAAACTTGAAATGCTAAGTTGTATTCAAACATTTCTGCCTTGTACATTCAATGCTTTGAGCAACCTCAATATTACGGTTTGAAGCATGCAATTCCTTAACATCCCCAGAAAAAAAAAAAAAAATCCAAACCTCATCTCTGGCTACTCAAAAATGGCACGCATATTTGTTAAAACAGCAAAAGGACAAATTTACAGTAGGCTCTAAAATAAATCATACAGCTCTCTACGAGGTTCTCAAATTGTTAAACTGAAATTTGTGTGACTGAGCAAAAATTAAGGCTTGCTTGTAACTGTCAGTCACACATGTAACGTTTGTCTAACATACCGGTATGCTGCGTTAGTTCTACAAAGGTCTGTCAAGTAGAGCGCATGCTTTGAAACCCTTATTCCAGGCCAAGATATCAAAAGATATTTACAGGTATGGCCATCATGACCCTTTCTCCATAGTGAACGGGAGAGATTTCACTGTCTGTAAATTGGAGTAAAAAGATACATTATACACACCGTATCAAAGAGCTCTAGAATCTGAGGAGAACAGGGAGCTAATGTGGATTAAATATACACCACTGCACATAGAAATTCATTTACACGTCAACATTTACAAGACACAGGTCCAATGAACCCCCAAAAAAGTGCCTTTACTTACATTTGTTTGCCAAGTCAGAATGCAGAATGAAAGTTTTTTTTGTTGCCATTTGTTGTTTTTGTACAAAATTCAAAGTCCATACTGCAATGAACAAGCAAACGCATGATCAGTTTGGGGGGAGAGAGAGAGAGAGAGAGAGAGAGAGAGAGAGAGAGAGAGAGAGAGAGAGAGAGAGAGAGAGAGAGAGAGAGAGAGAGAGAGAGAGAGAGAGAGAGAGGTTTTAAAAAACCATTTACACCAAGGGCTTTCTCCAATGTACCTGTGAAGTTCCTGAAGCTGGGATTTAAGGGAAAATCAGCAGTTTTCCTCAAGATATGCAGTAAAAAATGGTGGGGATACAAGAGATATAATACATCTCCAATTCCACTAAAACAGGAACAAATCTCATGAATGAATTCAGATCTCCATTGAAGGCGCTCATCTCAATTGCCTCTAATCTAAATTTGCATCTTTACAATAAAGGATTCCTCCCCATCCAAAGCTTGTAGGGAAAAGATGATGTGCAATTATCAGTTTATAGTGTGTATAATAGAGAACGAAGGTCAGATCACTGTGTCTGGTACCCGGCCATGCCAAAGTTAGCCTGGTTCATCACTGGGCCAGGCTGAGCCTGAGAGGGTTGTGTCCCAAAGCCTCCCACCCAGGCAGGAGACTGTGATTGTCTAGAGCAGAGAACAACAAAAAGTGGATGTAAACATTTTCCTACATAGGCACTACACTCAACACAAGTAAACCAAGATACATTACACACATAGAAATACATGAAAACTTACTCTACACCAAATCCTTGCTGATTCCATGTTTGTCCGTACATTCCATAGGATGGTACTTGCCAGCCATTCGTCATGTACTGACCGTATTGTTGAGGATTGCTGTACATTTGATTCCAATGTCCCCACTGACCGTACTCCATCTGTAAAGGAAGCATCAAGAACTTGAGCTTGACTTTTCTACTGTTAGAACACTGAAGATGAAAAACACATGCTGGCCTATCTATCTATGGGATAGATTCAATGCCACATTAAAATGAGATTGAGATTAATAATACTACTAATAAAGCAAATTCACAAGCACTTACCGGTTGGACATTTTTGGCCATGTCAGGTGACTCTTTGCCCCAGTAGCACTTCACAACATGACCTTCGATGGTGGTACCATTCACTGAGACGATGGCATGAGCAGCACTTTCATGAGAGGAGAACCTGACAAAAAAATGATGCTGGTGATTGAAGAAATGGAAGAGCACAGCCATCCTATGGTTTACAATAAAATCAGAGGGACTGTCTTTGTCACCATCTTGATATTTCCTTTGAAATTAACAAGTATATGACAGAAATAATATATTAATATATAAATAATATATAACATCGTTATTACATATAATAAATTATACATGTATATTATACAAGATCAGGTACGGTTTTGTTTATGAAAAGGCTGCCTTCATTTGATCAAAAATAAAATAAAATCAGTAATATTTTGAAATAAAATTTAAAATAACTGTTTTTTACTTGATTTTATTTCCCCAGATGTAATTTATTCCTGTGATAGCAAAGCTGATTTGTTTTCAGACATTACTCCAGTGTCACATGATCCTTCAGAAATCAGTCAAATATGCTGCTTTAAAAACATTTATTATTATCCATTGATTTTTTCAAAAACAGCTGTGCTGCTTAATATTTTGTATGGAAACAGTGATACTTTTTTCAGGATTCTTTGATGAATATAAAGTAAAAGAAAACAGCATTTCTTTGAAATGGAAATCTTTTGTAACATCATAAATGTCTTTACTGTCCCCACCACTGATCTATTTAATGGATCTTTTCTGTATTATTTCTTAAAACAATCTTACTGACCCCAAACCTTTGAATGGTACTGTAATTAATAATAATTTATTTTAGTGTTTTTATTTCTTTCAAAGACTTAGATGTGTAACAAGAGGTTGTCTGATTGTTTTTTTTGTGTGCATTATTTTATGTTGCCCCCTTTTGGGAAATCAGTTTAATATTATGCTGATATTTGGCCTTATTGATATTGGTATTTTGCTGGCTTGGCTGATTAAGAGAAGTTGTCAATCTATATTACCCAAATCATCTATTTTTTTTGGTGAGAAAATAGTAAAAATGAGCAAATAAGGATTGATTTCATTTCAGCAACTTTGTGCACATCTCATTTTGAACCATTTAATTGCAGCTCATACTATTTAACCACAACAAGCAACCATTAACGTCTTACAGACTGTCCACATCATAAACCATCTAAATATAAGATGACTGAAAACATCAGAGGAATAGTTCCTTGAATGATACCTGATAAAAGAATAACCCTTCTCCGGGAAAACTCTGATCTCCATTATCTGTCCGAAAGGAGAAAACGTCTGTCGCATAAGGTGTTCTGTTTGAAGAGAGCAGTGTGAGTCACATCACAAAGCACTAAGAGCGAGCATGCCTACTAATACTCAGAACAGGTGATTAAAAGGGCAAATGCACACATACCTGTGAGACCTGACTGAATGCCCCCGCAGTACACTGTGCAGTTCTGAGGACTCGATTGGTTTACCACCTCATCAAACCTAAGCTGCTTGGAGCTGTCTGAAATTGTCCCCAATTACAGTCACATTAAATTAGCTCAACTCAAAGACAGTTAGCAAACCAAAGAAAGACAAAGTGGATTGAGATCAGACTTACTTTCTTGCACACTCTTGGGGGCGGGTGGTTTCCGAGTTGCCCAGTTAGTCCGGATTTGCCGTCCACCAAGCCACTGACCGCCCATGTGTACTATAGCATTCTCAGCATCCTAAAAGAGAAGACACTACAGATTTAACAAACACACGTAAAAGCAAAACAAAAAACACAACCTCTCAGCAGCACTACTAGTCTTTCAATAGTTCATCTTTATAATTAGGAACTACCCACATAAATGTCCTAGTTTTCTTTTAAGTACTATTACTAAACTGACTAAAACCTTACACTCAAACAGCAAACTTAACAGTCTGACTCATCCCAGTAGATTGAATATCTGTAATACTACAGCTATAATATGAATTGTAGTAAACAGAAATAGAATAACCTTCACTCTGTGTTCCTGTACTGGAGCCTTACCAGTTTGTTATAGAAGGACACAAATCCATACCCCTTTGATTTCCCTGTTGTCATATCCTTCACCACTCGTGCATCCCTGAAAGAAAAACGTAACAACGGAAAAGTCAGTCCATTGAAGGCTTGCTAGAGGATCTAAAAAAGAAAGGAACCACACACACATTGCACTGTACTGACACTGTTACAATATCCTAAGTTATTCTAACAAAACTTTACACTAACAACTGCATATTCTCTTGATTACTGGTACTTTAAAAATTATATAAAATAAAAAACAAGTACAAAGTCATGCAACCTACACTACTGCATGTGTTTAAAAGCTCCTGCAAACATTGCAACTTTTCTTAGACATCTCCTGTGACACAACATAATGGTCCAATCTTCATCTTAATAACTAGTACTTAATCTCTTATATTAGTAAAAGTCATCAATGTCATTACCATGCATTCCTAGTTTGAATTGCTGTCTCTAATTCTACTCAAGAATACATAGAAATATCAAAAGAGAAAAAAAGGAATTAAACGGCATACATGGCCTGTTAACAGATTTCTTTATTTTTCCTGGTCAATTCTTTACCACCAATATGGAGTTTGGGAAGCTGAAAATTTCGAGAAATTAACATTTTCAGAATTTTAGGAGAATCAAACTATCAAAACACAACTAGGAAAACCATCATAAAACAAATTTACAAGCAGATATTCATGAATTATCTAGGGATTGTTAAAAGTCTACACTACGTCAGCGTTAATTGAAAAATATTGCAGTATACAAATATGAAAAGCAAAGAGTAAATAGAAAAAAAATCTACATCTGAGTTCCCAGAGTGCACAGTTCCTTGCTGTTAGCCTTCAAGCTCCTGTCCAATCCTATGAGCATTTCTGTAAAATAACCAGAGCTCTATTAACTGACACTCAGAGCTAAAGGAGACTGAAATTTTTGCAGAGTAGCAGTGCATAATGTTTTTTTGTGTGTTGACAACTACAAATTTAATTTATGTAAATCAAAACTACTTACCAATTTCAGAAAAGCAGTGAAGTGATGAAAATTTTTAAGGTGCACTTTACAACAGATCGATCTGGGTACACAATATTGACTATACTGCCCTGTGCTTGCTGACAATATTGATTATGGGACTATTACATTTATCAAGGAGAAATAAAGCTTTCATTACTGACAGAAATGTGACTAAAGTGCCAGCTAATCCCAGCACAAATGACAAACGTAAAGTAAATGCTCATCTTTGCATCAATTTATTCCTAAAATTAGCAAATATGTTAACAACTATCAACAACCAAAGGTAACCAAAATAAAATAAATAAATCTATGAAATTGTTTCCACGGTTTTAGGGAAAACAGGGGTTAAAAAAGATAAAGAGCGAGGTCATATGACTCAAAGTAACCTCACACCACCACTCGACATTATTCAGACAAAAGCAAAACATATTCCATAGAAAGGTGTGACTTCATGGAACTTACGAGATTTTCCCAAAAGGTGCAAATGCAGCTCTGATGTCATCAGTTGTGATTTCAGGGCTCAAATCTCCCACAAAAACATGAAAGTGATCTGCAGAAAAATGACATTTAACACAAACTATTACATTTAAGAGTAAAAAAAAAAAAAACCTAAACCACAATTAATATAAAAGACAATAACTTACTAGATGTATCTTTCTTCTGACTGCTAGGAGTTGTCGCCCAATTTACCTTGACTTCCTGTCAATAGAAATACACTTATTGAAGCCATTAACATTATATTCAGGGTGCAACGAACCACAATAAACATCAAACCACCCAAATCTTGTTACACTTGTCTAATGAAACAATGCCGCAAGATGCACCTTTCCCAAAATCTTCCTTCCGTTCATGGCGGCTAAAGCAGCTGCAGCGTCTCTGTGTTCAAAGAATTCGACAAAGCAATACGGATCATTGCTTGTTTGCTGCAAAACAGAAAATCCAATAGAAGAGTTCACCTTCCTGCTGCTATCGGACTGCTGAGAAGAAAAGCCAGGAAAATATATTATTGCAAAGTCATGGGTATTGGGTGGAAGAATCTGTTTAATATTTTCTGTCATTAACATCATTTTGGCATTTTGGTTTGATTTTAAGAAATAAGAAATTTTAAGAAATTATGATTAGTTTGTTCTAGGATCATTTAAAAGCAAATTTATTCCAAATATTAACATAAATGTTGAGTTTGGCAGGCATTTCCACATAAACCCATTTCCACTCACAAACTCATAATGGAGGAGCTCAAATACAGAAAATTTCAGGGAACACTTGGAAAAACATAATTTGTGATGATTTTTTTTTTACCTCTGTTATCATTTTACAACTTTTACATGGCCCAATCTGAGTAAATAACTGAAGGATCAAGTTCTCCGTTACATCTCTTGAAAGATTCCCCACGTAGCTGAAAAACCAGATAAAACATACATTAATTTAAAAGATATAAACAGTAATTATAGATAACCCCCTTATAATTTAGCACATGTTTTTAGACTACATCATCTAGAGAGACTACATTAGATCTACATATGGGTTTTTAAAAAGAAAAGAGAACATGATAGATCACTGATATGGCTACAAATTAATCTTAAAACGCAAATATAAACTTGCTGAGGCCCTAATCTGGCCAAAAACAATCAATCTTCTGAGTGTCCTTCTGGGGTTATTAAAACTATAAATTATAATAAAATAATTCAAATGTATATTTCAGAGTCCGTATGGCTATGAAACTAAAAAAAAATACATATTTATTAGAGCAGAGATAAAATACCCTCCATGTGAAAGAGTAAACTGATGTTCAGTTTTATGTGTATATTTATAGATGAGCCAGGTATAGATCTGACTGCCCCCCCTCCTCCTCCTCCTTTTTTTTGCATGAGTGACATTAGGATGGGAACACACATTTGCCCTCATAACTGAACTACTGAAAATATGCGTTACAGATAATCATCCAGTCAAATCAGTTGACATTTTAATCTGACGGCGTTGTACAAAATCCACATTTCTAGAAAAGATAGCAGGCCTGAGATTAGATTTGGCCTTTACTAAATCAGCAGACAACGACATAACGTTAACTTACTCGTTTAAACACATAGATACTGAACATAGTTTATTAATTTACATATTAACCCCATATACCATAACTTAGGAAATGCAGTTCACATTTAGCTATATTATTTACATTTGATTGGATTTAATTATTTTGATGTATAGCCAATTTGACTACTTAGCCGCTAGCTTAGCTTAAGAATGCTACAGCTAAACATGTTTCTCACGCTCGTCGGATGAAGATAAAAGCTTTTCGATCTTTCTACTGTACGAAATATGAGCAATAGTAACTGACTGAACCCCTGTCGATATTAAACAGCGCTTACTAAAAGCCCTTGATGTCAAAAACGTTTGTAGGACGTCCTATTTGGAGCTAGCTGTTAGCTAGAACTATGTCAGTGAAGAGATTGTGCTAACGATTGAGCGGTTATTCACTGAGCACTGACTGGATTTGTGTTTTCCGCTACTTACAGGGTTTTTGGGTGGCTCTCGTCTTCCATTCTTGGATGCCGGAAGAAGTGCTAACAAAACTTGTTTTCAGTATCTCAAATGTGGTTTATTTTTAGGATGAACAATACTGGACTGGTGCTACTTTCAATCTTGAGTCGAAAATGGCGGAACCCGGGTAGTCAGGAAGACAGCCACTGCGCATGCGCAGAAGCAGACGATTGATCAGCCAGACAAGGAAAGGGGAGATTGATAAAAGCGTCGTGCTTGTATAACTGCAGGTGTCAATATATATCATGCTTCACAGGTATTTTACTTGATAATGTGACCTTGGATGTTAATGTATTTGTATGTTTTCTTTCAGCCAAATCTTTCAAGGCTTTTTACTTGTTTTCCAGTGACCACTTAAGTTTCAATGGATGCCTGGTCTTTGGCAAAAAGAAACACAGATAGCACTGATACCATGTAATAAATTAATGATGATTGGTAGTGATTGTAGATAGAGATTTTTATATTTTAAGAACCAAGAAAACGTCTGAAAATGTCATCACCAAATTCGATTCTCAGTACTTCTTTTGTAAAATATGTGTGTGTGTGTGTGTGTGTGTGTGTGTGTATTATGACAGAAAAAAATAATTTGTTGCAATGTATTCTTCATATTAAAGGGTGCATGAGATGAGTGTCTAAATATTATAAAATGTCAAATATTTAATTAATAATAGATTTACAAAACACTACTAAAGCGTACAACATGTTGAAGAGGTATAACTGCTATAACTGTCCTAGTATTACACATTATTTTGTATTAAATTGTATAGGTTATTCAATTTTATCTATAGAAAGAATCGAGGGATTATATGGGTTTTCCTTTACATCCCAAATATTTTAGCATTATGTGATAGATGACAAATGTGAAGAATAGTAGAATGACAGAGTATAGATCAGAGATATATTTTTTAAAGTATTGCTTGTCTGTCTTCAGAGGTGAACAAAACTAAAACGCAACAAGTGTTCTCGGTCCAATAAATCAGAGGGATAGGCGATTACGCGGATCAGAGCGGATCTCTGTCTGGACGGTCAGGGGGTCATTTATGGCCACACACGTGGGCGTTACAGTGAACCCTAGAACTTTCTCGGTAGTCTTCGGATGGACCTTACTGCTTCCAGAAACCCATCCCCATTTACAGTACGTCATCAAACGGACCCTTTAAAACGTCTGTAGCGGCTGTAATGGCACAATATTCGGGAGCGAAGCAATATCAGAGTATGAAAACACTGTCTCCAGTCGAAACGATGGCAACTAACGATCCTCTACCACCTGGGTGGGAGATCAAAATTGACCCGCAGACAGGTTGGCCGTTTTTTGTGGATCACAACAATCGCACAACGACGTGGAATGATCCGAGACATGACACGAAAAAGGTAAGATAGATCTTGATTTTGGTTTTGGAAGTTGCGCTGTCAAACGTGATCGGGTTTCAGGTGATTTAAAAAATGCAGATAGATGGCGCGTTTAATAGATTACTTTGGGTTACGGCATTTTACTGGGTGTTTCATCGAAAAGTCAATTTTGTTGAGTGCGTAGGCTACGATCCCACTCAGTATCCAAATCATACTTGAGCAGACTGTCTAGGGTTGAACAGCCACGCACTTGATATATTTGCTTTAGCTCGAGCAGTCACCTCTATTGAAACAGCGCTTCGCGTGCATTCGAACGGCTTGATGGAATATGCACAGGCGAAATATATTAGTGTGATGATCTCAGCTGAAGTGATTAGTGTGTGACGCACTGCAGTCATATGTGAGAGTGTTAGAACGACTCCACAATGTTTATTTAAAGCCCCGAGAAATACGCACACTGCGCTTGTTCTCCACGTCCCTGGAACTGAACAGCAAAACACGTCCCTCAAAGTTTCCCTTACATGGGATTTGAGAAAGATCCACCCACTCATGGATTCTGACATTACCAATGAATGGGCTTGAAAGTTACACATTGGAAGTGTCAAACTGTTCTGGAAGTAAAAAATGTGGGGTGGGGGGGACACGAGGGTTTGCCAGTTGGCATCCTCCATTAGGTAGATCAACACTTGTCCGAAGTTAGTGTCACCAAGAATCTACTGGAAAGACACAGCTGCCAGGAGATAAACTGGGCGCTACTCTTGGCGTCCTTGTCGAAGAAAAAAAAAAGCAGAGGGCGTGAGGTCATACTAGCCGTTATTCTCAGTTTACCAACTTGGGTTTGAATCAGTTTTGTAAAACTACATCTAAATCTCCTAATTTGATAACATTATAAACCAATCAGGTGTTTTAACCTTTAGGCCTAGGAGTCCTAGAGAAAGGAATCGGAATCAGTGTTGCATTTTAAGCTTGGCCGATAATAAATTGGTAAGTTGCCATTTTAATGTCTTTACATATTTGTTTTTATGTTTACAATGCAAAGACTTGTAGTTGTAGCCTACATTACATTTTTATTTGGGATGGAGAAACATTTAGCTGAATGTCAACATCTGAACTATCATTTATCATTTTCTGGTACTTGATGCATTGTCTGTTTTTCCTCTAAAAAACATGTTAAATTACATTCTCATTAGCGAAATTTAAATTTGAATTTCACAGACAAAAAACTCAATTGAAAATTGTCAGTAGTGAATCGATGCATGAGACACAGCTCAAACAGAAGTCACATTCAAACCAAGCAGCTTTCTGTTGCCCAACACAGCAAATTTGCTTGACTAACTTGAACACAAGCTGGGGAATTTTTTTTTGCCATCACGCGATACTCTCAATCACGTAGATTCCAATTGAGATGACTAGATTTCGTTGGTGAAATTTCGCAGACAATGAGCAAAAGTAACTGTGGCCGCACTTTTATTTAGCAATAATTGGCCCCCTGTTGAAAACTAGTATCTTTAAGTATGTATACTGGCAGTTCTGCGGCTTCGAAATCAGAATAGGTGTTTTGTGATAATTTGTTAGGGATATTATTATATCGTTTGATGTTTGTTGTGTCTGTGCTGATTTACATTGATGAGTAAGGGAGGTCCTCCCCCTCACAAAGAGTATTTTAAGACACAGTGTCAACAGCACAGGAACCCATTGAAAAATGCTGCCTAGAGTGAGTCATGGCATTAGAATCGACTGCATACTGGGTATATCCTGTAAGCCAATGCAGTCGCTTAACAGTTGTTGTGTACTGCTTGTTTTTACCCACTCATGTTTCTTGTTTGATCCTGGACAGCCTTGTCATTGAGCGAGGGCGGACTGACCTTTTCATGTCAAACGGATGAGAGAAAACGCGAGCTGCGTTTAAGCTGAGTTTTACATTTACAGTTGTGGTCAGAATTAATGGCACCCCTGGTAAATATGATCAAAAATGACTGTAAAAAATAAATTGCATTGTTTATCCTTTTGATCTTTCATTAAAAAAATGAGCAAAAATCGAACCTTTCATTGAAGTAAAAGAATGGAAAGTGGGGAGGAAATCACATTATGAAATAAATTAATTTATTCATTTGGCCGCAGTAACATAATAAATAATATAATTGTACTTTAGACAGATTTACAACGGGTGGAATTCGCATATGACTGAGTATGACAAGTCGTAAAATTCTACAACTTGACAGTGATGTGAAGCTAATAGGAAAAATTTAGCAGGTGTAAAACACTGTTAATCACATCACAAAATGTGTCATATGTCTATGAGAGTGACTTTCAGTTCACAAAATGCATATAATCATAACTGATAACACTAAGATAATACTGGAGTTTTTAGACGTTGTGCTTTGTAGTAAAGCTCTATTTGAACACTTCTTACGTTTGTCAATGTTTAACTCCCAAAAGTTTGTCCCCATTGTGGCTATGGTGTATATATACCCATTATTTTCCTTTTACAGTTCAGATTAATTATGAGAATAATGATCTAGGTACTGATTATGCAGGGTTATTACACAAAAAACATCTACATACCATTATCTCTGGGTTGTTCTTAATATTTTTGGCCTTAGCAAAGTCATTGGTGCAAGTCAAAATATTTTGTCATGCTGCTTGTTAATAATTGGAGCTTACTCAGTAACCCAGTCAACCGCATGCTTTCGTTATTTGCCTTCTCCTGCAAAACAATTTGCCGTATAGCTACTAAATACTTCAGCAGAGAAGGAATGAAGAGCATCATCAGAAGTGATGTTGTTGATCAGATCTATGTTTACCAGAGTATATTGCATTACTTGCATTATGGTGTTAAATTTGTCATCATTGCGTGAGGATATAACTAGTTATTTTTGAATAGTGTTTTCAACTGCTTATTTATTTATTTTTTCAGATTTTTTCAAATGGCCCCTCTATGTCCTCAGAGTCTCCTCAGGACATGCACAAAACCTTTATTCAAGAGATGAGGCAACCAATGCTACGCCAGGGCTACATCCCCATCCCAGTCTCCCATGAAAACACTGAACCCAGGCTGCAGCAGTATCCAAGTTTCTCTTACTTCCATCCAGCAGTGCAGCAAAACTTGAGAACAGATGGACGTACACCTTCCCCGACCCCAGCAACACACTGTCGGCCTAGATCTCCAGTGCAGGCCCCATCAGAGGCATGTTTGTCTTGCTCTCCTGCTTTACATGGGCCTGAGGTAAGCCCATTAGATCCTTTTAGATATGGCAGTTTCTGTCAGACTTTGGATACATTATGAAAGATTCACATTCATTTACTGACTATGCTTCTGAAGGATTTTTACTTGGAAATTTCCCTTGGTGCCCTGTATTTTCTTGCTAAAGAATTTGTGCAATAACAGTGGCCTTTTTAGCTGTGCAATATGACGCCCATCTACATGTTCTGTTCCACTGTATGAATTGTTTAGGTGAGATACATGTGATTGATTTTTATATTTATTCTGTGATTTGGAAATGCAGCATACACTGAGCCCAAGACAAATTTTCCTAAGGGGAAAATAAAGTATATTGTATTGTATTGTATTGTAAATTTGGTTAAACTTTATTTTAAGGTGTCTCAACTATACATTTAAGTACTGAGCAATATTAAGTAACTACATGTACTTGCTATAGGGTTTAGTTTAGGGTTCGTTGCATGTAATTATCCATAATTTATAGTTATTACTATAGTAACTACATGTAACATATGTAACAGTGACACTGTAAAATAAAGTGTTACCTTACATTTTAAAAATGTCATAGTTTTATAGGTTTCTGAAAATTAACACTTGCTAAAAGTGGTAATATAAACACATTATTGCTGATTCTAATGTTCTGTCTTTATTTACTTTGGCACTTCACATTGGTTTGTCAACCATTGCCCAAGTTAATGCAATACAACATTATTATTATTTTTTTTAAATAAATATTTTATATATATATAATCAATTGAATGCATCCTTGCTGAATAAAAGTATTAATTTCAATGGTAGTGTATAGTATAAAGGTAGTGCTAGCTTTTTCCAAAATCAAACTGTATTTTCATTTTCACTAGGTTCATCAACCACAGGGGACACACCAACAAATTAGTGGCCTTCATCAACAGCCCCGACCCAGCAGTACAGGTCTCCGGACAGGCTATATCCCTATTCCGGTGATCCATGAGGGTTTAGGAGGGGGCCTACAGTCCCAGCCTAGCCAAAGTTCTCATCCCACACGCGAAAAAATCCCAATCTACCGTGAACAAGTGCCCATTCAGATTCAACAGAACCGCGCTGCCAGTCCCATCCCGGTCCCCTTAAGGGCCCAGTCACCAGTCATTTCTCAGATCATGGGAGAGAGACCCCAGGTATGTGTGTTTTTAGTAAGATGTTAGGTATTTTTTGGCATAAGCTCAAGGCGTTAATGTTAATTTATGTAATATTTAATATTTATTTACCATTACTAAAGTGTTCAGAAGTAATATATGAAATTAAACAAAAGTAAATATGTTAACATTGCCAGATCCAGCAACACATTGGACATGCAGTAATACCACCTAAAGCTGAACAACCAGTTGAAGAAATTGTCAGAGCGTCGCCTGCATTTGAGTTTCCCATTCAGAGAGTTAGTGACGTTTCTCAACAAATATATCATCAGCCAGTACACCAACAGCAACAAAAACAACAACCTACACAAATACCTCAGCCAAAAGCACAACAACCTACACCGCAGTCACCGCAGATATCAGAGACATCCAATATTACCATACAAGTTCCTCCAGCACCAGAACCCCAGGAAACAGCTGCCCCTCAAACACCTCAAGACGTCCCACCTCCATACGTCCAGCCTGAGGAGACTCTGGAACAAGATCTGAGTCACCCAGGACTGATCAAAGTGCATCAGATATTGGAACGTGTGGAGAAACTGGCACAGGAGGTGAAATGTTTCGATGGGAAGAAGAATGATAAAAGATACTTGTTGCTGGAGGAGATGTTGACCAAAGAACTGCTGGCTCTGGACTCGGTAGACCCTGAGGGTCGCCCAGATGTGCGTCAGGCTCGGAGGGATGGTGTCCGCAAAGTTCAGACCATTCTAGATGAACTGGAGGTGTTTGGAGAGCAGTTGGAAAAGCTGGCTGGTGACAAGTGCCGCGAGGCGAAAGGAGAGCCAAGTATGATTTATCAAGCAAATACAGAAAAGGTCAAGGAGATTTCATAATCGCACAAATTTGAGAAGAACACTAATCAAATCCCCATTCTTGTTTTTACTTGCACAATTACTATTAGTTGCATGCACGAATAATTGAAGTTTTCTGTTGGAAATTAAATTATCTTATGTGATTTGTTTACTGAGTGCAATCATGTGTGCTGTTATGTGATGCTGCTGTTGTCAAATCTCACCATGCCAGTGTCTTATAGCAAAAGACAGTGGTGACACGTTTTATTCAAAAATACACATGAAAACGAGGCCTTGAACCAGAAGAAAGTATTTTAACGTCCAATAAGTATCTTTTATACCATGTGGAATGAATGTTAAAATGCTTTTTAATAATCCTCAAGAACTTTTTTTTTTTGAAGTAGTGGGCCATCACAGTGAAAAAGTTTTGATTTGATTTGATTTGTAACATTTTTCATGTGTGGACTAAAATAGAAGAAATGTATACATTTGAAATATAAAGGCATTCATTTTGGTTTTGAATTCTGGGAAGGTTTTGTTTATATATATATATAAATAATGTATAAACAATTATTGCCTTTTAATATAAATGTTTGAACATCATACAGGGAGAATAATTCGTTGTTGAGAGCGAGCTTTGCTGACAGAATTCCCTGAGATGGTTTGAACTCTTGTCAGTATTGTTGTTTGTTGAATGACAGTGACACAAATAATGCTATATTTTTATTCTATTTTTCTGTGCCAAAAAGAACATTTCAGATAGTAAGAATGTTCTTCTTAAAAATGTTGAATCTAAAAAAAAACACATTATAAAATTTTCACTGAATATATGGTCGCCTTATGTTTAAGGAACGGTTTGTTAAAGCAGTCAGGGTCGGTCCAAAGTTGTGGTGATTCATGAACTCAAGAGGTACCAAAATAATTATGTTTTATCAACATTGTGCCCTTGAGCAAGGCAACTTAATCACAACATGCATGAAATGGACTTGAAATGAGTGTACCAAAAATTACTTTGTATAATGTGTCAGCTCAATTCTGTTTAAAAGAGAGTGCTGTATGTCTCACATTACTGTGAGGCTTTTTTTTTATCACAATGACCTGTTACTGACTCTGATATCGTAGTAATAATAATGCGAACAAAACTGGTTTCAAAGTCTGTTTTGTGAAATAGTATGCAATGTTCAGTGTTCACAGCTTGGAAATTTGCTGTTTGTTAAAATGTCGACATGATATGGTCACATAAGCATAACTGCAAATAAATATTTTTTGGAAAATATAATAAAGCAATTTGCTTACATTAAGTTGCATGGTTTATAATTTTACACCCACAGTTTAAAAAAGATGTATGCTGTGTCCAGTAACTGTGTTTGAAGTGCAAAGGAACAAACAGGATCACTACTGCGTGGACTATCCAGTGGTTTATTAGGTATTATTTTTAAAGCGCCTACGGAAACGCTACAAAAAGAAGGAACGTGCGAGGGCTAATTTCTATAAAGACCCATTCAAATTCTTAAAGAAGTTATTCACCAGTGAGAAGAATGGCATTTTAAAAGCATCTAGGGTTGAGCTAGAGAGATATTTGAAAGAAACACATACAGATGCAAAAAGGCATGAGCCTATGTCAATTCCATCAGACATCCCACCTATCAATCCACCAGAATACCAAATGGAGGTCTGTGCACCTAAGTGGAAAGAGGTAGAGCAGGCTGTGAGAAAGGCAAGGGCTTCATCATCTCCAGGGCCTAATGGAGTTCCGTACAGAGTGTACAAAAGTGCTTCAGGAGTTCTACGAATTCTGTGGAAATTGATAAAAGTAGCATGGGAAAAACAGGTTGTACCTAGAGCATGGCGCAGAGCAGGTGGAGTCTTTATAGCTAAAGAAAAAGATGCTACAAGCATCAGTCAGTTTCGTCCTATTTCACTATTAAACGTTGAAGGTAAGATTTTCTTCAGCATTATTGCTCAGAGATTGTCCACCTACCTATTAAAGAATGGCTTCATTGACACCTCAGTTCAATAAGCGGGCATTCCAGGGTTCTCAGGATGCTTAGAACAATGTTATCTGGCAACGAATTCAATCAGCTAAAAAGGAGAGGAAGGAGCTCCATGTGACATTCCTGGATTAGGCTAATAATGCATATGGTTCAGTGCCACATGAGCTTCTTTGGGCAGCATTTGATTTTTTCAGAGTACAAATGTCAATAACAAATTTAGTAAAAGCCTATTTTGGAGATTTGCTATTTAGTTTCTCAACTCCAGAATTCAGCACTACATGGCAATGCTTAGGGGTTGGAATAATGGCAGGATGCACCATTTCTCCACTGGCTTTTACCTTGGCAATGGAAGTAATAATTAGGGCATCAAGATGGGTAGTAGGAGGAGAGCGATTGGCTTCTGGAATGCGACTACCACCAATCAGAGCATACATGGATGACATGACAACCATGACTACAACAGTAGCCTGCACTAATCGGTTATTGGGTAAGTTAACCGATAATATTGAATGGGAACGAATGCAATTTAAGCCCTCTAAATCAAGGAGCATCTCGATAGTTAAAGGAACAAAACATTCTTCATTAATGGTGAGGCAATACCAACAGTTTCTGAGAAGCCAGTGAAGAGTCTTGGGAGATGGTACGACGGGGATCTAAAGGACACAGTTCGAGTGGGAGAAGTTAGACGACAAGCAGTGCAAGGGTTGAAGAGCATAAACAGCTGTGCTCTACCAGGCAAACTAAAACTCTGGTGCTTTCAGTTTGGTCTATTGCTGAGGTTGCTGTGGCCACTGACTGTGTACAAGGTTTCTTTGACAACAGTGGATAAGCTGGAAGCGTTAATAAGTTCATACATTAGGAAATGGTTGGGAGTTCCACGCTGACTCAGCAGAGTGGGACTTTATAGTAAAGGAATATTGCAGCTGCCAGTCTCTGCTTTAACCGAGGAGTTTAAGTGCGCCAAGGTCAGACTGGAAATTACCTTAGAAGAGTCACGCGACAAATGTGTAAGGGAGGCAGCACCTGTGTTAAAAACTGGTAGAAAGTGGTCAGCAAAGAAATCTGTGGTAGAGGCAAAGGCTGCCCTTCAAATTGGTGATATCGTGGGACAGGTACAGCATGGAAGAGGGGGTTTTGGGCTCAGTTTAGCTCCTCCTATGGCACAAGGCAGGCCCAGCTGAAAGGAGGAAGCTGGTTGTCAACGAGGTGCGAAAGCAGGAGGAGAGGATGAGGTGTATAAAGGCCATTTCACAGGCCAAGCAGGGAGAGTGGATGAGATGGGAGAGTGTGGAACAACGCAAGATGTGCTGGCAAGACCTTTGGTCAATGGAAGAGAATAGGATCAGTTTCCTTATCAGGTCAACATATGATGTTCTCCCATCACCACAGAACCTAAACCTCTGAGTAGGAGAGGATCCCTCTTGTCCTTTGTGTTCATCGCCTGCCACATTATGGCACATTTTGACAGGATGTAAGGTGGCTCTTAGCCAAGGTCGGTTTACTTGGCGCCATGACCAAGTACTGCGATGTTTGGCTTTAGCATTGGAAGGCAAGCGTATCATGACCAATAAGTTGCCACCTGTTCTAGCAAAACATTACACACAGAAGACAATATTCCTCCGCCCAGGCGAGCAACCACCAAGAAAAGGTGTTAAAACCAATTCTCGCCCAGGACAACTGGAAGCTGCTAGGGACTGAAAAATGCTGTCTGATCTTGATCAACAGCTTATTTTTCCACCTGAGATTGCCACCACTAACCTCCGACCAGATATTGTTTTGTGGTCTGGATCAGCACGCATTGTTCAACTGATACAGTTAACAGTGCCATGGGAGGATGCGGTAGATGAGGCATATGAGAGGAAGAAACTGCGGTATGCTCATCTGGCCACTGAAGCAGAACAGCGAGGATGGAGAATCCAGGTTTATCCAGTGGAAGTGGGTTGTCGAGGATTTGTGGCACACTCTACAACCCGGTTCCTCAGAGACGTCGGATTCAGTGGCCAAGAGTTGCGTCGCACAGTAAAGAACTTATCTGAAGCAGCAGAGAGGAGCAGCAACTGGCTGTGGTTGAGACGGAAAGATTCTGGCTGGCTGTGTACAGGCCGCCACGCTACGGTTTCGTAGAATTCTTGAAAAACTCGAAGAGTCTGTTGGTTTATTTGTATAGTTTGCATAGTAATTACAGTTATTACGTTCCTGTGTATATTGCGTGAATAAGGGTTGGTGTTTGGGGAGATATTGTGTTTTGCGGTAGGTAGTATGCCATACGGAACCATTGCCACTGAACCTACTTTAACGAAAACAGTGGGGCTCGACAGCCTTAGTCAAACTGGTTGGCGCGTATGGTTGGGTTGCGGAGAGATTGTGAGATTGTGGTTAGGTCCCATGTGAACTACGAGGAAGGAGCAACCTCAGCAGCAGGAGGGATGTGAAGGTCAGTAAGCTGGGCTGAGTTGAGTGGGGGACGGAGGGGGGTGACTCTGGGACGCCAGAGTCACTGTCGAGCCCTCTTGAGGGGTCGTGGGCTAGTCGACGAAACACTGAGGATGGAAGGTGCCCACTTGAAAACCCTAGAGATGTCCCCTACTCGGCTCAATCCAGAAGGTTGTCGTGCTGGTCCACTGGGGAGACCACACTGTAGTTGCAGCCGTTGTGTGTGCTGCTGACGCGGCAAGTACACTGCAGCCGTTAACGCCGGACAGAAGGAGATTCACATCACCATATGGAAGGAAGCATAAATGGATGGAGAAGCATAGGTTACTGTAAAGCTACGTCTTAGTTTGTGCTTATCTTGGCGAAATCCGAGTGCAAATCAGCATGAGGTTTTAACATCTACTCACGTGTAATGGAAATTTTTTAAACATGTAGGTCAACCAAAACCACAGTAATTAAAAAGGTCAGCTATAGGAAAGTCAAGAAATTAGTCAGTGGTAAAGAGTCCTTTTAGACAAATTTGCAGGATAAATGTTTCTTGAAATCTAGAGTGAGACCACAGCATTATGTAATCAATTGGGGATAATATTACATCTAGAAAGCATTTTAATTCCTCTTAGGATGGGGATCAAAGACTATAATGTACAAAGGAGTTGCTGAGTGACGCCTACATGCCAACTACATCTTTACCAGCCAGACAACGAACATTTCACTGACCACTGATTACATCTCTCCAGTCATTTTAGGACGGACTTCAAAGACTATAAATTAATATAGTCTATATTATATTAATATTAATATAAAAGGGGGTCAAAACAAAAGGTTGGCCTTAAAAAAGTGTTTTACGTAAATGTAAAAGGCCTACGTTTCAGCGAATTTCAACCTGATCTCATGAAAATCAAAACGCTAAACGCGCCATTTACGCGCTAAAACTAATTTATTATGTGGTGATTTCGTATGAATCGTATGGAAACGTTCAAAAGGTCCACCCTATAACCCCAACCCTAAACCTAACCGTCAGTGTAAGTAGATCGTAAAAACATTCAGAGAGCGTATTTTATAAGAATTAGCTACCAATTCACCAAATGTAAAATAGCATGTTTTTTTCAGATGTTTCAAAAGTTAGTAGGGTGCTCATTTTCAGGTTCCATTGACACAGATTTAATTTAGCATGCGAGGCACAAACAGGAGTGCTGTAACAGTGGAATGTTAGGATGACTCTATATGGGGCCCTGATTAGACAGTGTCTCCCCACCCCCTGAAATGCAATTTTGCAAGGGGCCCAAGGCAATAAACTGTCAAGGAACTAGTTATAAACTGCTAGAAACTAGTGCTTGTTTACATATAAAAACAACGGAAACAGCAGTTCACACAGAACATATTTTTGCTTTTGATGTATATGCACTGCATTTTATGCATTCGATATAGCGTCCGATAATGCTTCTAACAAAAGTAGGGGTGTAACGATATTTGAACCGAACCGAAAAACCGCGATACACCACCCACGATACGTATCGCGATACTCTCATGGCGAACCGAACACGCCCCGCCCCCTGCTGCCCCGCCCAGCCCCGGCTCATTGCACCTCATTGTGTTATGTGTACACAACGAATACAGGGCTGTTGCCTAACCACCATTAACCACATATAATCGCAATAAGCTCAGTGTTTTGTTACTTTTGATAATAAGCAAGGTGTAATCTTTCAAATTATGTCTATTTGATCACGAAATGTAAACAATAAATGCCGTTTTGGCGCTCTTAGATGTGGCGTGACAGATATCACTGTATGCATGCGGCAGCGCGGAGCGCGATCATCTCTTCCTCAGTTACAGAATAAACATGAATGGACAACCGAACTAAGGTATGTTGAAAGATACAGTATACTTACTGAAAGGCATTATAACTCGTGTAAACACTCAATCAGTGTTTCAACAGCGGAAATACGTCAATAAAACGCTTAGTTTTTCACATAGCTTTATATTTACCTCAGGCAAGTCATTCAGTGTCCACAGTGTCCACAACTCTTTCACTAAATAAATGGTATATATTAGCCTATATATTATATTTTACTTAACCTGTTTATGATATCTTGATTATTTAATGTATGTTTAAAATAGTTGTCATGAAAATAACAGCAACTGTGTAAATTATTATATAACATTAACAAATTAGAGTAAAAACATGTTAATGCAAAAATTGCCTTATGTGTAGTTTACATGTTTTCATACAATTTGTCATTTGAGTGTTGATTATTATTAAATCATTTAGCCTAAAAGTCTAGGCTCTATTGTTAAGCTTTAATGTTATAGTAATGTGCAAGTAAGGGCTGTAGTTTACAGCATTAGCAGATAATTTTGTTATCCTTGAGAAACGTTTACTTGTAATTGAATTAATTTAAAGACAAGGACACAATTTGTTCATTAAAGCACTGTTTAATAAAAAATAAAAGAACCGAACCGAACCGAACCGAGACCTCAAAACCGTGGGACGAACCGAACCGTCAGGTTTGTGTATCGTTACACCCCTAAACAAAAGTGCTCAAGTGGTCTAATGTTGCTATGGTTTCCTATTCCTGCCCATATTTTTAAACATCACAGCAACATTACTGCTCTAGCGCTTTTATTAGAATCATAATCAGATGATACATAGACAAAATTGGAATACAGCAATGATTTATCAATTTTTTTAAACATTACATTTCCCAAATACATTCGATCATTAAAGGGGACCTATTAAGTGATATTCACTTTTACATGGTGTTTAAACATAAATGTGTGTCGGCAGTGTGTGTACACAACCACCCTATAATGGTAAAAATCCACCCACTCCTTTTTTTAATCCCGATACATCATAAACTGCGTCTCAGAATAAGACAGCAAAGCATTTACAACACATTCTGGGGACACCAGAGACTATTATTATATTATATTATATTATATTATATTATATTATATTATATTATATTATATTATATTATACATCTTGTAAAAAAGGGGCATAATAGGTCCCCTTTAAGATCAGTGTCCCCACAATGTCAAGGCTACATATATATCAACTTTTACAACACTTCAAATATCGAATCAGCAATATAATATTGAAACAGGTCAACAATTATATAAGGTTCTCTAAAATACAATGCAATACTAGTAACGATATAATATAAAACAATACATCAAAACAAGAATTGCATCTAGTCACAGATGACCTATGTTCGGTGTGACGGAAGAGGTCACGTGTGTGTATAACTGGAGGAAATCGTTTCATTCGCTGCTACTCCCCTCAGTGGAAAATATTAGACAGACCGGTACATTTCCGAACCACTACAACACTATTAAACTGACATTAAATGCGCAGCCATTTTCGATGATCGGCCAGTACCTGACATAGAGGCATGATGCTTTATCAGATGCTTATAAACGTTTACACAGGTACAGAGCTAGCAGGTTAGCTGGCGTCTATCTGGACTGCCAGTGTACGACAAGGGAGCTGCTGCTTCATTTCCTCGTTTCTCGGATCGGGAACAAATCCAGCGGTTTAGTGTCGGGACGCTCTTATGTTTTGGTATTATGATGAACATGGAGCTGTTTCAAGCTAAAGATCATTATATTCTTCAGAGAGGAGATAACGCGCTGTGGTGCAGCAGGAAGGATGGATCTGTGGCCGTGAGACCTGGTAATGGTTGCATTTTAACTTATACCGGTGTATGTGTTTCAATGTTTTCGTTTTCACTGTCTAACGTACATTGTTGCCATTCCTCGCGCATAATGTACACGACACGCTGCTTAAAAACAGAGACAAAATTAGTGATTTGTGCTCCTGACATGTGAAGACGGATCACTGAGTTGTATAAAAGTGAAGCGATGGAAATGTCAGTTTTTTTAATCTGTCGAGCTAGGCTGTTGTCTTGAAAGATGCCCAGTTGTGGTGTTTTCATTGCCCTACTTTCAAAGCAGCGTTCATGAAATGACTTTCAGTGCAATGTTGTTTTGATGTTTTGATCGGATGATGTCGTGGCTAAAACCCCTTTTACTAATTACAGACAGTATGTGGTTTGGGGGTCAGTATATTTTGGTCAAGGGCGTCTAGATGGGACAATTTACATGAAAATAACATTTCTGTCATCATTTACTCCCCATTTTATTCCAAACCTGTGTAACTATTTCTAACGTGGAACACGAAAGTAGATGGTACAGAATGCTAGGCACCGACAGATTCAGTTACCACTACTTTCATATCATGTTTTTCCCCACACAATAAAAGCGAATAGTGAAAGTGTCACTCCCTAATATTCTGCCTGACATCTACTTTCTTGTTCCATGGAAGAGAGCCATACAACACGAGGATGCACATTTTTGCATCAAAATGATCTTGGTTTGATATTATGACATCCTTTGGACCCAGTTCCAATTGTGCAGGCTAGATCTGTGAGTAATAGTACATAACCAGTTTACCGGGGTTACAAATGACCACTCTTTGGGAAGAAATGTCGGTAGTGAATAAATATTTAAATGTCCATCAACTCATCTTACCAGTGAGGTATTTCTGAATATGCTAGATAGTGCTGTTAGACGTCTCACAAGAGAATGATATTGTTACACAGTTAAAAGGTGAAGGTTAAAGTCAGGGTCAGACATGTGACTGTTCTCCTGGAGAAAGTGGTGTGTTCAGGCAAGGCATAGCCTAGTAGTGCTAGATAGTCAAATGAGAGTTTTCTGCCCAGGCATTAAACCAATAAAGTACTAGGTACCGATCTGTTTCTTTAACCTCAGGCAGTTTTGACATCGCTCTTGTGTCATGTCTGTCATGTCTGCTCATTGTATGTCTTTTATCAGAAAGGACAGTGTTTTGCAGATATAATTTTTTTCGTTTAGATTATTTTTTTACCAAAAGGTTTGCATACTCAACCATCACCGGCGTTTTATGGTCACACAGACAACTAAAAATGCCTTCTCTCACACTTTTTTCTTTCCATCTCGCCTTTGAATGTTTACCTATCCACACCACTTCTATCTCTTGCCAACTCTAAAACTAGATGGGCAGCTAGTCCGTCCTGCAGTGCAGATTATCGGGAAAATTGCAGCCTGCGAAGATTTGAATAAGTTCTAGCTGTTTTTAGGCTGTGTGCAGCCGAGCTGATCAGGTTTAGGTTGCAGTCTGTTTCATTATTTAACTGGATAAGGGTTTCCACTGTATTCATGATGCATAGATACAGCCTCAGTTCTTTTTAACAAATTCCTTAGTTGCCAGCATGTCTGGGTGAGTTTATACCACCGTGTTACTTAACAGTTTGCTTATTATTCAGTCCGTCTGTGTAGTGTGGCAGATGAATAGATCATAATGTCAAATTAAAGGTTAGCCACTTCAAACTTCAATTGGATAGTGGATAGCCTACTTGTATGAATAGATCACAATGATACTTTTAATTACAAATTATATTATCACCGTAACAATTTGAGTGCAATGTTGAATTGAATTTAGTTTCAGAATTTCTTGGTATTTGGTAAGTAACTGCTGCTACCAAGATATCATTCATCTCCACGGATCCAGCTTCCATGGCCTAGTAGTTGGAGAACTTTCCTCAAACTGGAATTATGCCCAATGCCAAGCTCATGGTCATTATGGAGGGTTTTTGGCAACTTCATGATGCAGCTCATCCAGCTCCCACCCATCCATCATCAGACTGTGAATGTCTCTTCCCAGTTAGTCAGGAGATGGTTGAGTGCACGACAGTGGCAAATGTGCTAAGAGTGTCCACTTCCAAATGGAACTATGATATCTGTCAAAAGATAATAGGAGCTATTAAGCTACCATACTCTGTCTCAGATACTCCATAAAATGCTGTCTTTGCACATGACATCTCAGACCAGCTCATCATTCCTAAAAATGTAGGTGATGCTGATCAATCATCTTAAGAGGAATTACTCTGCAATGAAATTGGTGACTTAGGTTAGCAGTCATCTTTGTGAGGAACCTGGCTTAAAAATGCTTTTGATAGTTTTTTTTAGATCAATTGTGAGCAGCCACATAACCTTAGAAAGTCGAAGGAAGCTGTGATGGTTCTTCTGTCCCAGATGCAGCAGTGCAAAAAAAAGAGAAGAATTTATGTAAGACAAAAATTAATAAAAATTATTTGTGTGTGTGTAATTGTAAATAAACAAAAATATACACATTAAATGTAATGATAAAATAAATGAGCAATTAATGAGAAAAATTATTTTAAAAAACACTCGAAATGAACATATATTGTCCAAAATATTTTTACCACAAAATATTTCAAAACAAAGTGTGCTTTATCTGAGGGCAAAAACTGGCAACATTTGAGTTACTCCTGTTTTCTGTAGCTTGAAGTGCCTTCAGTTTTCTAAACCCTATTTTAATCCTGGGTAGAGAAACGTTTCACGTGCAATTTATAATGGGTTTAGCACCACTTTTTACCCAGGGTTATGAAACTTGTGCAGTGTGAAATGATGTGGTGTTAGAATCTTACAGCTAGATGCTTAACAACAGACACCTAAACGCATACCTTATATTCATAGGTGTTTTGGACAGTCATGGAAACACATTGCATTGTATAAACAGTCGTTTCGTAGTTTCAGGAGAAACATGTCAAATGGTGATGGAAACATTGAAGTGAAGAAGAGACAACTTAAATCTTGACTTTATAGTCCAAATTCAGGAAAATTCAGAAAGAAACTGCATAGTACAGTGGGCAATGTATAATGTGATGATGTGCAATGTTAGAGCCTGTAAATAGGTTATGTAATGCATCCAGTCATTAACCCAGGGTTTAGAAATGTACAGTTTGAATCTTCAGCATATGAATACCTATAATTAATTGTTAATCCCGGGTAAATTGTGAGCAGTGTGAAATCCGAAGCAAGATTATTAGGAGCTGAAAAAATGTTTTGAACACTTGTGACTTATTTTAATCCTCCTTTCAGCAACCGACCTCCTACTAGCATGGAACCCTGTCTGTCTGGGCCTTGTCGAGGGTATTATTGGAAAAATACAGCTTCATGCCGGTAAGTCTGATCGTAAGCCTGGTATATTTTGTGTATAAAGGATAAGAATTAACATTTTTAATTCACTGTAATGTTTGCAATGAATTCAGTGGCTCTAAAGCTTATAGTCTAATGTTGTTATAGATAAAATATCATTCAGATCCTGATTTAATAGAATACGTGATTGTTTTTTTTCTCTGTAATTCAGTTTGCAGCAGGAAGAAACTGGGTACCAGAGACTCATAATTAACATAATGAAAGGCAGCTCCAGCATCAGAAATGTCAGATAAATTTGGTTTATTATTTTTTTGTAATTGCTAAATGTCTCTCAGTGCTTTGTAGCCCATCTGTTCTGATGTAGCTTTAGCAGATTAAATAGAATGGCATTGAATATTTGCCTTATTCACATGCTGTGGTATTTACAGGATACGTAGTTCAAAGAATATTGTCATGAATGATCCATGTATAGGAATCCATTTCCATTAAACAAATGCCTCTTAATAGATTAAAAAGGAAGCTCTTGAGGCATTATTGGTACAGAAGTGAAATGATGGCATGTATGATACTTTCATTTCATCATTCGGTGGCTGATTTGAGAAGTCAACCTCTGTCTATTGTTAACAGGTTGACATTATGTATAATGCCAATCTCTCTTCCTTTTTCAGAGAAACACTTGCTTTGTCTGTATATATACATATATTTTGTACTATTATTGATGGCTAAAATAATTGTTCGACTTTTTTGCAGTTTTTCAGGATAAGGCTACACAGATGAGCCATATCATGAGTATCTTGCTACATACAGTATTATACATGCCTTACTTTGTAACATAATCCAGTGGGCAAACCTGATATTTCCTTGCACCGTTCCTACAAAGAGCCCAGGCTGTTCTCATTAAATTTTCCACCTAAAAGATCTCAGAGTTGTCTGCTGCAGGGTGCACTTTACGGCTTTTATCTGTTGATTTACATTGAGTTGTCAGTGAAAGTATGACTGCATCTCGTCTCAATGCAAATGTCTTTGAAGTCATTGTTATGAGAATGCTTGCCATTGGAATGAATCATGCCGGATAGAGCAGGAACATGAGGCGTGGAACTCTGCACTCATGACACATTCCCTTCCTCCCCCCTTTTGGGCAGATCTTCCTCTGGGTCTGATCCTGATTCGCCAGAAAGCACTGGTGGGCCAGTTGCCAGGAGACCACAAAGTCTACAAGATCACCAAGATAGTTGTCATTCCACTCTCAGAGGATGAACCACAGGATCTAGAATTAGAGGTGACTAATACTAACGGTTTTGTGCAAACGTTCTCCATTTTGGATTTAATTAAAGTTAGTATAGAATCAGACAAAGACATAATGTAAAAATTGGCTAAATTAACCATTACATTTCATTACATAGATTTGTTGCTCTAACATATGAAGAGTTATTTCTTGTCATTATCCATGTTGGTAGAGAGCATTCATTGGATCTGATAGAATTTTCTGGTCTGTCTACCCGAATTCCCACTTGTTAGTGTGCCTAGACACTTAGGCCAAGACTTTAGGTATTTTAGCCCCCTTGTGTAGTAAGTGGTTGAGGTGCAATTTATGAATACCCAGGATTAATTGTAACCCTTGGTAAATTGTGAGCAGTGTTGTGAAATGTTAAGCAAGATAAAGCAGGATTCCATTTACCAGGGTTTAGAATGACCCAGGGTTAAAAAATAATAATAGAATGACCCAAGGTTAAAGGGGCTATATGTAGAATTCGGAAACCCTTGTTATTAGCGACACAGGTCTGGATATGTGAGACTATAGCTTGAATTAATCAAATTTCTTTGGATTACTCCGTGACATTACAGTACCGAATGGCTCTTTCTGCAATATCCTGAACATTGTATAAGCATTCATTTCATGTCTCATTGAATTGAAGAGAGGCTCTTGGGAGCGTGCATAAACGTCACATCTTTTTGATTTTCCCGGCAAAAATGTCTTCAGGCTTTCATAGACAGCCTAGGAAGTCGGGGAAGGTCTCTTCTTTTTAAGTTTCGTTACAAGCTGTTCACATATTGGCAATAAATAGAGATTAATACATGAAAATTCTTACATATAGCCCCTTTAAGTTTTTGAAAAACCTCATTTGGAATTGAAAAACAAACAACAAAACATTAGAAGACTTATTTCTTGTAGCAAGCATTTGATCCTGATAGAATTTACCCAAATTCCCACTTGTTAATCCGTCCATTTGATGCTTAGACCACAACTTTAGATATTTCAGCCCTCTCGTGTAGTAAATGGTTGACGTATAACTAGTGCAAGAGTAGTGGTGTGTGTTTCTAAGGGTTCAGAGGAAGCATGATGTTTCTAAGGAGTCAGTCTCTCAGCAGAGCATCTGGGATTAAAGGAGATGTTTAACCATGTAAGTGAAACAGTCAGAGGTCACTGTTATCCATTCTCCTGGTGTGCTATCTCTGCTTGAGTAGTTTATCACAGAATAATTGCCTTGAATTACTTTGAGATAGCAGCCTGCCTATGTAGTTTGACTCTAGTTGTTCTGTCTATTTAATGGGCACATGAATCTGCTCTGGCATCAGCAGGCTAGTTTTAGTGTCCATCTTGGCACCCTTTTGGTTTTAATTTAACCAATTACTGTAGCAGCATTTTTCAGATGGACTTTGAGCAGGGAAACAGAGATGTTCATGTACTATATATGGATATAGATTTGTCACCAATAACAGCAGATTGTTAGCAATAACACTAACTCTTTATCAACTATTATTTTTCTTTCATTCTCCTTCAGCTCTGTAAAAAGCATCATTTTGGAATCAACAAACCAGAGAAAATCACCCAGTCACCGGACGAGTCCAAGTTCCTGTTAAAGACCCTGAGTCAGATCAAATCTAATGTTGCTGTTCCCATGAAGAAAAAGGTTTATGGGTCATTTGGAAATTTTGATCATTGAAATCACTTTAAAATGACAATAATTTTGAGACTAAATATTCCCGTTTTACCTAATCGGTTTGATATGTTAGCATTGTTAATATAAATAAAATCTGAAAATGTAAAAACAGAGCCCTCTGATTCACACATAAATGTACTTCTCTTTAACTTAGTATTGTCTCTTTAACCTCCTTTTGTTTGTTCACTCCCATCCAGTATTCCCCTGCCTTTCAGGTCAAGGAGAATAAAGAGAAGGAACGTCTGGAGAGGCGGCTGTTTGAAGAGCTCTATAAGATATTCATGGACTCGGATTCATTTTACTATAGTCTGACCTATGACCTAACCAATACAGTCCAGCGACAGGGAGCGTTAGGCAAGTCAGATCAACCCCTGTGGAAAAAGGTGAGGGTTTATGTTTTATATATTTTGAAAGTTAAATGTCTACTGAATGAGTGTTTTAGCTTTGTGGTTTCAAATTATTATTTTAAAAAGACCGCAAGTATAAATGTAGCCATTAGCCATTTATTTACTTCAACTCCTTCGATTTTCAATGAGCAACGGGTTAAAAAAATGACAAAATACTAACTTGAGGATAATGACATTTTAAAATGTCTTTTAATATTGATATTGGTGCAGATACTTGAGAAAGCAGGAAACTGTTGAGTTTATTTGAGTGATGATGTTTCACACTCTTTTGCACTTGTCCCACACATACAGGATGCAATACATTTATAGCCAAGCTTCATTTCTCTTTTTTTTATTGAATAAACCATTATCTCTAGAAACTTCCTGGATATTGCACTAAACAGTAGATCTCTGACAAATTTGTATCAGTTATTTCTTAAGATATAGCTAACAATGAACAATGACTGAAGGGAAAAAGCGATGGTGGGTTCACCACAGTGTTATTGTTTGCTATATACGTATATATATATATAACAAAAAAGAATGACAAAAACCCATAACAAACTTATTAAAACGTTCTTAAGTCAGTGCTTTTTTTGTTGGGCTGTGGTTGCTGTGTCATTTTCCAATCCCATTCTGCATTGCCCCTGCAGTCATTTCCCGTCTCTCTGTATTCCCTAATAGAAAGTCCATAAAACACAAACATGAACACATTCCGTCTGACAAACTCACAGAATACTGATGCCCATATTATGTTTTCTTTTTCTTTTAGGTGGATGATAGATTCTTCTGGAACAAGCATATGGTCAAAGACCTAATTGACTTGCAGGTCCAAAACTGTTTTCTCAAATTTTCCAGAATCGTAATGGGTAATGTTTTAATATGTAAACAAGCCCTGAATGGTGATGATAAAAAAGCCCTGTTTTGCAGGTGCCTCAGGTGGACTTTTGGGTGATTCCTATCATCCAAGGCTTCGTGCAGGTGGAGGAGCTCGTGGTGAACTACAACGAGAGCTCTGATGAAGAGAGAAGCAGTCCGGAGACGCCTCTGCAGGAACCCACCTGTGTGGATGATATTCACCCTCGCTTCACCGTGGCCCTCATCTCCAGAAGAAGCCGCCACCGTGCAGGTACAGTACATAAGTAAAAAAAGAAATTCAAGTTTACTTTGCATGCCGTCAATATGATAATACGTCATCATGTGCTTTCCAATGAAGGAATGCGCTACAAGCGGAGAGGGGTGGATGCAGACGGACATGTGGCCAACTATGTGGAGACGGAGCAGCTAATCCACGTGCACAGTCACACGCTGTCCTTTGTACAAACGCGAGGCTCTGTCCCTGTGTTCTGGAGCCAAGCTGGGTACCGCTACAACCCCAGACCTCGGATAGAGAAAGGTGAGGCGGATCTGTGTAATTCTCTCTTCAAATCATACATGTGATGTAACTCGCAGCGCAGTCTAGCACTTCTGTTTATAGACGAGCTATTACTGTGATTCATCAGCTTAGTCACTGTCCTGTGAATGGCATCAGGTGTGAAGCAGGTGTGTTTTTAAGGCTTCTTAGTTGAACAGAGAGGATGTTGGGGCTCATTGGTGATGGCTCAGCACTTTACTGTGACTTTGATTCTGTGATCCACCTGCAGCGTTGTGTGTTTCCTACATGATGTGTTATCTCAGATGTGTTTTGTTGCAGGAGAGAGGGAAACTATGCCTTATTTTGCCTCTCACTTTGAACAGCAAGTTGAGATTTACAAAAAACTGGTAAGGTGTGTTTAAAATAACAATACTAATATTGAATCAAATACTAATATTTATTTGAACATATTAACAGCCCTTACAAAAAGCAATAAATATCATCCTTATATTTTTTTCACCATCAGGTCATCATTAATTTAGTGGACCAAAATGGACGTGAGAAGACAATTGGTGATGCTTACCTCAAACAAGTGCTGCTGTACAATAATCCCAACCTAACATACGTTTCATTTGACTTCCATGAGCACTGGTAAGATACCCAACCTTGTGACTTTTATAAAAGAGCCTTTTATGGTCAAACCTCAACAACAGATTTTCTCATTTGTCACTTCCCAGTCGAGGGATGAAGTTTGAAAATGTGCAGACTCTCACTGATGCCATCTATGACATCATCACAGACACGAGATGGGCCTGGTGAGTCTTTCATTGGCGCTTTAGTTCTCTCATAAAAACTACTTTTGCTCCAGAGTTAGTCAATGTCAGCTGGACTGCTGGTTGATTCTAATCAATCTACTCTGATTTGCAAATAGGGTGGACCAAGCAGGAGTCATCTGCCAACAGGAAGGCATCTTCCGGGTTAACTGCATGGATTGCTTGGACAGAACTAATGTGGTACAGGCCGCTATCGCCCGTGTGGTCATGGAACAGCAGGTATACAAATTCACATTTGAGATTGGAACATGCTACACTGATAAATTCACACATACAAATTAAAGTCGTTTTTGGATAAGATCATATGATAAATGCCTTAAGGTGTAAATAAAATGGTGGTTTCTAGGAGCGCTGCCATACCGCACCCACAGAACAGTATAGTGTCAGATGCTTTCAGTGTGCCAGTACATTCAAAGAGTCTTTTCATCTGTTTGGTTCCAGCTGAAAAAACTTGGTGTAATGCCACCCGAGCAGCCACTGCCCCTCAAGTGTTACAGAATCTATCAGGTGATGTGGGCCAACAATGGAGACACCATTAGCCGTCAGTATGCTGGCACAGCTGCCCTAAAGGTAAATAGACTGAATGCCTGCCATTGATTTTATGCTGTCCTCATTGCCCATTTACACCACCAACTGTCAGCATATAGTATCTAGATTGCAGATTGACAAGTCAGTAATCTTTTGACCATTCATCTTATCTGCCTATATTATATAAATCATCTAAATATTATGTAAATAATTTATTTACTTAAGTAAATTCATGATTAATTTATTTGTTAATAATTACTTTAAGTAATTAATTTTTTGAATGGTTTTGTAATTAAATTTGGGCATCCTACAGGAATTCCCACAGCATCTTTTTAAGGACGAATAATAGTAAAAATTTAGACTAAAGCCTTTAGTTTCATAACATAACTGAAGTAGTACAATGATGACGACCCAATAAGCTTGTCCGCTTAGTCTGATATGTGCAATCTCTTGTGTAGGGAGATTTCACACGAACAGGAGAGCGAAAGTTAGCTGGGGTGATGAAGGATGGTGTGAACTCAGCTAATCGTTACTATCTGAACCGCTTCAGAGATGCCTACCGACAGGCCGTCATTGGTGAGCATGGGAGATTGTCATTTGAATCCTTATTATGTATTTTTGATGTTAGGCACACAGTGCTATTAGCACAGCTTAGTGCCTCATCTGCCATGTACTGTATCTCTGATCCTCCCAGACCTCATGATGGGACATCCAGTAACAGAAGATCTGTACTCCATCTTCAGCAAAGAGAAGGAGCATGAGGAGAAAGAGAAGGAGAGCCAAAGAGGAGCTCAGGAGCAGGTCAGCCTCCTGCTGCAGACGTACATGCAGATGCTGTTACCTGATGATGAGAAGTTCCACGGTGGATGGGCTCTTATAGACTGTGATCCAAGGTGGGAGCCCTCAACTTCATCATGCAGTGTTTTTAGGAGAGTTCTCATTCCAAGCCAGTTGTATGATGCAGTTTCAGAAAAAGATGCTGTATTAGGGGGCTGCACACACAGGACGCATTTTTGCATTCAAATACGCAAGACACTTCTTGTGAAAAATGTTTCTTTAACTTGAACGCCATATTTTTAGAATGCTGTGTAGATGTTAGTCTAATCCATATTTACAAAGAAAAATGATGAAAAAGCAGGAGAGTGGAATACAGAAATGCGTTCTGCGTGAACGGCCCTTAACTGTGTAATCACTTTTTTTCTTTATTGGGAAATATTCAGTTACAACCGAAGAATAAAAAATTACAATAATACAAAAAATTAATTGCAATAAAAATTACTGTAATAATGCTAGGATCTATTATAAAGCTTTATTAAAAAAATTCATATGTTTAGTGTATTCTTCCTCCTACAGTTTGTTGTCAAGGGCTCAGAGGTACTTGTGCATATTGTTTTTTCATATTTGTACAATTATTGTTTGGGTGAAGGAGCCATATTTCCTCAAATCTTTTGAGCATCTGTTGGTGGTAGGCCATGGTGATAGATGCCTGAAAACTGTTTCTGATTGGGTTGGAATTCTTCTTAAATCTTTGCAAATTGAAAGAGGTTAGCTCTGACCATCATATGTAATGCTTATTTGAGTAAATCTTCATACAAGATATGCTCGAATAAGCATAATATATTATGGTCAGAGTAAACCTCAGATGATTAAATACATTCTAGTGAAATGTCATGCATTTTCAATTTCCATTTGTTTCTTTTTCTCATATATGCCCAGGGTTTAATGGTAATATTCATGAGCCTCACTTTGAAGATTTTGACCTTTTATTGTGCTCCTGTTGCTTTTTTCCACACTTTTAGTCTCATAGATGCCACCCATAAAGATGTTGACGTTCTTCTGCTGCTGTCCAACTGTGCATATTATGTAGCCTAGTAAGTGCATTTTCTCTCAAAGTTTGTGTTTTTTAAAATAAGAAATCCTTTTTTTCTTGTCATTGATTTAGTAATGCCACTTCAACAAATTGTTTCTATTTAGTTATGATGAGGAGGCGGACAAAGTCAACCAGTACCAGAGACTCAGTTTAGAAGGTCTTGAAAAGATCGAAATTGGTAATAGCTTGTAGATAAACTTGTGGGTGTAATTTTTGTCAATAGAATGTTCTGTGATATGACAGTTAGCCAATGTTGGTTTTTGTAGGGCCAGAACCAACTCTTTTCGGAAAGCCTAAGTACTGCTGCATGCGGCTGCACTATAAGAATGGGGAGATCAGCGGTTACTTCCATACGCTGAGGGCTGTCACACGGAATCCAGAGGATGATGGGAAAGGTTTGTGCTGGGATACCATGATTTGTTGTGGCACTAGTTCAGCTTCTGTATTGCGTAATTCTGTGAATGACATTATGGGTTAAGTTGGTAAAATATATAACTTGGCCATGTGTATACTGGTGTAGCTTGAATAGTTTTGTGTTTGTGTTAAATAATTGATCCTTTCCTCTGCACTTGTTGGGTTGTTTGCATTTCAGACACACTCCAGTGCATCGCTGAAATGCTTCGTATTACAAAGCAAGCTATGGGGCTTGACGTCCAGGTCGTTGAGAAGAAACTAGAGAGGTAAAAAGAAGAAACTTTTGTATGTGGGTTTCTTCAGTTTACACTAACATTTTTAAGGTTTTTACCTTATTTACAAAGGACACAAAGGCTTTGTTCACACTGCAGGGGAAATCAGATTTTGTTCATAAATCTGATTTCAAAATAAGTTATGTGTCTGGATATGATTGTTTTGTATGGTTGTTGTAGGTTACTGTGAGACTTAAGTAATGGATGTTTCAACTCGCTGCACAACAAATGACAAAAAGATAAAAGAAAAAAAAAGAAATCCAATCTGATCATTTAGACTGAGACACATTAACAAAAATCTCATTTGTTTATGGTGTTTTGGATCAGGTTTAAAAATAGATTTAATGTTATTTTTTCACATTAAGACTACAACAACTTTTTTGGGGGGGGCTTTTTTTAACATCCAAATTGTTGATGAATCTTGCTTTAATTGCTTTGTTTCAGGAGACACAGCAAACCACATGAGGATATAATGGGAATTCAAGGAAAAGCTGTGGACCAAGTCCTTGGGTCTGGTTTGGCTCAAGGCAAAAGTTTCCTTCTGAACAAGTTCTCATCGCTAAACCAGAAAGTGAAGCAGACAAAGACTAACGTCAACATTGGAAACTTCAAGCCCTTGGGGAAACTGGGGACCTTCTCTAAGCCTGAGGTGAAAGTGAACTTTCTCAAGCCCAATTTACATATGAACCTCTGGAAGTCAGACAGCAGTTTAGAGACCCATGATGGCAATACTGGTTCGGCAGCCCTGAAAGACCTTAAAGACAAACATTCGGATGAGATTTCCTCTGATTCCGATTCCTACAACTCGGATGAGCTGCCATGCTCGGGCTCTCGGGAAAACGTAGACTATGTGCTTCCTAGCTGTGGAATTGTAGCATCTGCACCACGACTTGGCAGTCGCTCGCAATCAATTGGCAGCGTCGAGCTTGCTGTGCCCTCTGTCATCCGAGTCACAGGCTGTGATAATAAGACTGCGGATAGCTTGTCAGTTGGCCAAGATGGCCAGTCTCCTGGGACAGCCTCTGAGGCAGAGGAAGCCATTCTGATTGACTTCGGGACACCTATTGATGCTTACTGCCACCAGTTTGTCCAGGATGCCAAGACCAAACCAATAGAGGTGTTCGAGGAAGTGGCTCCAGCACCCAAACCGCAAGCACCTCAAGCCCTCTCAGCTCCTGACACAAGACTGGGGACTTCAAATTACCAACAGCAACTCCCTCGCCCATCTCAACTTGAGGTGGAGACCACCGTCCGAGGGGCAAATCTACTGACTGTCCAGCCTGTGGGCTCAGCCACATCATGCGGGTCACAAAAGAGTTTGGAAGGCATCACAGGACCCTCGCCGGCAGACAGCAACGGAAGCCGTGTGGTGTCGCCCTTTGCGAAGATCAGGAGCTCCATGGTGCAGGTGGCTAGTTTTACCCAGGCCGGACTTACCCAAGGCATTAACTTTGCTGTAGCTAAGGTGCAGAAAAGCCCAGAGACAGACGCTGTCAACGAAACCCAAGAGAACGAATTGCGAGCGATGTTTACACAGTGCCAGACCAGGATCATTCAGATATAGCGTGTTTAGCAGATGCATTTTTAGTGTTAGATCGTGACTTCCTCAAAAGTAATGGTAGCATAAGCTCACAGAAGTCAAGCCACACCACTAGTTTCCCCTCCAGTTAACCAAAACCAAAGTTTACAGCAAGTGTTTAGTAGTAAGTAGTACGTCTAAGATTAACCCGACTGTGCCCCTGAGTCCAAATCGAATCCTAAACATCTATATATTGCTGGTTTGCATGTTAAGAAGCAGGTAACTCTGAGGTATATTAGGACAGGCAAGTTGTATTGCATGTCAAGAAGACCCAATACCTAGATATGTCATGTGACCCCATTTGTGCAGTACAATTCACTGGCTGTTGTAGCTGTAAAACCTTTTTCGATTGGAATATCTATCAGTGGGCAGCTTAGACAACCAGACAATACAGTTATATGGATATCTTTGATGTGGTGTTTGTCATAAAAATATACCAAAATAGGACCACAATAGTTGTGTAGGATCTATGGTCAAATTATATTATTCAACTAAGTATTATATGTAAGTACTGTAGCAGTTTCCTTTAGTACTCAACAATTAAGATGTTTATAGAGAGGGAATTATATTTACATGCTCTTAAGTTTATAATCATAGCTGATGGAAACAATCCATCTCCAGTTCTTTTGGGCTCTGTAGATGTAATCACGCAGCTAAATAATTTGACTAAATCATGACTTAAACTGATATTTATTGTCACATGTTGGTTTTGAGAAAAGCTTATGTCTTAAAATCCGTTTTATTTCATGTTTTTCAGTTGTATGCTGTGGGATAATGTAACAGTGGTCTGCTGATATCTTAAAATGCTTAAAACGTACGTTGGGGAACGACCTGTTTTAAGTACCTGTAAAAACATCAAATTTATTTGCAAAGGCATTGGACTTCTGTATGCAAATGACTTTTGACTGGTATTTGACACAGGTCTGATGCAGGGTACCCATGACACAACTTTTTTGCACTCTTAAATGGCAAGAGCAAGCCTTATCAGATTGCTAAATGCCAAGTCTACCTATAAATCTGTTTTCATTAAAGTCATTCAGGTTACATTTATGTTTTATCTGTAGTATCCATGTGATGTCTTTAGATTCGCTCTGGCCATTTGGTTCAAGATCAAGAAGTGATACAGATTACATCATCTTTTGAGGCTGCCTTACCCAATATATTCTAGATGCAGAAAGAACTTAAAGCCTTACTGGGTGATATCCAGTAGAACCTAGGTTAATTATGCATTATTTAATGATGTTTAAGTGCAGATCCTGTGGGATTGATCTTTGTGTATTAAGCGACTTTGAAATAGTTCAAAATCTTATGGGCCACATGATATCTAAATAAGACAATGTGATTTCAAGTGAACATCAGTGAGAACATTATATTGGCTTTGAGGGCTGGTTTATAAGTTCTTTGGGCCGCAGTTTGTTTTTCAAACACGTCACAAGCTTTTTTTCTCACACACTATTTCTTATCTTTTTCTCACATGTACTGTAGCATAGAGTGCTGTGCAAGACACTGGTTTACACAATGCTGTTGCAATGCATACACATTCAGACATTCCTGGAGCTGGTACGTGATTTATTAACCTTATGAGATTGGAACTGTCTGAGCTTTAATATATGGTGGCTGTTATGCAATAGTGATAAATACATGCGCAGTAGGTTTTGGTGGTAAGTGGACTTTTTTGTTACGTTTTTTTTTTTTTTTTTTTACTATTTAAGACAGCATGCACTGGACTGCACTCTGTTCTTTTGTTTTGAACTTGAAATGCTCTTATTTGGTGGAGGATCTTGATAAACATTCCTCTTGGTTTGGAGGTGGGGATAGATTGTTTTTTATGTATGAATTTTTAATTTTCTATGCATAAAGACTTGCACTGTCTCTGTGGTTGTTCCCCAACATCTTATAATGTTGCAAATGGTCACAAAGTGCTTTTGAATCCACTTTTTATTTTCAATGTTTGTAACTGAACTGACATGCATCGTATTATATTTCGTCCAACAGTCTTTTGTTTCAAAAACACATTTCCAGCTTCTTCCCATTTAAGAGAACGTCCTCCATATTTTTTAGTGAAATGTTTTCATCTATTGTACCCCCCAATGTTTTTTTGCAGATTATTTATTCCAAATTCATGTTCTCAAGTGTATTCCCTAGTATTTTTCCTATGTTAATAATAATTGTGTTAACTGCTGTATTTTAAAATATTATGGGCTGTACCTGGGAGGCTTTTTAAGTAAATAATTAAAAAAGATTGTCATTTTGATTCATTTACAACTTTGATGACAGATTAACTAGAACATAAGCTTTCACTAGTTCTCTTTCATCACCAAATACTGCAGATATCACTTGCGAAATGTTTCTTCCTAACACACCGCTCACTGATCGCACAGTAAACTCTCCTTACAGTGTCGGTATGTGGTTCCTCCCAGTGAAGACCTTTTGATTGCCCAGAGCTACACTGCAAAGCTACATTCTTTGCATTCAGATGCAGTGTGAGAGGTTTGTGGCTCCTTCACTCAGGTTATAACAGAGAGGAATAGGCTGGTGTTGCATTGCCCGAGACATTTAACATTAACTTGTAAGCACTGGCACTTTCAGGCTTTTGCTATTTTTAACTCTAAACATGCTGATGAGCCTTCTTGTAAGGCTTTTCAATTGCATGATTAATATTGATGGTAATACAGCAGAATAACTGTTGTTGCCATTCTTATATTTGGTAATACTAAACAGATACAACTTTTCATTTTAATCATAGATTAGTAAATGTTGAAATTAACATTAAGATCAAAGTATTGTTCATTGTTGTAGGTCATCTTAACTAATGTTAACAAATGGAACCTTACTTTAAATCGTTACCCCATATTTTAAGTAAGACTATATAAATGGAGAGTATTCACAACTTTATTTTTCCTAATACCCCTGTGCCACAAATGTACATATTTGCTGTAAGGCAGTTAATCTTTGTCACATGTCTGCATTTGCATATAAATGTTAATATACAATGCAAGTACCAAAATCAAAATTTAACAATGCATTCATCAAAAATCTACTTCACCAGTGTCTGTAATTGACCACAAGTTTAAAATAAAGTAAAAAAAAAAAAAAAACTGTACAAATCAAATGCTATATGAAAACTACATTTGAATCCAAAATATTGACACGTATGGTTCATGTTGACGTATTTGAAAATAGCAATAGATTTTAAGGCTCGTTTCCGTTCACACATTTCTGCTGCTGTGTTTGACTTATTCTCAAGACCTCTAGCTGCTTGGCTTTCATCCAGCCATCTCTAGAGAGTGTGTTCTGCCCGTGACTTAAAGACAGCAACCTGAAACAGAATACAAATTGGCATTTAATTTGGGTATGGTTAACAGAATTAGATTAGCTGTGAAAGAGCAATTAAAACTTCACCTCGCAACAACCAGCAATCTATGAAGATCTTCCGCAGACATACTCTGAGGGTCATCTTTTCGCATTTCTACGAAATCCTCTTCTACTGCCTACAGATCAAGACCACCAACCATGAGACAAGTGCTGAATTAGGAACATCATATTAGCATACTACTCTTACCATATCTTTTTTTTAATGGTAGAAATTGCAAGGGGGAAGTACGCGGTTCTGAATTCAGCAAATAAATTAAATCACCATAAAAATTTGGACAATCATATCAGACAAAATTCTGACCTTTGTGATCTCATCCGAAATGGTGTAGTTCAGGGCACGTGCCATGCTCAGATAGATGCGATACTTGTTGATCTGAGATGGAACCTGCGCCACTTGCACAGCGCTCAGGTACTCCTCCAGGTTAGGTGGATTAAGGGTGGGCCGTAGGTGAATCCGACAGTCAGACTGAGAAAGCAAAGAAGAAAATCTCTTTAAATGTTGCTTTTTCTACTCTGCCATGCGTTTTCGAAACGACTGAGCTCTTGATATTGTAAATTCTCATTTGTAGAAATGTCAGAAGCCATTAAAGAATCATGAAACTACCCCTAATAAACCTTTAGTGCCTTTTTAAACTTTGTAAAATACTGTGTACCGAGCTTCGTGCCATTAAATAAGTGGCTTGTCCTGCCCTCTCCCTCTAATGTTCTTGTGATAGAATTGCCACCATGGCAACTAGAGAGCTGACGTACAGGAATAGCACAGCACATTCCACAGGCTGTTAGCATCACAGCAAAGCCACGATATGAGCCCAGCCAGGGAGCTGACGGCAACCCTGTGGACTGTAATGGAAATATTAGGCTGTCTTTACAACTGTCTGATGGAAACAACTCCCATGGGAGAGGCAAATCATTTTCACCTGCTGGAAATTAAGATGCCGGTCTCTCTAATTCACCCCCAAATACACATGGGTAATATTTTAATAATAAAACGCTGAAAGAGACTCAGACCTGATGTTCTTACCGGGAGGAGTGATCGGCCCTCGGATGCGATAAGCACGTTAATATTGCAGGGGAATTCCATCTGGTGGTAGTTGAAGTCGTAATCAACCTTCTGCCAGGAGATCAGGTTCCCCAGTGCAGTGATATTCTGCACACCTACACCCAGAACAGACAAATTATACAAAGACTTGTGTCTCTATGAACAACATGTAAGATAAATACATTGATTAAACAACAGAGCAATGCAGTCTAAAAGGAAAAGGCTTCAGAAAAGGATGTTTACACTTCCTTCAAGCATGCAACTGTCTCTGACAGAGGTTGGATGAGTGTGCTGATATTAACGTAGAACGTCAAGGCTATTGATGGAGTTGGAGGCAATCCAATTTAAAGGAGTCTCAAGTGTCCCCAGAATGTTTCTGTAAAGTTTCAGCTTAAAATGCCCTAATTATGCTCAACTTTTTTGCAAATCCTGCGTTGTACAGACCCCCAATTGCAAAGCAGTGTGGTGTAAAATGATTTGCACATACAAATTTACCTATTTTCTTGGGCACATTCCCTTCATAAATAAAATTAACCCACTGCCTCCCTCAGTGGCTCAAGGAGACTTACTTAAGACTGACATTATAGTGAGGATATAAACATGGCGGACCGTGTGTGGCTCACCCAGGACGGGATCTATGCTAATAGGGCAGAGGGCAGTCATGGCCGGGGCTTGGCCTAATGTGACGTCACATTAGGCAGAAAACTGGGACACTCTTTCTGATTTATGAGGGATTGTAAAAAAATAAATAATGAGTGGGTAGATTTTAACTATTGGTTGCTTACACACCAGACACAAATTTATGTTCAAAGTACACCATGTAAAAGTGAATTTGCATAAATGGCAGACTTAATTGTGCCGGCTCTGACCTGCCTCATCCCTGAGTATTGTTGCAATTGCTGTATAAATGCATTTATGCCACCTCTGGGCAGCATTAAACAGTCCATGTAAAGACACCTAAATACCACTTCAGAAGTTCTTTCTGTTCCACATCTGCAGTGTAAAATTGGCATAAGAACAACGAAGTCTATGCACATCTCATTATGAATAAAAAAGGCTTTTAGAAACAGAAATACATGAACGTATCAAAACCACAAGCAGTCACTTCCTGACAGACACTAAACTTACTGCTCCTGAGTCCAAAAGTTTAAGAACATAATTTCTTGGAATTAATACTTTTTACATTACACTACATTATTATTTATTCAGTAATGACATGAATTTCTGAATGTCTCAGAATTGGTTTTATCTCTCTCGTCACTGACAACAGCACTTGAGCTCTTGTAGAGCAAATGGCTTTCCTAAGAATACAAGTTAAGTGCACTAAAACTTAGGCCTAAGCATTAAATGACTAGGTTGTAAATAGTTGGTTACTTTTAAAATGAAGTATAGTACAGTGTGCACTTTATATGCTTCTTGCTTGTTGCTACTGTGTGCAATAGTGTAATTATTTTCAGAATTTATTTTCAGAATTTTAATTACCGGTATGCTTAAATATTTATTTTCAGTATTTTCAGCACTGAACTCTTTTTTTACTTGTTCTACCTCACCGGTTTTTACTATTTGGTAAAATATCGTTTTTTTTAATAAATGTTCCTTTTTTAAATTGAGACTTGTAACATTTGTTATCATCATTGTGTCATTTTTATGATGTAAATTGAGGGAGCAAAAGCAGTATCGGCTCCAAATATCGGCTCAAGAAAATCGGCAGCCCGTATCGGTCATCGGCTAAGGCTGATGAAAAAAAATCGTATCGGCACTAAAAAACCATATCGGTCGATCCCTGTGTCGCATGATCAATGTCACATTTTCTTTTGATTAGTGACAGAAATAGTGCAGAACATATTTGACATGAATTTTATGTCAATGTTTTATTGTAATCTTACAACTGTTTATTACCATGTTCACATAATTTCCAGTAGGTATGTTTACATGCACTCATTTTTGGCAGTCCGAATGAATGCATCTAATTTCAGAGGCTAAACGTTTTTTTTTTTAAGTTCTAATAGTTAATGTAATATAAACTTTGCATTCACATATTCATTTAAATGTGCATTACATCCAAACTAAATTTCAACATATTTGCATTTTCTAGTCATCGCATTCAGAAATGGCAAGAGCCACTGCGAGAATTTTGTTTTTGCTTTGATGTCATACCAAAAACATTGTCAAAAAAGCTTTTATTAAGTACCTAAATATGTAGCAAATATTCTGTGTCCTTTACGTAATGAAACGTATGCATGTTTGTAAGTTGCATATTGTCACACATTACAGCACTGTGCATGTGTGCAATATATTTTTTAATCCAAATGTATCCGAAAGTACTCAGATTCAAAGGTTTAAATTTGCTAAAAATGTCCCTGTCATACATTAAGATCTACTCCACCCCTTTCAATAAAAGGATTATAGGTTGCATGTAAACAGACTTTTGGACTCCTACTGTACATCTAGGCAGCACACTACTTTTCCCAGCTATAATCGGTGCTCTCACCTGTGGTATCCAGTTGGCCCTGCCCCAGCTGCGTCTCATCCAGAAACAGTGACGTGTTATTGGCCAGCTGAAGAATCCCACTCATCAGGCGGTTAGCTGTGTAGTCTTTCCGTGGCACCATCCGTTGGTTGTTCATATTATGCAGGCTCATGCATAGCCTGAATGACTACCAAGAAAAGGGAATCAAGCTGAATAGTAGTAGCAATGGCAGCTTCTAATATTACAGTATTTAATCAATTATTTCTATAAGATATAAGTAATATAATTCAAAGATCCATCTAGATGACTAACAGATGGCACAAGCTGTTGGATGACATTGTAGAGATGCTCAGTGTATGGAGAGCTGAGAGGACAGCCACTGAGATTCAATGTGAATTTGCCCAAAGGAAGAACATCCCGTCTGCTGTATCTAAAATAAAGACACAATGCAAACTTCATGATGTGTAGTCTGAAGGACTGTGGGTAACTTTTTTTGTGTAAGAAACATGTCACTCTCTTTAAAAAAAATATCTTAATACGTCTGGCAAATAGGTGGAATAGGACTTTCCAAAGTATACAATATAAATGCTTAAATAAGGGCAATAAATTAAACAGGAACTCCATGCAACAGAAAGTTATACTTCAGACATGCAACACTCGAAATGAGAAACGTACACATTGGAGATGAGATGGAGAATGAGGTACTCAGCAGCGAGTGAATCCCCCATTAGGACATGTGTGAGAAAGGTGAGCAGCTCTGCTCTGACTGAAGCCAGTTCTCCAAGAACACTGCTTAAATCTGAAGACAGCATACATACATCCGAAGTCAACAATCACTGGGCTGTCACGATACAAAATGTCTATAGTCAATGCCAAAAATTCACAACTCTAGCTACCAATTTTGATACCACAAAAGATATTGTAATAATATTAAATAATAATGTCATAATTTCTTAATAAAAGTATTAGTACTTGTTCAAGTAAATAGTCAGAAATTAAGAACAATGATTTTCATCTCATCAATATCTTTTAATATTGACAAGATTTTAATCTTCTTGTCAAAATAATGTCATTAATATTAAAAAATAATAGACAGTTGCTTGCAGCTCTATTCAACTGTTGTTATTGTTTACTAAAACTATTAAAAATCACTTCGCGTTAAAGGGGAACTTGGCAACTCTAACCATTTCTTCGCTGATTTTCACTTTTGTTGTCGCATGTTTTTTCATCGAGCTCCCCCCACAGCTGTGGGGCGTATATTTCACAACACTGCCGTAAAAAAACTCACTTGCGGCACCCTCCTCCCCCTTTCTACCTCTGCTCATGCGCATTTGTTATTATCGGAGCCGGGCAACTTTATCGTGTGGAGCTATGTCTACCGAGGTGGGTAATACATCATACACAGTATCATAGAATTATGTCGAATTGCCATAAAGCAGTTTGTGTTTCTCGCTCGTTCTCGCTTCTCACGAGACTTCCTATTTCCAACTTACCAGGACGTTAGTCCCCGTGTTGCAAGGATGGTTTTCCGCCTGGGAACGCTGGGGGGAGCGGGGAAAGTCACCATTTTCACCAGAACAGGTTATTTAACCATCCAAATGATTTCTAAACGGTTTTATTAAGTTGAAATAGTTGCCAAGTTCCCCTTGAATTGAAAAACCACTGATTTAATAAATTATTAGATGAGAAATGAAAACCTAAAAAATTTAAATTAGAAATGTTGCTTAATAAAATAAGTGCAAGTGTAAGTAATAAATTAATAAAAACTGAAATGGATATAAATTAAAGCTAAATAGAAATAAAAATAATAAAAAGACAAAAGCACAAGAGAAAGATAAAGAAGAGAAAGATGAAGAGTGTGATGAAAAGGGAAGGTCTCCATAAAAAAAATCCGAATGCAAGTGTTCAAAGGAGACGCACGAAACGCATTTGAAACGCACGAAAATACCAAGTGAAAACAGCATTCTCTCTCGCTCACTTGATTTCCTGGATATTGTATTAAATTTGCGGGCGTCAGGGAGCCGCTATCAATACACGGGAGACTCACAGAACTTCCGGGAGAGGTGGAATGTCTGCTATAATAGTAAATAAATAATACTAAAACAACGCTGATGTACACTGCAAGACCTAATTCACTGATCCATAAGTGATGTCTTACGGTTACCATTATTCTCCAAGGCACTAGAGGGCAGTAGTGGGTTGTTGTGCACTAGAGGCTGGGCATACAGCATGTGCAGTCGTGGTACAAGGGATGCTGGCGGGCTGTGAACTCTTTGCTCCTCCACAGTTTCCATTCCCTCCGTGGGGTCCAGCAGTGAAGACGCCTCTCTGAAAACATGAAACAAACATTACAGTTTAAACAGAGAACCTTCTATTGCAATTACAACCATCCCAAAATCATTGCAGATTACCTTTCATCTGCAATCACACTCAAGGCAGGGTCCACAGAAAGGATGCCAAATACTTCCAGCATGTCATTCAGTTTGAAACTATCCCAGTTCTCATATACCTGCCAATTACAGAGGATGGCCGAGTTACATGGCTGTCTGTGTAGGTGGGGAATAATTCAACGGAGCAAACCATCATATTATAGCAAGCAAATTACAATGTTAACATGTGCCTGCTCAAGACAACTTGATTATAGTGTTAGTCTTAAAAGTATGCATTAAAAATGACAAACTACAAAAAAACAAAACAATTTAATTGAGTGTCTGTCAAGAGGATGGTTTAAGAGTTTAAAATGAAGGAACAGTTAAACCTTAACAAGGCAGGCTGGGCCCTTTTCTCCAGGCAAAGGGAAGTTGAGGTCCAGACTGGATGTGCAGTGTGACGGGGACGAGTCCTGACTAGGGGCTTTTGTCTCCTGACGCTTCGGCTCCATGTTGCCATGAGACTCAGCAGAGCTGTGAGCTCCTGTTTGAAGAGAAATATATTTTAAATCTTGAACATGAACCCATATGCTTGATAGATTAAAAAATGTCCACATACTCACTGGAAATTTATTTTTCAGTTAAGTTAATTTGTCCTTCTTACCTTGACTGACATCTTTCATCTGTTGGGGCTGTGTGTCCATCTCATCATCTTCCTCATAGCTGCGCTTATGCCTGTTCGGGACATAGGATGTGGAGGGCACCACTCGCGCTTGACTGGTGCCTGCATAGCTGTTCCGAGTCGTTAAGAATAGATGAACTATCATATTGGTCAATAAGGACAAGGGAAACCACCAAAACTATGCTGTGAAAATGCTGGTAGAATCTGAAGTGTAAACAAGATAATTCTTTGGTCCATGTAAAGGATATTTCCTTGACCCACTGAGATTCTCCAGGGATGGGGACACAATAAAAGGTCTGTCTCTCTGACGTCACTGTTTTTTTTGAGTTAAAGTCCACCTGCTGATATAAAGTCCATTTGATTATGTCTATTTAAAGGCAGCTGTACAGACCAAAATAGCTTTTATGTACTTTGTCATGTCAGTTTCTCAACTACTCTCTGAGGGCATTTACATTTATGCTGTTAGGAGACACTTTAATCAGAAGAAACTTACACTGCATTGAAAGCATACATTTTTATAATTGAATGCATGTTCAGTTCGTAGGGATTCGAACCCATGATATAAGTGTTGCTTTGCTCTACTTTTTGAGCTTCAGGAAAAAATACAGAAGAAGTGCTTTTTCACACTTCTGTTTAAAATGTTTAAAAATATGAAATATGTGTGATAATATTCACAAGTTTATGGAAAAATAAATATGTATTAATGTTAATTGTTTTGAATCAAATTAGGTTCAATTTGACCCCAACCAACCATAAAAATCGTACCCACATTTTATTTAAGGCTTAGTATATAGATGCATTAGTCTATGCAATATGTTAGTGAACAAGGCAAACATTTACTCACCCCACACTCTGTGACATCTTTGTATTTTCCACATTTCACCTGCTGAGAGTTTAGGTTTAAAGTTTAGAAATGACTCAAAACAGGCTTTTTATCTCAAAATTCCTAAAGGTGGTAAACAGAATGAATAGACTATATTTATGTATACCATTGTGTTAGAGAAAAAAAAAGTGCTAATGGGTTTTTAATCAGACAGGGTTAGTAGTACTTACTTTAGAGTTTGATGTGGGATCATTCATCTCATAAACACCCATGAAAAATTCTGGGTCAAACATATCTTGGACCATGCAACGGAATTTCACAAGACTATTAGGCTTCATGTAGTGCAGGGGAACATCATTCAGAGATGGAACCTAGAGAAAACAGCAGATGAATGACACCAACGTCAAACGGATGAACTTGAGGACTGATCCCTCATTAAAATATTAATTTTCTAGCTAATAATTATGACTGTCATCAAAAACCCGAGAATACTCAAGTCAGGCCAATATGCATGTCAAATGAATCGGTCTTTTGCATAATATTGATGTCATCTGTCAAAACAAACCGCTCCTCATATCAGTAACGTTACACAGTTGACTGGCCACTATTCTAAAGTAAGCACGTAGATGAATTTACTTCTGCAAGAATACTGCACTAATAGCTATTAGTGTGTCAAAATACTAAAAATACCAGAACAGATACGATTTTAACAGTTAGTTACCCATGCTTGAGCATCGTTTAGTTTCAATTTCTCTTTGAAATACTCCACAACTTTCTTCTCCCAGTCTGGACTGGAGTGACTCTGGGCTGTAGGAACAAGAAAAAACATAACACAAAAGCAGTGAAATTCAGGTCAGTACATGACAAGTAACAGTTAAACTTTAAAAAGCATAGCAAATAATGACGATCACATGCTCCTCTTCAAAAAGTAACTTAGTAGGAAATACACATTTTGACTGCTGCTTCTTACCAAACATCCCATCAACAACACCCAGTGGATTATTGATCCAGTCGTGAACCGTAGGCATTGCTGCAGGATTAAGAAACTCACAAAAGTTCAAACTTAATACTCCTTTAACAAGAACTAGCTGCTACAACATGCACGTTCCAGAGTTCAGCACCGCACAATACACCGTGGCGGGAAAATTGCGTCATAAAAACTACCATGTGACCAGGGCGCATGTTCGCCTCGCTCCCCGGTCAAGAAGACTAGACAGTAGTTCACCGATATGTACAGTGGCTTTGGTAAACAAACTAAGTAGTAATGGGTCAAACCCTTTCTACAAACATTGTGCAATAATCATTGTTATAAAGTAAATATTGAATAATTATATATTACATTAAAAATACGTAAAATTAATTTATAATATGTTAATAATAAATAAATGACTAGTTATGTTCAAGTACCAAGATGAATTTAGTGTTCTGCTTGAAATTTAGCATTTATTCAACCATTTAAGTAAGAAGTTCTTGTACATGTTTGTAAATATTTTAATTTAATATTTATTAACGGTTTAAATGTGCTTTTGCTTTCTTGTATGACAACTGGTTTTAAAAGAAAAACGAAAGAAATTAAAATATCGACGTTGTTTGTCGTTGATTACTTTGGTCTTAGGACGTCAACGTGACGCTAATCTGTATATCATGCACTAGGCATCATAGTTAGATTACCGTATGAACCTTTCAGACTATCAATGAAGCAAAGATCTGTGAAAATCCAGAGAACCCCTTTATCTCTACAGTGACGAACCAGGAAGTGTTGAAAAAAAAAGAAAAGAAAAAAAAAGAAGCTCTGCCTGTTCGACTGGAGGACAAGCTACGTGTAATTTGTGATTGAAAATGGCTGATAGGAAAGCCAACATCCCTAGCAGCAGCGCAAATCTGCTGTTTTCAGGAGCCCCGGAGTTCAACTTCAGCCTGCCGTTCCTCCCTGTCAGTCAGGCCACCGGCCCGGCGGTTTTATCAGGAGGTGAGCTTATAAATTCTTCAAATGAGCTGCTTTAGTGGCTAGTGATGTTAGCTTTCCTCTGTTTTTCTGCTCAAAGGTCTCTTATCTTTATGACATGACATGCTTTCTGTAAGATTATTAAACTCTTAAATCCAGTAAACAGAGTTTCCCGTTTTTAGTGATGTCAAATATTCTCTGAATTTTGTATTGATTTTATTTGCTTGATTAGTAAAGGAGAACAGTTGACGTTACACTTATATACAGGGCAAATAAGTACTAAACGGTAACATTTTCAGTGTGAAATTAATCAGATTTCTTTGCTATGGTTTTAATTCAAAACTGCCATTAGTCTTCATCAAAATTATGAGATTGCATTGCATTGTCACTCAATGTCCTTAAAACCACCTGTCATCACACCAAAACGTAATGTAAATTACATTATATAGTATAGGAACGCAATATACATTTGTGTCTTTTTCAGAACTATTACTGCTATATCCAGAAATAAGGACAAGGTTCATTTAAAAAAATGCTACGCATTTCCCCCATATTCTCCAACTCTTATTAAACACTGTCAGATATGTATGAAAACATTAATAGAATCAAGCAAATATCAAAGTCCGTCTTCATCCTAAAGCTCTACCGTTCATATTCATCTTTTACCGGTGAATAGTTTAATGGATTATAATTTTAATAATAATTTTTATTATTATTTATTTTAATAAAAAATATATATATTTTAAGAGGGTTTTGAGGCTTTCTGTTAATGCAGGGCGACCAATTAAATCCAGGGAAGTATTTATTATAGCCTGAGTGCACTCTGATTATTCTTTATTTTTTTATATATATATATTTTTATAAAATGCTTACCATTGATGATATGCATTTTTTTTATTATATTCTAACTAACTGATTATATTATGTTTCTCTATGTTATAAATACTAATATATATTAATATTTTATACTAGTATTATAAACTATAAATTTCCTTTGCATTTCTTTATATCATCCTCTGTAAAGATGATGCCAGTGAAGTTGGAGAAGAAGACAGTTTTCTTGGTCAGACGTCATCAGCAGCTCCTCAGTCCTCCACGTTCAATTATTTCTCAAGCGTCACCAACAGCAGCGACCCGTTTGCTTCTATTGGGCAACAGCCATGCCCGCCTCCAGCCGCCACTGTCGTTCCATCAACAACTGGCCCGTCGCCTGTATCCATTGCAGCTAGTCTGCCTCTGAACCCGCCAGTATCTCACATGAACCCCAGTCAGCAGTATGGCAGTGTTGCTCATCAGACCCCTGTGGGTACATACACTCCTCCGCCTAATGCACCGACTCCTCCTCCGCAGAGCTCCCAGCAGTCCTATAATCCATACCGGCACACAGCTGCCAGTAGCAAAGCTAATCCCTATCTCATGGCTCCTGAATTACAGCAGCAGACCCCAAGCCAAACACCCCAGCATCTAAACCCCTATTCTCAGGCGATACCTGCTCCCTCGTTCCAGACTCCACCCACAGTGTTCACCAAGGTTGCTCATGTAATGCCATCTTTGTCTTTAAATCACTATGAGCTTAAATTTATAGTTATAAGAAGGATTTTACTCAAAATAGCATCTGCTGCCATTATCAGAGCTGTTAATTGTCTACTGAGACTGACTGCAGTTAATGTTAGAAATGCATGATACCATATTGGTTGTCGGGCTTTATTAGAGATATTAGTTTTTATTGGTATATCAATTGATATTTGATTCATATCATTCGATATTGATATTTAATTGTTGATGCTAAATTCCTATATTTTACATTTAGATTACCTTTGCCATCATCTAATGCTCATTTCAAGTTAATCTTTAAAAACACTAATAATACAATAACATCAAATAGAATCCTAATTTTACATACTGTACAATACAGTGTTATTTTAGTATTTAGTATTAATAATATTTTGAATTATTATATTTTCCATTTTAATTTAGTTTGTCATTTTAGTACTTCAACTTAAAATGATTTAACTTATTTCATTCTTATTTCATCTTATTTATCTTTTATTTTATCTTTCAGTTACCACTTATACATTTTTAATAGTTTTAGTTATAAATACTGATACAGCATAATGTTGTAATAACTAAATTCACTTTATTAAAAAAAGTTTTTCATAAAAATAATTAGCAGATTTGTATCGATCAGAATATTGATATTGGTGAATCCTTATATAATGTTAATAAAATCGAGAAAGAAAAAGCTGTTTAAGTTTATTCATTTAAGTGTGTTTTTAAGCATGCTTAAGAAACCTGCCATATTTTGTTTATATATATATATATATATAACTGTTTTAAAAAGGGATTGCACTTTGTTCTTATACTGTTTTGCTCTTCCCCAGCCTCCCCCAACACAGATTCCACCGCCCCCTGCAACTACTAGCATGGCTGGACCGTTAGTCCCTGCCAACTCAATGGTGCCATACACATATAATGTTTATGAACCTGTACAACATCACTGGTTCTACTGTAAACAAGTGGAGTCAAAGATGGTCTGGCTTCCCTTTAGTATTCTGGATTCCATTCGCTTGGAAGAGACATTCAACTCTGGTAAGACAGAGTGTTTTCATGGCAGAAAAATTGCACAAGGTGCTGCCAAAATATTGGCATTAGTTCTCTAGCTTATGATATATAGCCGTGTGTTTACTTTTAAGATAACTAAATTGAGTGAATGTTAGGCTAAATGCCTCTGTCACTGTAACTTAATTAGTTTGAGATGAACTGATTTAAAAGTGTTTTTCTATGTATGCTAAGAGCATGTGGCCACTCTTAGTCTATTTCACAACATAGTCACTTCGCAATCTGTTGCTTCAGTTCAGCCAGATCCAGAGAATGTGATTGTGTGTACGGATGGAGGGCGCTATGACGTGCAGCTGTACGACCGCACACGGACCTCTGTGTACTGGGAGGAAGAGCCCACCGAGGTCCGCCGCTGTTCCTGGTTCTACAAAGGAGACGCAGACAGTCGCTTCATCCCATATTCAGAAGAATTCAGTGAGAAGCTGGAGGTTTGTGCTTCCCTATACTTTTTTCTCATCAGTACTCAGAACAGACTATTAGGATGACATTTTAACTGCTCAATGGTGTCTGCTGTAAACAGGTCGAATATAAGAAAGCTGTTACCACTAATCAGTGGCATCGGCGACTGGAATTCCCATCTGGTGAGACCATCGTAATGCACAATCCAAAGGTACAACTTTTTAAAATGCTCTAAAGGCAGTTTACATGACACCGTTTTCAACTAAAAATGGAAAACGTTTTATGCATTTTGGCCATTTATTTACACAATAACAGTGTTTTGATGGGCATGAAAATGGATTCAAAGTGGACGTTTTTCAAAAAGATACAGTTTTGGTCTTTGTGTAAATTACAAAAACATGAATTTGTGAAAACGGTGAGGTCATGCGCATGCGTATTACATGTTCAGTCTATTGACCTTATTCACATCAGCGCTATCTTTGTTTTTTAATGGAAATGAAAGCGAGGCTGTGAGGGAGACATGCATCTTTTCAGTGGGGTAGTACTGTTATTTAATATGTTTTTGGATTGGTTTGCTGACGAAACGCTGCAAAAAAATATCTTTCCGAGACAAAATTTCTGTAGACACAATATGAGCTGTGGAAATTTATAAGTGATCTAGGAGCTTTATACAACTTTTTATAGCTGATTCCATTGAAAGCGCGGTAAATCTATCCCTCACAGCCTCGCTTCCATACCTGTCAGGGCGCTGCTCTGAATAAGGTCTATAGATGGGTAGTGTTTCTTTACAAAATGACATAGAAAGAACGTTTCTGGTTTTAATACATCGTTGTCATGCAAACGTATTATCATTAGATTAGACACTAGATATAGTAAACACTTTTTCTTGTAGCTTAAATGATTGTTTGGTTCCTCAGGTGATTGTGCAGTTTCAGCCGTCTGCCATGCCTGATGAGTGGGGCACGACACAGGACGGTCAGACCCGACCTCGGGTTGTCAAGAGGGGTGTGGACGATGATCAAGATGAAGTTCCTGATGGTAAATCGTTTTTTTGTTCTCAGTTTCTCACTAAAGCCAGACAAAAAATAAGTGATTTTGTTTTGCTTTCTCAATCCCCCAAGTTTCAAAATACAACTTGTCAAACAGCCTTCAAACTCGGTATTATTTGATGGTGAATGCATAGCATGGC